TGGCGAGCTAAACTCAAAGTCTCCGTGTATGGTACAAGATGCTTTTGGCAATGATGTATGCTCAAAGAAATTTCCCAAAAACTACCAGCCAGTAACGGTGACCAGTGCTGATGGTTATCCTACTTATAGAAGAAGAAGAGATGGTCGTTCTCATCAGGTGCGCGTCAAGGACAAGTTGGGTGTCTACCGCGATTTCCACATGACGAATGAGTGGGTGGTGCCATACAACCCTTATTTGTCAAAAAAATACAATGCCCATGTAAATGTCGAAGTATGTGGTAGCGTCCAGGCAATCAAGTACATCAACAAGTATATTTACAAAGGCTCTGATCAGACAACGCTCAAAACTACAGCCACCACCACAGCCACTGAAACAGCAAATGCCACTACCACAGCAACAACTCAGAATAACGAAGTAGCCAAGTATCTAAATGGCCGTTATATTAGTCCTGTTGAAGCTGCATGGAGGTTGTTTGAATTCCCAATGCATGAGGAAAGCCCATCTGTTACTCCACTTGCTGTGCATCTTGAAAACGAGCAACCTGTTTATTTTGATCCCCAATGGCCACAGGAGAAAATTGACAAAGTATTGAGAGAGAGTCGCTCTACTTTGATGGCTTACTTTCATTACAACCATGCAAATCACGGCAAACCCGGTTTTCGACCGTTGCTTTATCAAGAGTTCCCTGAACATATGACTTGGCAGCAGAATGCAAAAAAGTGGAAGCCTAGGTCTTCGAGTAGAATGTCAATTGGGCGCATGTATTACTGCAATCCTGCTGCCGGCGAGAGGTATTATCTGCGTCTGCTGCTCACAGTTGTCAGAGGAGCCATGTCGTTTTCTCATCTGAGAACTGTCAATAATCACGAGTACGCCACCTTTCGCGAGGCCTGTATGATGCTGCATTTGATCGAAGATGATGGAGAATGGACCAGAGCCTTTGAAGAAGCTGCTACCTTTGCCTCTGGCTACGCAATGCGTTCAATGTTTGTCTCTGCGCTCATGTTCAACTCATTGGTATCGCCTGTTCAGATTTGGGATCAATTCTGTGAAAGTTTCTGTGATGATCTTGAGCATGCAATCGTGCAAAAAGGGTATTCGCTGCTGCTCAGCGTGCAACCTGACGCTGAATTTTACCATGGAACGCGAAGTCTTGATTACGGCTTATATCTGTTGCAAACATCTCTTGGTGCACAAGACAGATCTCTAGGTCAGTTCAATTTGCCTTTGCCTCTCTTCAACTGGAATGGCTTGATAAGCAGAATGACTGGCATACAGCGCAATTCATTGATACTCAATGAAATGTCATATCTCCAAGATCAAGAAGCCTTTTCGTACCAGCAAAAGTACGCTCAAATGAACGCTACCCAGAAGCACGTATTTGATACCATCACCTCCTCCATCAACAGCAACACCAATAGCTCACATTTCTTTTTGCAAGGTCCAGCTGGCACTGGCAAAACCTTCATTTACAATACTCTTTGTCACTTTTATAGAAGCCAAGGAAAAATTGTTCTCTGTGTTGCCTCCTCTGGCATTGCTGCTTTGCTACTTCCTGGTGGGCGTACGTCGCACTCTCGCTTTGCCATTCCACTCAACATCCACGAGCAGTCTGTGTGTGCAATCAAGAAAAACGATGATCTTGCTGATCTCATTCGAGAGACATCATTGATAATTTGGGATGAAGTGCCAATGCAGCATCGATATTGCTTTGAAGCTTTTGATCGAACACTTCGTGATATTTGTAGTCGTGGTGATGAAGTTACCTTTGGTGGTATTCCTGTTGTTCTTGGCGGTGATTTTGCTCAAATTCCACCTGTTGTTAGGCAAGGTGGCCGTCCTGAAATCGTCAATGCCTCACTGAAATCGTCAAGATTATGGCCCAAATTACAAAAGCTGAGCCTGACTGAGAATATGAGACTTGCCAACTCCAATGACACAGATAGGCAATTTGCAGATTGGATAGGAAAAATGTCGTATGAACCATCCATGATTGGCAGCATTGCTTTGCCCTCTTTTTTGAGGCAGATGACTGATCTTGATCAGTTCATTGAAGATATCTATCCTCAGCATGTTCTGCAGTGTCCTCTGCAAAATAGTGATTTCTTCAAGGAAAGAGCTATTCTCTGTTCAAAGAACGTCAACGTTGATGCTATTAACAGCAAGGTGATGGAGAACGTGATTGGGGAAAAGGTCACTCTGTACTCTGCTGACACAGCTCAGTCTGATCTGACCAACACGGAGACCCAAGCCTATCCCTCAGAGTATTTGCAAACCCTTTCGCCTTCAGGGCTGCCGCCAGCAGTTTTGGAGTTGAAAGTAGGTCTTCCTGTAATGCTCTTGAGAAACCTCAACCCTGAAAGAGGTTTGTGCAATGGTACAAGGCTGATCATTCAGCAAATTGGACAGTATGTCCTCAAGGTGAAAATCCTCGGAGGGTCAGGTGCAGTAGAGTTGATTCCTCGCTTTACATTATCAACATTGCCTGGTACATTACCATTTATTTTGACTAGGAAACAGTTCCCTGTAAAAGTGTCTTTTGCGATGACAATCAACAAGTCTCAGGGGCAATCCCTTAGAAAAGTCGCTGTAGACCTCAGGAGTCCTGTTTTCACACATGGCCAACTCTATGTTGCCATCTCGAGAGCAACATCTGCAAATGGTATGACAATTCTACTGCCAGAAAATGCGACTCGGACAGAGAATGTTGTCTACCCAGAAGTATTATATAATATAAATGCTGTATAAAAAAAGTTGGTCTGTAACTCCCAACTCCTGTCGTCTCAATCAAGTTTCAAGTCTATTTTTTGTTTTAAAATCTTCGAATCGAATATAATCATTGTTTAAAACCTACTTGATATACCAAATTTTTATTATCTCTGATTTGAAATGTCTTCGGCCAGAGCCCGCAGGGCGACGCCGTCATCGAGCGTAGCGAGATAGATCGGCTAGTCATATAATATATTGTAAAACATCCAAAAAAAGTGGACAAACAAATCATATATCCTTTCATAAATTTAAAGAATTGAGTACCGTACAAGAAGGTGGATAAACCACCGGCAAAGTCGGCATTGGAGAAGAGGCTTGGAGGAGGAGGTGCCAAGCCCATCCGCCAAAAACATAACACATCTAATTCAACATTTGGTAATATTGACCTATGAGGCGGTTTTACCGTAATGCAGTGAAGGTGAAAAACCATGGCAGCTAAGCATCTAACCCAACATTTGGTAATATTAATCTTGATGAGCTTTCTACCTTAGCAAAGCGAAGGTGGTGCAAAACCATGGTATTTAACAACGTGCAGCAAAGTCGGTTTCTTATTTCCATTATTATTATCAAGCTTAACAACAACATAACGATGCATCAAAATTTGCATGAATTAGTCTTACCAAAATCAATATGACACCTGCTCAAAATAGAAGTTGCACAGGCTGCAGAATTGCCCTTCAGAAGATTTCAGCTACCAAAGGTGTGATTCATCATGCCGTGTAAATAAAAGCCATAAAGCAAAAATACAGTCAAATTTGACAGTTTTCAAGCCTTCATATCTTGACACGCAGATCTTTCTGAGCCACCGGAATGACGCCAAACAATTGTGCTTGAATAGTAGTAACTTCCTGACATCTTTGCTCAACTTTTTTGGGCCAAAAAAAACATGGTCAAAAACCGACCAGAAAGCATGAGGGGTACCTCATGATTTTTTACGAAAATCAAACGATCGCGTTTTTCACCTTGAAAATGAAGACTTTTGCTATGGTATGTATTGAATCAAAATGTTTCTCTCGATCCAAAGCAGCCTCTGAGACCACTGTTATGAGGTCTTCGTATACAAAATTTTGACATTTTCGCTAAAAACCTTATCTCATATTTTCTGAAATTGCTCAATAAGATCAGTCAAAACATCTATTATACTTGACATCATTGGAAGCGCCTTGAAAAGTACTCTTAAGATGTATTAGAAAGCATTGTATGATCATCATTGTTTTGTAGTCGGATCTAGCAAATTAGATTAAAAAAGTCGACAAAAGACAAAATTTGGCCAATCTTGAACAGAAAGGCCAAACTGAGTTTCAATCGATTTTAGCGCGCGGCGCTGCTGCTGGCTGGCCCAAATGCCTTTCGGATAATAACAATGATGATAACAATGATGATTGTGATACTGATCAAATGGGGATCATGGAGTTTAAAGGACAATTGCTTTGCCGGAATGCTTTTTTCTAGAGTTTTTCCTTTTTAAAGTGTCTTTTGCAATGACAATATCTCAAAAAAGTCGCTGCAGATCTTACACAAGTCCTGCATTTACGCATGGCCAGCTTTACGTCGCCACCTCAAGAGCAACATCAGCGAAAGAATACCTCCCCCCTCTTGACTCTGATATAACCCCCTTTTTTTACTACTAATTGATTGTTTAAAATCTACTTTTATGCCAGATTTTTATTATCTCTGATTTGGAATGTCTTCAGCGAGAGCCCGCAGGGCGACGCTGTCATCGAGTGCAGCGAGATTGATCGGCTAGTCCAAGCTATACGCTAAAACTACCAATTTGACAGAAATCAATGCATTGCTAGTCCTCTTTTCAAAAAACTCAACATAGCATTCTGGAAGAAGAATGACGTTTTACCACATGTAGAAATGATTTAGTAGGCGTTTTAGCCCAAGAGAAATTTATAGTAGCATCCCTCGTAAAAAAAAAAGCTTGATCTTAATGATAACAGACTATGCTTTGCTGGAAAAATGGCTACCAGACGATGGCTACAATCTGACCATGCATTTGAAAAGCTTTCATGATCTCTGCTATTCAATCTAGCCAGCCAAATGGGCATTGATAGCTGTTGTAACACAACTACAAGCACACATGTTAGGGTGTAAAACCAATGTTTGAATGGAAAAAGCTACAGCACGAATGGCACAAAGCAACAGATGCCAAAAGATTTTATAAATTTTATTTGTCTCTTGCTACTTTATAGGCACTGACCGAGAGAATGGTATACAAAATGCATTAAAATTCATCATGCAAAGTTTTACTTTCTGATGAAGCATCAGGTGAAAATGAATCAGCCTCAATGTGCTCTCGCAAGTCTATTACATTGCGTTAGTATGGCTACATCTTTGGCATATCTGTTCTGTACTATTACCTTTCATAAATTGTTGATCTACTGTCTCTGGAAACTCGACGAGATACTCTACAAACATATCTCCAAATTGATCGTGATTATCAATCAATGGCATACCAGCGCCATCGATCTTTTCCACAAAGCCATATTGAGTCACCCCACTGCGTGACACCTTTACCAGTGTTTGGTCTAGATGCTTGATCGACTTACTAAATCCAGTCAATGCTTCAATCAATGACAGTTTGATTTGAGTATACAAATCATTTCCACGTCTTTCAACTGTTGGATGGGCCGCTGTGTTGACAGTAAATACGACATCGCCAGTGTCGAAATCAGGCGATTCATTTGATTCCTCTTCAAATACCTTATTACACACTCATTTAGCTAAAGCCATACTCAAATGGTTGCCAACGACACTTACAATTTTTTGACCACTTGACATGCCTCTTTCTACAGTGACAGTGTATTGCTCATTTCCTCTCTTAACCTTGTGTCCATCGCATGCTTTGCAGTACTTTGTAATGATCTTTCCTTTGCCCTGGCACTTGTCGCATTGCTGCTGGAATTGTTGAACAAAGCCTGGTGCAATTTGAACTTGCTTCAACACATTGCCTTGACCTTGGCAAGTGCCACATGTGTGAATCGAGTCAGAGCTGTGGGCACCACTTCCAAAGCAATGACTGCAGATCACTTGCTTTGAAATGTCGATCTCTATATTTGCTCCATTGTAGATGTCTTCTAATGTAACCTGTAATGGAATCTCAATGTTGGCTGTCTTTGGTTTTCCTTGTGGTTGACCTACACATGATTGAGTTATTGTCGTCATGATGGATTGGTCCTGGATCCTCAATTACCTCCAAAGAACTGAGAAAATATGTTGCCAAATGGGTTGCTGCCTGCATTCTGCTGTTGTTGCTGCTGCTGCTTTAATCCCTCCTCTCCAAAGCGATCGTATGTGTTTCTCTTTTCCTCATTGCTGAGCACCTCGTATGCTGATGATTGTCAATACCGTAGCCTTTGTCTATCCATATGTATCAAACACTACCTTCTGCTATTTCCATAAACTTTTCAGAGGCAGTTGCATCGTTGGGATTTTTGTCTGGATGATAGACCCTCGACAGCTTTTTAAAGTGTTTCTTAATCTGACTCAGGGGGGCATTTTTCGGCACATCCAGGACTTTGTAATAATCTTTGCCCGCCTCCACCAACAGCTGAATGGAGAGAATCAATAATACACTGATCCATAATTTCAATGAACGAGTCATTTTGGTTTGCACAAGGTAAATTGGTCAGTGAGAAAGATCACAAAAGTAATAAACATTGAAGCTTATATATACAGTATAGTACAATGCGGGTTTTTAATTAACAGATTGCTGTATAACATGAGAAACAACCTATGGTATTTCAACAACAAATTAGACATACTGAATGCCATTCTCTTGTGTATGAACAAACAGTGGTCGGCTTTGCATGTCCATTGGACTGCCAGACCACAATACAAAATCACTGCTTAATAGCTGCTCTTCTTCATTTCCTTCTTGTTCCTTGAGTCCAAAGATCTCTTGGAGATTGGTTGTAACAAACTTGATGGCGTCGATCTCTGTGATTTTCAGTTCCTCTGATGGGGATGTGGCAGCTAACCAACCAGCATCCCATGCCAAGTTGCGAGCCCAGCCATCATACGACACACCCAGGCCAATTTTGACTCCATGATAATGTAAAATGTGTGCAGCTGTTCCATTCGTCAGTGGCGCACCCGTCAAGCAATGGCTCGAGTCAAAGTTTTCAGGCGTACACAAATACGGTCTTAAAATGACAGCTATATTAGCCGCTGCAAGATGTGGAGCAAGTAAGTGAGCCTCTGCACCTCCCATGATAGCCAGACGTGCCTTGGGAATCACCTTCTCCTTTAACTGAATAATCGATGCTATTTCGTCCTTGTTGTTTACCATGATGATCAAAGGGAGTTCACCACGAGCAGCTTCACCATAGCGATTGTTGGCATGGATGTTGTCTGTGAATATCTGACGCAAGAATGCAATCTGGGACGATACAGTGGGAAAGCTGTCTGATTTAGCAGAGTGTCCAATTTGAAAATGAAGAGCAGCTGCAGATGACATGATGGCTCCATTGGAAAGAACTGAAAAACATATCGCATGAGTATCGAGTATAATCATGCTATATGGCATGGTACCTACTTGAGTCAGCATTGGTTCTGAAAGCAGTGCTTACACCAACAACAATGTTTCTCGAAATGGGAAAGCTGATGGTCGTCAAAACGCCTCCTTTGTAAGCTTCTTCTAGTTTTCTTGTTCCCAGCTTGAGCCCATCTACTGCCTCAACAGATGACTTTGGGTTTTGCGTGAATGAGGATGGAACAACACCATCGCCGGTTGAGCCTTCTGTGGGGATCTCGACCATGCCTAATTTTGATCCCACAGCAATCAAGCCCTGCATTCTGATTAGTATCCATTATTTCAGCAAATACATACAACTTACAGGCAGCACATAACCACCTTGCACGTCGATTGTCTCTAGGTCATCTCGCATCCATATTGATTGAAAACCCTCCTCTTTTGTCGAGCAAACAATCTTTCCATCTTGCACAAGCACTGTCTTGGATTGACTCACAAAATTGGATCCCACATTGGTCAGAACAAAGTCCTTGAGGCCTTCTCTTGGAAGCTGTGATACTTTTTGTTGCACGAATGCACTCTGATGAGTGTCTTTTTTGACTGGCGTAATTGGGTTTTCATCAAACAGAGGCACGCCATCCACAAATACTTGAAGTGGTGCTGCTCCAAGAGCCAAAGGACTTTTGTCCCAAATAACAACATCAGCATCATACCCTACTCGCAATGAGCCCACGCGATGACCTAAACCAAGCGCATTTGCAGGAACAGATGTGATGGATTTGAATGCTTCTTGAGGCGGTAGTCCATAGTGTGTCGCTTTGGCTGCTTCAAATGCCATGTGCTGAGAATTGAGAACAGGATGATCGCTTTTCAATGCGACAGGAATGCCAGCTTCATACAGATACTTGGGTGCTCTGGGTGATGCACCATAGGCTTCTTTCTTGTAACCCCAGTGGTCCGCAAAGGTGGCAATAGTAATGTTGTTGTGTGCACGTTTCAGAATCTCGGGTATCTTGTAGGCCTCCAAAGCGTGGTGAAAGGCACTGATGTTGAAATTGAATTCCTCTGCATGTCGCAACATGGCCTCGATATCGTGGGTTTCATAGCAGTGGATGTTGAGTTTGACCTGACCTCGCAGTAATGCTGTCAGTGATTCCAATTTGATGTCTTCAGGGAAATGGCTATCAAGGTGGATATCGTTTTCTGCAGACGACAAGCTTTCTGCTGCAGAACACCAGTCTTCCTGCGCTTCAACGAGTTTCTTTGCATTGGCCAATGCTTGACGAAGCAAATATGCCTCTCCTAGTCCTATTCAATCGTAGGTCAGTAATGAGGCTTGTGTGTGTGTGTGTGTGTGTGTGTGTGTGTGTGTGTGTGTGTTGACGATAGTTACTTGTAGAAGGCATTCGACCAGCTCTGCCATAGCTCTGTTTAAGCAGCATGAGGTTTAAGATAAAACTGCATATGCTGCCATTAATGACGTACCTTGGGGTTTTCACCACAAGCCATCTTCATGTAGCGCCACTTCTGCTCCGTTTCCTCATCAATGCCATTCTGTACCAACATGTCTTGATTGCTCAGGGTGTCCATTGGCCTCAATTTGAATGCAAATGCTTCACCGCCAATGATATTTCCAGAGCCAGGTAGAACAAGCGCTGTAGTGATACCGCCTGATGCAACAATCCGAATCGCCCTGTCAGACGGATTGAATGCATCCAATGTCCTCACAAAAGGTGTAATGGGGTCTGTCTTTTCGTTCGTGTCTAATGTACCCGACAAATCTGGCCATGACATAACACCTATATGGCTATGCACAATGTTAGTCAACAAGGTACTATTATGCGATCCTTTAGATTTCAACATACGTGTGCATATCAACGATACCAGGAGATACAATGTGTCCTCCAACGTCGATAATTTTTGCGGAGACGGGTGCCTGGATATTCTGTTTCACCTGAGATATCACACCATTGCTCAATAAAATATCGACATGATCCAAAATCTCGCCCTGTCCATCCCAAACAACGGCATTTCGAAGAACAATAGGCTGGCCATTCTGAGGTGCACGCGGGTTGGATGTTCGCTTTTCTGGGTTGACACTAGGCACTCTGTTGCCAAGGCGAATCAGCTGGCATTTTGCCAACCCTTGCTGGAAGGCAGACGAGGAGATACCAGGTGTAATGGGTGCTTCAATTGGGTACGTGGTCCTTTTGTGCTTGCTATCGGGTAGCCATGTAGCTAGTCCAACGAGTAACAGGATGAAAAAGAGAATGGCTGAGAGTACAACGACAGGCAAATGATGCTTTCTTGCATAAGCTTTATAATTGAATTGTTTGATGCGATTGATCAGTGTTGATGGCCGTTGCTCTCCTTGCTGTGTTTGTTGAGCGTCGTCTGGATCGATTGCCGGTATAGAGCTATACCCACTTTGTGTGGACATTTTCCTTTGCTGGGTACTTTGTTCGAAAACAGGGAAGAAAGCGAAACAAAAGTAAATTATGTTTATCGGGCGTAAGGATGCTAATTAAGCCCTCGTAGTTGTTACACCAGCTGCTGTGATGCTAATGATAAATCAACTCATCCTTTCCGAATTTCTATTTCTTTTCATACTACAGTATGCCCATTCTCAATGGTGTATCTTTGATTTGTATTTGCAATTGGTAGATTGTTGATGTAAAAGTAGTATTGCGAGCTTGAATAATTTGTTGATGGAAGTGGCGGAAGGAGAGTTTCTTCTCTCAGTTTGCAGCAGATAATGCTTGTTATTTTGGTGCAAATGTGTCATCAATAGGTAGCGCATCAGATGACATGACAAATTGCAGAGCATCTCTTACAAATTACTATGCCCATCTTTGATCCGAAATTTGCAACAATTTAGACTTTGACTGCTTATGTTGCTCTGGAATATTAGAGGAAACAGCCATTGACTACATGTGGATGTGGCATCTTTATCTTTGCTGTGTGATTTGGAGTCATGTAGTTGTTCAGTTTCGTCTCATTTCAATATAGGTTGATCTTCCATTTAATGACCTTTATCTTTTTTTTTTTTTTTTTTTTTTTTTTTTTTTTTTTTGATGAATGGCCAGTTGAGCAACCTTTCAAAGGTAATCTACATGTCAATAGGTGCTGTAGTAATCAGACGATGACCCAGACTGAATAGTTTGTAAGTTTGCTCCATCGACAAAATGCAGACTAAGTGTGTTGCTGCGAGTTTGGGCTATCTTTCATACATGTACCTTGAGCTTGCCTAATACATTTGGTACAACTATTCCTCATGCATTCAATTGAGAGATCTCTGGTGTCAGATAGCTCTTCTCTGTCATTGCCACTGAAGGCTTCCTACTGTATCTGTTGAACGCTTTATTGAGATCTCATTAGAATAAGAGCATATGCTACGTGAATCGTGATCGTTTCTACCTGATTGTTTGCCATGCCTAGTAACTGCAAGTTGGTATTTTGGATTGACTAAATATGGCTGTTTTCAACCTGTTGGATTTGCAATTTTATTCATTGTGTCTGGTTAATTCCTTGTCCATAGTAGCCTTTCATAAGCTAGATGCTCACTTGGGACAATCCGAGCCGTACTAGTTTGCTCAGGGTACAGAGCTTGGCAATTGCATGCCAATTTACCGCTATTGTGGAAGCGGCTGCCAAAATCAACTGGAGGCTTTGTCTGGTTTTATGATCTAGTGGTAGAATGAACCTGGTAGCATGCAGACATGACGCTGCTGGCTAGATTTTGTTTTAATAGAATGTCCAGCTATCTTCAAACTTGATATGTAATCTTCTTTACCTTGTAATAATTAGGATCTATCGATGATACTATTACGTGTATTGTTGGCTTGTTGTTTAATGCAAGATTGGATTGACAGATTTTTTGTGTACATCCATTATGTTATTTGTAAAATGAGGAGCAAAAATGCTAGGAAAATGGTTCTCAACGTTTACATGTCATTATATCTTTTAAATCAGTATATGTGTCTGTTATTCCAAGATGGTACAGCTATAAATGTAAATGTTACTTTATTCAAGGACTGAACAAGTAGGGCTATATCGTACACATCTTTCTAGAACCCGGTGTATGTGAAGCGTTACTTCCTTCAGCTTGCGTAGGTTATTGAAACATGCGGACGAAAGCATACAACATAGAGTCAATGGCTGTGTGATTAGCGTTAATTTCGAAATTTGAGCCCTTTTCGCCTAATCATAATTTAAACCTGAAATTAGGCATTAATTGCTTTGTATATCTTTGAACACGTCTGATACGGACCACTCTAAAGAATTTTCATGGACCACCTATTGACTCCGCACTTATGGCACTTGAGCGTGGCATTATGTATATGAATTTGTAGAAGACAGAGTATTATACGTTTACGCTTGTCTCTTTCTATTTCATTGCACAGGCTTGAAGCCTAACTTTTCATTGATTTACATTGTTTGTTTGCATATGGAAATGCTGTTGACGTTTAATTTAGGGTAGTAACTGTAAGGAAATAACCACCTAAAACCAACCTCATTGAAAACCGGAACTCATCAAGTATCACTTATTCAAATTCATGCTATTTGAATCTATTATAAAAGCGCACAAATGTGCATTAAACAACCATGTAAACATGCTAAAGTAGAGATGCACCCTTTATCTCGAACATCGTGTGAATGAGCCACCTTTGATCAAAGTGTATTTAATCACACTCGTGATGGTTATAAAAAGTGACGCTATTTTATACAGGCAACATCAAATCAGTTACAAACATACTCAAATATGACAACTATGCTCTGATGCCATAGTTGCACCGTACTCCAGATAAAGGTATTCACGTTTCAATAACAAACATCACGCCTTAAACTGTCAAGGCTACATTAAAGCATACTATGCCGATAGCTCATCCAAGCCCACCAAGATTTTCAAATCGGCCCTTTGACGAGTGCTCTTGCATCGATTACCAGTTTGAATCAAACATCAACAGCATTTGCCAGATATCGCAATAGCAGCACCTATTGCTCTCTATCATCACTAACCATACAAGCTAGTTGCAAATGCATAAATATTCTTTTTTTTTTTTACTCAATTACAGGGTCTTCAGTTCATTTTACACAAAAATATAATACAGTTAATATCTATTGTATTTTATTATTACTCTACTATGAAATCCATTAAACCTGATTTCACCGCCGGTATTTCAGAAAATAAATAGCTCAGCCTTTATACTGCCAGAAAATGAGGGTCCATGAATTTCTGAGATCGTTTAACCTCGAAATCAGGCAATTTTTCTCAGGATAGAGTTTAAAGGCGAATCTAATCATACTAGTCTCTAGGGCATTCATCCAAGCATTTTAAACTGATAGTTGGTATGATTGTTTTCGCGATTTTTTCATTGTTCTCTAACGATTAATCAGTATCTGTCATCAAAACATTTTGTTAATCATTACTAAGCATTGTAGATCAAAAAATTTCCTATCGAATGAGCTATTGCTTGAAACTCTGGCATAACTCTATCATGAAATGTTGACAATATTGTCCTGACCAAAAAATTGTCCCCAAATTTTCCGTTTGCTATCACAGGCAGATTTTGAAGAAAAATCGATGATTTTGCATGATACTCTTTTTTGACCATATCTCGACAAATATTCACTGGATTCGCACAAAACAAAGACCATTCGATAGCTCTATGTTATATCCATTATGATATGAGAGCTTTAAGTACCAGGTGTACGTTCCCTTCATAAATTTGCTCAAAATCATATATTTTATGAGCTACAAGCAGGGGATATTCAACTTTTTATTTATTTATCTATAATAACCACACCATCGTATAGAGAATTGAAAAAGAAACAGAAGCTATTAAGTTTTAAGCTCATGTTCACTTAGTAGAATCAACCGGTACGGCCCTTTGAAGATTGACCATTTTCACTCCTTTTCATCATTACTCATCGACATCGCTCTCAACAAGCCCAATTAAACACGTTCTGATCAAACAAAGTACCTTCTGCAACTTTTACTAGACATACAATCAACATTCATATAGCAATTTAAAAAGTTTTACTAGTAGCATCTATTCTGATGTATCATTTCTAAACCGGATCTCCAAATGCGTAGAAACAAGAAGTTCAAGCACTGATCTCATCAGATCATAAACTTTGACATGAAACAGGATTCAGTTACGATCCATATCATGGCATGTTCAGGATAATAGATTGGACATATTATCCTATCACCCAAATTAACTCATCTAATACCTTATCTTCACATCAAATCCCTCAATTCGAATAGTATATAAACCCTCTTATTTTCAATGTAATAAACGATATTCTTTACCTGATTAATAATTTCATACTCTTTTTTATAAATAATTTATTTCTGATAAATCAACAAGAGTTGAGCACATGGACGTTTCCATGCTATTATTAAAAGAAAAGCGTTTTTTTGCTAGTGTAAACTCCAGTTTGGAAGTCCAAACCCTAATTTTTTGCAAGGAAGTATAGCAGATACCTAAACGAGGTCTCATTTTGTAGAGCAAATACAGAATAGCAAGACGTAATTAATGCTTGGTTGACTTTTGACAGTTGAACAAAGAATAGCATCGAAACACTGGCCTTTCTACTATATTATTGCTTTGCTCTACACCTTACCCTCTATAATTATTTGGCAACCAATATAGCATCTGAAAACCCCTTTCTATGTTTGACAACCCCTCAAAATAGGCATATCATCTTTCTGATATAAAGTTGCTACCATCAACATAGGGTGCGAAAAAGCTGTCCCCTCTTCTTGCTGAGATGCGCAACACAACCTTCAACCTTTGCCAAACTAAAATGAAGCAAGATATCAACAGACGGTTTTGAATACAGCGTTTCCCAACATTGCATCCATCTATTTATTACTCATAATCACTTGTATTTAGCAGGTTGTCATAGGAACACCATGGCTCAACATTACCTTATCTCGAAAATTTTCCATTTCTCGACAATAATCCTTCTAATCCAATTACCCTGCCATTTTTATCGCAAACTTTCTCATACGAACATGCTACTTTCAAAGCGAACTTCAAAGAGAAATCAAAAGAGTAACAATAACCGAATAGAGAAAAGGCCGCGCGTGAAGATTCCAAGGTATAACCCCTAATACAGGTCTATCTGTTGGCAAGCCATGCTGGATTGTCTTGTGGAAAGGATTAGCACGACGAGATGAGATGGGATGGTGATTTAGACTTTCATTTGATGTGCTTCTTAAGATTGCGTTATTCCTGTATACAGAGAATGTGTAATGCGCATAACCTTTCGCTGATGATAGGTTTGAAAAGATGAAAGATGTCAAAAGCGATAATCGTTTAAAACTAAGTACAGTCCAAGTGGATGGTCAGTAAAGAAACGAGGTTCAGCTAGCAAGACTTTTTATCCTCGACGACGCGAATAAAAGCATGATACAGTATAAAGTGATATATAAAAGAACAACAGATTCCAAGTCAACAGAGCTGATGGGACTTGTCAGATCCCAATTCTTTCGATTTAAGGACTGAAAAACTCGAGAGGTATTATGCTGTTAGTTGCAAATTATCACGATATAGTTTTTTCTGAAGTATGGGTCCCTTTCATACGCATATGGGTGATAATTTAACTCTGAGGTACCAGACAGTAACATCATTACATGCAATAACGGAACACAAGAAATAGTACAAGGGCAATTGTGAGTCAAATATGCACCCTTTTGAAATGGTTTAGTTGGTGTAACTAGAAAAGCTTTATGCTTTCCACTCAAGCATGATATGGCACCTATTTATTTGCTCCCCACGTTTTGTGATCAAAAAGTTTTACTTCCTTCTTTCTTTCACATCATCATTCATTTCTCTTATTCTTTCTTTTGATTTTGCCTTTTTGTACCTAGCTGCATACAAAAACCTACATCCATTGATATTACAAAAGAGATGGGAACTAGCAGTGAGTATCTTTTGATGATTCCATCAGTTACATGTCTAGCCAGTTGTTGCCTCATTATCAAATTCTAACGCCTTTTCAATTGAATGCACAAAGATACATACCACAACAATTCTTTATTTTCAGAGTCTGAACAAAATCGATTGCGTCAATTCCTTGACGGGCTTGAAGACCAAGGTAAAGACATGAAATCTATTCTACATTGTGTCAAATTCTAATGACAAAATCGTATTATCCCTTAAATGGAAATCTTTTGTAATTAGGATCTTCGGCACCTGTTGCGCCTGTCCACTTATCATCCCCACCTCCTTTTCATGCAACCTCCCATCGCACCAATACATACACTGCTGGCGGTATACAGATCAATACATTATTCATTCAGCCAGTTACTAGCAGCAGCAAGAGCTCGAGTACAAGCAATAAAAAGGGTTCAAAGAAGCCATACGATAAACAGAAGCGTCGGCAGAATTCACCCCATTCGTCGTCTTCATCCATCGCATCAGATGAAGCCCAAGCCAAACCGAGATCAAAAGCAAGCACCAGTAGAAAGAAAGCAGTAGAGCTCTTAAGTGATGACCAAAAGAGAGCTAATCATATTGCATCTGAGCAAAAGAGAAGAGCAAACATCCGTATAGGCTTCGAGAAATTAGTAGACATAGTCCCTACGCTGAGCAATGGACATCGAAGTGAAGCATTGATATTACAAAAATGTGAGGAGCAATTACATATTCATGCATAATGAAGAGAAGGCTGATATTCAATGCGCTATAGCTGTAGAGCATTTACGGCAATTAGTGGAATCCAAGACATTACTGAAAGAAAAAGCTCGCAAGCTCCAGTTAATGCTGGGAGAAATGTATGTGTGATTACAATACTTATTGGTTGCAAAATATTAATGCAAATTATGTTATTAGACCTGATGAAGATGTAAGCGGCGTACATCATCTTTTAATATACACGTCTAACTTTTAACAATAGAGTTCAGAGGGTGAGATAGACTATGATTTCTAGTCCACATTACATTTCAACATTTTATCGCATACATAATTATTCATTCTATTTATTTATTAAAAGAGATATACATATCATTATCGAGAAAATCTACAATCTGGAAGACAGTTTCTGTAATCTATCCTTGATCAATGCAATTGGCTCTTGCTGCACACATTTCATGACACCTCGAGTGAATATCGCCTTTGCATTACCTTGAACTACACACATGTTAGTATACAGTTTGTAGGCACTGTGCTGTTTTTTCTTACCTGATCCACTGGATACCAATTGTTCCAACACATCCACCGCAGCGGATCGAATAGCTGAATATTTGAGATCATCTAATGAATCAAATACAGCCTTCATTAACGCACTCATCACCTTGTCGTCAGCCAATCCAGTTGAGGTTGCGTGATCCACAAATGTTTTCAGGCTTTGCAAAATAGCTAGCTGTACATTCCACACATTGCCACGAAGACAGCTTGTTGTCATCTCGGCCAAGCTTAATGTTTGAGTGTCTTGACTAGCGAATGATCTGGGTCTGTAAGCTGACACAAGTGCCTTGAATGCATTGGCCTTGATCATCAGCAATAGAGGCTTTGCATTATCGTTATCTTCGTCCTCCATGGCTGCTGTTTCGTCCATTTCGCACAATTCGGTCAGGAATTCTTGCTCCATGTCAAGCACATTCATTTTTTCAGCAAAGCAATCATTGAAACTTGCCAGCGACACCAATGCGTGGCGTTGGTAAGCTCTGTTTTTGCGCTTGGCTTCACGAACCATGATTTTGGCTACCTCCGCGAGTGAAGGCTCTGATTCCGAACCTCCAAACGAGTCCTTTACAGAGATACACAGCTGGACAAATGCATCCAACACGTTCTCTTTACCAGCCCAAGAGCGGGTAGCCAATGTGGATACCAACACAGGCAACAGCTTATGCGCGTGTACTTGAACGCCCTTACCAGTGGCCTTGCACATGTCAGCAATAGTGAGGGCAGCCGTTTGCTTGATTTTCCAAGATGAGGATGTCAATAGAGGTTGGACAAACTCGAGAATCTCGTCAGCGTACATGGTAACCATGCTACGAGTGCCAGACGTCAGATTCTCCCAAGCAGCCTTCCACAGTTTGTCTAGATCTTCCTCGGGGTCATGCTCACCAAAGAATATAAGAGGAACAATGACTGTAGCGATAGAATTGGCTCTATCGGTAGCAAAACGGGTGATTTCAACAGCTGTTACAGCACTACCCGCCTTGGCATCTTCATCTAGATTGGAGCAAAAGGTCAATCACAAGGTTCCATTCATCGTTGCTATCAAACTTACCCTCTTCATCAATGTAAAGCTTCTTCAGGTGCTTTACAACAGAGACAAGTCTGTCATAAGTAGCTAATTGACAGACGTAGCCGATAGCAGTGGCATACGACTTGCGAATCACTGGATTCTTGGAACGAATAGTGCCACTCAAAGCCTTCAGATAAGCGTCCGCAAATGGCTTAAATGCAGATCGACGATTCATGACCAAAGTAACAATGAAGCGAGCACAGCCAGCCTATATAATAGAGCGTACTTGATAAGCCAGATTTCGACTTGATGCTGCTGCTGCTAAACTTACCTTGGTAGGAAGACCAGTACCTTTTCTAACAATATGGAGAATACGAGGTGTCAGTTCCTCCATGACTTGCTCATCAATCTGATTGACACAGTGTTCAATGCCTTCCATCATGGGCGAGTTTTTAGCACCACTTAAACGGGCATTATCCAACTGCTCTTGAGATATGTTGTACTTGTCCACATGGAAACTAAGGTAGTTCATCGACTGGGGTTCCAGGGCTATTGTCTACAGGTGAATACGGCATTTCAGCGTATGGCTATATGATAAGGCTTACATGACAATGATTGCAGCAGTGTATCGATGAGCTCAGGTACGTATTTCTTTAGCAAAGCAGCGCCCGTCTTGCACACGCGCAATACAGCATCCAAACTGAACTTGCGTACATCCTCAGCGTCTGAGACAATACCTTTTTGAAGCAAGAATGGCATGACAATGTCCATCACCTTTAAGCCATCCGCCATAGCAACCATAGTAGGATCGCAGTAATGCACAGTTAGCTTTGTCAGTGAACGACAGGTGGCAGTGGCGGCTTGACGCACGGAATCCTTAATGTCATCCAGGGCACGGAAACACATTTGCCACAACTGTTCAAGATAGGGCTCAATCTGAGCCAACTGACGGCCCATGACGAGGTCAGTGATAGCAGCACAAGAGGCCTCACGAATACGCCATTGACGATTACCAAGGCCAGTCAGCAGATCTTGCATGATTTCGTTAAAGTAAGTGTCTACGGTCTTTTGGTTGTCCTTAACCAGCGACTTCCAGATGGACTTCATTGTCTGATTCACACGAGGGTTAGGGTCGAATTGGTATCTGTAGAGCTTTGGAATCAAGCGAGGCAAGTAGGGCTCCATCTCCTTTTCTGCCAGCGCCATCAAATTCTGGAAACCGAATGCAGCACCACGACGTGATGTCCACATGGCATTGTGGTTGGCAAGGTTCATGAATTTATAGATGAGATCAGGCTGGTTGAGCTCAGAGGCTAGTGAGCAGAGCTCCTTGTAGGTGGTAATGGAATTGCCATCGGGCGTCTCTCCCAGAGCACCTTCTTCAAATAGCACCGTGTTATCAGTAACAGATTGTGCTTGAATTTGACGACCCTCTGTGAACGTGCCGACCAAGGCGTACAGCATGTCTTCCTTGATTTTTGCATCGCCGTATTCGTAAACAAGACCGAGACCCTTTGAGGCACATTCCTGAGTGAAATCATCGCGGTCAGCCAAAAGACGGGAGAAAGAGGCGTGCATGTTGCCCAAATTGGTCTTGACAAGTGGTTGATCTTTACCGAATTTGAGGATAGAGAGTAACCAAATACAAGCGGCCTTGCGATACCATGAGCGGTTACTAGCAACATAGTTGCGGATCATTTTGTCAATCACGGGCTGGAAAGCGTAGCATTCTTTGGTGTTCAGGTCTTGCAGTAGGGGCATATCGCTCATGTCCTTGTACTTTTGCATGGATTGAGAATCCCAGCCAAACGCCAACACGGACCAAGCCTCGCCACTGGCAAAAGCCAACTCAACTTGCTTGGTGTCAGCTGTCGTGTAGAGTGCATCAACAATCTTTTTCACAAGGGCATTGTGCGAGTGTTGCACAAGAGGGATGGTGAGATGGCCCAGTGCCAGTGTGGCCCTCTCTTGTACCTTGGCTTCCTTGCATGTGTTGGCTAACTTGGAGAGCTTCTCAATGACATCTTCCATAGCAGTGTCAATGTCCATCGAGCTGTCCACGCTTTTTTCTACAGGGAAAGGCAATAGCTGAGAGCGACCAATTTCTGCAATAGCTTGGCAGGCAGCATTTGCCATCATATAGAAGGGAGAGCTAGCAGGTCCTTCCAAGAGGTTTACAAGGTTGGAAACGCAGCGTTGGTAGAGTGCTTGAGGCAAATTGCGCCTGCGATAATGGCAGCGGCCTACCAGGTAACCAATAGAGAGAGTAGCGCCATGGCGGTGATCCATGGCTTGCTGTTGTTTTCCTTCAGGGGCCTCCAGAATGTCGCAGAATTCGGAGAGCATGGCATCAATTTCAGCTTGAGGCACACTGTCATTACTAGCAATGATACCAAAGATATGGGACACCAGGATACGCGCATCCAGCTTATCGGAAAGAGACAGTGATTTGAAGAATGAAAGGCGATCTTTGAAGGTGGTGGAAATGGAGGAGGGACCAAACGAGATGATTTCCAATAGACATTTAGCAGATGTAGCGAGCAGAATAGAGTCTATGGACACTACAGTCAGTATACAAGTGCACTGCCACTTACAATCAGACTCCCATTTTTACCTTTCAATTCAGGATCCAAGCCGTACTCCACAAATTCCAGCCAGTCTTGCAGCACTTGCTTATCCTCGCTATGAGACCACATCTCAGCAATACTGTTCTTAAAGTTGAGCATAGTCACAGGGTCTTCAGATATGCTATTCTCCACCTTGTCAGCCACGTATTGATCAATCAAGATGTTGGTTGGGTTGACTTGCAAGATCCAAATCATACGTAAGAAGCGCAAAATCTCAGCGTACACTTCCACAGGATACCCTTTGACCACTGGTGTCTTGGACAGCAAAGAGTAGTTTTCGTCAGGACGGTGATTATGGATGTAGTTAACCAACTCGTTCAGTTGAGGCAATTCTGTGGGAGCAATGACATCAACATTCTCTACCAGGCCATACTTGTTGCGCACAAAAGGCACCAAACCACGACGTGCTTCTTCCTTGACATCAAGCTTTACAACAGCGTTGGAGCTGCCCAAGAGACACACGTAGCGGGCAAACACATTTGAGAAAGGATAGATGGCATTGGCGTATTTCAAAGCCATGTAACGAGAATACGAGTCGCTCTTTTGCACTGCTTTCAAGATAATCTGTTGTAAATCATGGTAAATGGGCGCATCGGATGCAATATCCACATAGATTTCCATCATGGAAGACAGAGCGTCTTGGACATAGGTGCGGACGTTCTTTTGCTCTTGCTCCAAATTGTCGAAAAAGAGAGAAAGCATATGTGTGTCTTCTAAGCCAACCTTAGGCACCTTCTTGGCTACAAGACCGCAGGCAATATAAGCATACCCTTTGATACTCTCTGCATCGTAGCCTTGTGTCTCTTCGTTTTCGTTAATGTACTTGAGCAGACCTGAAATGATGACAGGTGCAACAGGGCCAATGCTTGATTCTTTGCTCTGTAAAAAAAAAAAATGGTTATCAGCACACTTGGATACACTGCACGCCTATTCATCTACTTACCATGCGTGCACACCATTGCAAGAAGGACATGGCAGATCGTTGCAATTTGGCATTAGTGAGATCACCATAAATACCATCAAAAATGACCTGGATCATCGGTGCTACCATGTTGGTAGCGGCAATTGATTTTGACAGGTACTGCAGGATACGCAATTTGGCTGCATTCGGTGCCTGAGATCTGCCATCCTTGTTGGCTGCTTTGGCAGTAGGTTTGGAGCCCAAATACAGCTTGTACAGTGACTTGATGGTAGCTTCGTCCTCGTAATCCACGTTGCCTGTCCATCTACGCATGCCGTCTTCACATGCTGATACCACCTGATGATTGGGATCACATACACCTGCCACGAGCAACGGTAATCGCTCACTGTCAGTGAAGATGGGTGTCAGGATCAGGTTCATGATACCCAACTTGGCATCCTTGAGCTTGGATGTTGTCCAATGAACTTTTCCCTTGTTGGTCACTTCCTCCACTGCCAATGGACTCAATCCAGGATATTTGGGTGCGGTACTTTCCTCCTCTTGCTCTGCAATTTCTCTCGCTGTCAAAGGTTGATACAACATGACATCCAGAAAGAAACTCAAAATGAATGGGATATCGTTGGGGTTCTCATCAAAGTGGAAGACAGCTGTTCTTGCTGTCAATTGCTCTCCATGGTCCATTTTCCATTTTATTAACACCTACAAAACATTAGGGCGAGTCTACAGTTTCCACAGTAGCACTGGTCTGACTTACAGGCAATACGATATGAAGCAGTGGAATGCGTTGCTGTGCGGGCCTGTTGCTGATGCCTCGCAGAAATTCAGGTACATGATGAGCCGTTTCTTCTGCAGAGAGACGACTGGCAGCCATTTCCAGGTACATGAGAGTGAAGTTTTTGACAAAGGTCGAGACAGACGCATCTGTGAACTGCGATAAGAGGGCGTCAAAAGGAAGTTTGATCTTGTCGTTGGTCTTTACTCGTTTGTTGATGTGCGAGAGGATCTCCATTACTTTCTTTTTAGCTTCAGCATTGGTGCTGGCTAGTTTGAGTAAAACGGGCGGGAGGAAGATTTGTATCGTCTTTTCCAACTGTGCATCAGTATTGCACATGGCAAGCTTAAGCTCGACATTTTCTGCGGGCAATGGTCAGTGGATATGCTGTGTACTGCTCTTACTTCAAGCTTACCAAGTAATTGGACTTCGTTGCTCATTTAATTTGCTAAAAAAAAAAAGAAATGCAGGAAAGCCAACCTTGGAATTTTAAATTATATACAAACTGAATCAGTTTCGGAGGGACGCGTAAGCCTTGAATTTGTCCGCGCGTTCTGCCTCTGCTGCTGTAATCATTTGCACAGTAATTTATGCCCTTCTCGCATGACGGCGTCGCCCTGCAGGTTCTCGCCAAAGACATTTCAAACCAGAAATAATAAACTTGTTATATCAAGTAGATTTTAAACATCCAATTAATAAAAGAAAGGTTATATCAGAGTCAGATAGGTAGAAATCCCCTTTGCACTCCCCTTTGCTTATACACTGATATCAAACGAAACTCTTGATCCAATGTGTGTGAGAGAGAGAGAGTTCAAGTTTCATGTCGCTGATGTTGCTCTTGATATGGCGACATCAAGCTGGCCATGCGAAAATACAAGGCTTTTAAGATTTACAGCGACTTTGAGAGATTGTCCTTGAGATTTGCTAATTGTCGTTGCGAAATACACCTTTATAGGAAAATGCCCAACAAAAGGAAAAGAGAGTGTTTAGGCTAAGCAATAATTCTCTTAAATCCATGATCCCCATTTAATCAGCATCTATACTATCATCATTATTAGCGTCAGAAAGGCATGTTGGTCAACTAGCAGCACTGCCACCTGCTAAAATTGATTCAAACTCAGTATATTTTTTCTGTTCAAGATTGGACAGATTTTGTCTTTTCTCGACTTCTTTAATTTATTTTATAATATTCGACCATATAAACTGTAATGATCAACATACGCTTTCTAATTCATTCTTGAAGTACTTTTCAAGGCGCTTCCAATGGTGCTAATTGTAATATGTGTTTTGACTGAAATTATTGGGCAATTTAATAAAATTTGAAGTGAGGTTTTTGGCCAAAATAGCCATATTTTGCATATGAAAGCCTCATAAAAGTAGTTTCAGAGGTTGCTTTGGATCGAGAGAAACATTTTGATTCAAGGTATACCATAGTAAAAGTCTTCATTTTCAAGGAAAAAAAGGCGATCGTTTGATTTTCGACGAAAACCATGAGGGGTACCTCATGGTTAGGAGTCGATTTTTAACTATTCCAAAAAAAGTTGAGTAAAGGTGTCAGGCAATTAGCGTCAGATCAGTGCAACTGCTTGGTGCTATTCTATCGGTATAAACAAGCTTCAAACAAGAGATATTACTGCTCAATTGCAGCCAATTGGCTGTCCTTAGCACATTTTTGAGTATTAAGAGATAATGCAAGTATGTTATCTGCCTTTATATGAATTATTGTCGTCAATACGGACGAGGCTAAACGGCCGACATCATATTGTTTTAAGCAAACCTCAATGATACCAGCCTTGGATATTGGAAAGAGTAAGTGGGGTAGCATTTTGAAATTAAGAAAGGGGTTACGTGCGGTTATTACGCCCAAAGAAAAGCATGGTTTGATGATAGCGACCAAGATAGCGACTCCAACAATGAAGACGCTACACAGTATAGACTCTGCCCAGCATCTGTCCAGCCCATTATTAGACAAGACCTGACTGGCAAAGCACACCAACTTATTGAACGCAACATCTCCAGTTGTGTTCAAATACTCAAGATTGCACTTGTCTTTAGCAACCACGAGCTCACATTAGCTCATGGCAAAGTGCCACTTCTTCAAAGTCAAGGCTCAAGTATATCCCAGGTGCTCCCAAATGTCTATCTGGATAGAGACATAACTGTGGCAAGGCCATTAGAGGCTGATTGTTTCAACAATCAAGCGTTCAAACCAGCCATTAACTTACTGTTTCAACACGGCCACTTCAATCTGATTCACTATTCTTGTACGGCGCCAAAGAACCAACGCCAGCTACACTGAAGCAGTACAATATACATTAATTTATATCAAAACCATTAGGATTTGCTCCAATAGCAATCTAACACCATTTACCATCCCATATGACCAAAATGGAACATTAAACAGTGATGAGCTCGTCCTCAATGATGGTAATACATTAGGTAAGCGACAGAAAAAGTGCTGTAACGCTGTACTAACCAATGCATCATCCTTTATACTACTCATTTCTTTGGTAAGTTTTCACTTCAATCTTGTATAATTTCAAAATCTTTTTTTTTACCGCTTTTGGGCATAGTAGTTGTTCATACCATCAAGTAATTCATGCAAGGAAATGATGGGGTTTTTTTGGCTTTATATGCAAATTGGTAAAATAGTATCTGAAATCTATATAAAATCAAGGGGCAAGAGATGAATCATCCTTTCATTGGGCTGTCTAAAAGCTGTTGCTATTATCTATTGGGCTGCTTGCTGCTGATGAAGAAGCTGCTCCTGGAGCTTGGTTCATCACTTCATCCAGACTGATATGGCGAGACAATTCGTTAAAGACCTGTTAATTTGTATCCTGTCAGCCATCATGTAAACACTCATGTCACTTCTCAACTTACAGTTTCATCGACGGGTATAATAGATTTACGTCTAAATTGTTGATACTGTTGCTGAGGTCCTGAGTCAAATTGTTGCTAGATCAAACACAAGTTAGCTTAATAGTTTCAAGATCCACTTTTGTGCTTACCATGTCAGGGTGAATCACATCATGATGCTCCTCGTGTTGCTGGCTGCTACTGTGATCCAATTCACCATCTGTTTCCTCGTCAGTCATGATATCAAATTCCTGTGCTTGTCGATCATGATCTTGATCTTCATACACATCCTCTTCCTCATCGCCGTCCTCCTCATCGTCAAAATTCGGTCTTGAAGGGAACGAAAAGTTGTAGAATTCATTGTCGGCAGATGTTGTAATGGTAACTGCACTGGTACCAGACACTTTACGCTGCAGCGTTTTCCAGTTTTCCTCTCTTTCTCGCTGCCTCTTTCTTTCACTAAGCTTAAAATGAGAACCAAGCGCAATTGGATAGCAATATAGCACACACTTACATTTGTCGTTGCTGTTTGTATTGATTAGCACACTCATCAAACAATTCGGGGCTGATATCCATGCATAATTTCAGCGCATTGTAGACCAACCCGAGAATTGTCTTGTTCCAGTGAGTCTTCGACGTCTTGTAGAGCGTGGGGAATATAATGGGCATAAGCACATTCATATTCTCAGCCATCAAATTGACGAAATATTCGTTATTCCAGAAATAAAGCGCTCTTTCAGCTACTTGGAAATGAGTACTGGATACACATTGCCCTAATTTTGTGAATAAAGGCACCATGAATTGCTGAAAATCGGAATTCTCGGTGACATCCATGACCTCCTCTAGCTCGTTTAGGAACATCACTTCTTTGGGGCTGTTCACCTTGGGCCAATACCTTAATAGACCGCTCACTACTTCCTGTGCCAATGCATTATTCTTCTCCAGAAATTGAACCACACAATAGGCCAACTGAGGATGGTATACGGCCAGCGACTTCACCTTGTGCAATGGGATTAGCACACGTCGAAGAAATTGCTTGTGCTCTTCTTTTAGTGGCAAGGCAAATCCGTTGATAATACTGCCCAGGATCTCGAGTAATTCAGCGATGCCGTTGTGTCGTTCTGTTTCATAAATAAATTGGAAGAAAATGTTGTTGATTGATCTGCGGATAAAAGCACGCAAGTTGAGAAATTTGCCATAGATACGATGCAATGTTGTTTTGAGAAAATCTCTTTCTCTAGGATCTTCGCTGTCAAATAGTTCGAGCAACTGTGAGAGTGTGAGTTATGCATCCATTTTGCCCATCATCAAGAAACCGCACTCACTTGCAAGATAAATTTTTGATCAATGTAGCGTTTGGCGAAATTGATGTTGAAATCGGGCGACTCGAGGAATCGTAAAAAGAACTCGTATACAATTTGTAAATGTGGCCAAGCTAGTTCTAGCACTGGCTCGTCTTCCTCTGGATCGTAAGCATCACCTGTTGGATTGACTTGAGGTGGAATTGTTCGAAACAGATTGATGGCAAATAGTTTGACAATTTCCGGATAAGGTGCCTCTGATGTCAAGACACCCAGATTATTACCAACGTATTCCAACAGTTCTTGTAATGTCTGACGCTTAATCTCTTTTTCGTTTAGCTCGGAGGAAGGATCTGAGAAATCACAAATCACCATACATTGGCGCAACTTTTGTATGAGTAAATCACCTCTCAAATGAGGCGGTATTTCTAAGCAAACCTAGTTTAATTCCAAAAAACCAAAGCTCAGCTCATTTGATTTACCATGAAATCCTGGCGTTCTTTCCAACTGAATCTTTTCTTTTGCATAGAATCGAGATGATTTCTGACGTCTGGGTGATTTGCTAACAGGTATCTGATCTCTGGTTGCATTTTTCAGGCGATTGATAGGTCCAGCTCTTGGCATGTCTCTCTCACCACCAGGTTTATGTGAGGAATTGGGAGAGCGAAGCTATTACATGGAAACGTAAGTTTGTGTGCGCATAATAGCGCCTTCTGATAGATCCTACCTGTTGAGGGGAACTGGGCTGTGGAGATGATGATTGCTGTTGTGCAGGTACGAATATGATAGGTTGCTGAGGTGGTGAATTACTGCTTCCAGATGATGGGCTATTAGCTGATGTTGGGGAACGACTCCCAGCAGGCGAGTTCTAGGAGTGAGGATAATACAGTTTAGACAAGCTTGCTTCTTTGAGGCATCATTTCTTAGTTTACATTTCCAGTCCAACTTTTCATGATATAGTTTGTTTAAGAATAAAAAAGGAGGATTATAATCTGCTTTTGTTGCTATTTTGTTGGTAAAAAGAAAGAAAATCGAACGGGTAAATACTTGTACTAGTGTCAAATGTTGTTAGTATGGTGTCTTATACGCACTGTCTAGTGCTATTTACATGGTAAATTGGGATGTTTGATATATTCTGAAGGGTAGAATAATGATACTTGTTACGTTTGAAGGGAAGAGAAAAAAAAATAGAGAAAAAAAAAAAAAAAAAAAAAAAAAAAAAAAACTATACAAGAATAGCATCTTGAACGGGGTGTTCGTCGTAAAGCCAATCATAAGAGGTAATTTTGCTTTTATTGTGGGTATATGGAATAAATATTAGTTGTTAAATGCGAGTATGATCTGTGTCGTATGAGGTGGCTCCATCATGAGAAGGAAGATGCGTTGGATTAGGATGTATGGCGGATGCGGGTGGTCGGATAGTCTTCGTGTCAAGATCTACGTCTTGCTCCATCATTGAGCTCAATCTTGATTTCCATTGTTCAGTGCGAATTACGCTCAAATCATCATCTTCACCTTCAGTATTCTCGTTGGTATTGTTTGATGGAATCCCTAATTCCGGATCTGAGCGACTTGATGATAAGGGCTGCTTCATTGTATGTCTTGCCATGGATGGCACATTGCCGAGATCAATCGTGCTTGTCATGTTGGATAGGGTGCGCCAGCGCTTTTGTTGTAGTTTTCTGATGGCCTTTGTTACATCTGAATCATATCCAACAAGTATCACAAAGCAGATGTTGATGATGGGCCATATCAGCATGATGACCTCTGTTTGATTTTTCTATAGTTTCATGTCAGCACCTGTTTACTCATTGTAAATTACATAATCCCGTAACTTACCATGATAATAAATATTGCTGATATCAAATTGACGATGGTTAAACAAATAGTTCGTATCACATTATGATAGATGACAGATGTGTACAGTAATTTGTTTACTTTCATTCTGTCTGACACTAAAGATCTAATATGACTAATTAAGATGGCAGAGATCATGATGGTGACATATAGATCGATTAGCGTATCATACAAGGTGTATACAGGGCCCCACTATAAAAAAGGTTAAGTGTCAATTGGATGAGGGAAGACACAGCTACATTTAAATCACTTACAAACTCTTCGTCTGTGTATTCGCAAGTGCCATCAGGGTAGTTGCCAATGTTAACCAAGGCGACATCTATAATGCCAATAATCAGCCGTAAAACTGTCAAAGTTGTGTGGAAGACGAGAGCCCGTTTTCTCCAATTGATAGGTACAATGGACTGTACTCTTGTCACCAGTACATGATTACCGGCTGTCATTGCTAGATGGTATAATAAATCAGCAACTCTTCCAGTAATATTGCATTTGTCTCCTTGACTACATAGGGAGTTAGTTGTCATGGCAACCATTCATATGATCTGATTCTTTTTACCTGGCATGAAATGATATAAACAAAATTGATTTCAATGCCATGCAAATGCCCAAAAAGAACTTGCCTGCCCTCACTAGAGCAGCTTTGTCTTTCTTTCGAAACAGGCTTCGAATAGCAAGTTCACCAGAAACACCTACAGATGCACCCTGTAAAGCTATCGTCGCAACAGCTATAGGCGATGCCATGTAAATAGTGTACAAAAAGTATGAATAAGAGAGGAAAGAAAAGGCTAAAAAGAAAAAAGCTGGGGTAAAAAGGAATATGCTCGCTTCTTGGCTATAAAAATATATCTAACAATAAATGCCCCGGTGGAACGATGTATAAATTTTTAAGTATTTTTACCAATTAATAAACTTGTCCAATGGAAGGATAACAAAAGCTTATTTGATTGCACTTGTTTCTGGCTCTATATGGTCTTGTCACCTTGTTGTATGGTGCAAGCACTCCTGTATCATTAAATCAACGATTTTTTTTTTTTTTTTTTTTTTTTTTTTATATATAGAACGTTCATCGATTACAATAGTAGACAGGTTAATAAGATCCAATGATACATGGTCAAGAAGCATCTTGTACCACCGTTTCTTTCTCTCTCGTACCCGAAGTACTTGATTCATTTGCAGTAATTTATACACATTCGCACAAGCCATTTTTAGCAAGCTAAAATGCATCAAGCATCCTCATCACATTTCTTTGCATGTATAAATGTTGAGTATACAGTGTAGTCTATGCATTTGAGATAGATCAGAGAACATTCATTGATGAATGGACATTTGAATCCCAACATAGTACCGCTATTGAATGAATGGATGATTCAGGTAGATCAATTCCATAAATATTCGCATGACATAGCTTGCATTGTAACTCTTCTCACAGTACTAAACATGACATATGCGCCTTAGTTAACCTTTCTGTCCGCCAGATGAATGATATTAGGTCTTCAACGACATTGTTCAAGTGTTGGACTAGTGCGAAATGATTTACAGAAATGTGAACAATGAGAAACAGATCTGAAACCAATTTCGTAGTATGCATATGAGCGCATATTGTGCTTGAGAACACTGGCCACAAATCCACACAATGGCAAGTCTTGTAATAGAATATTTTAGAAGCACGCATTCTCATTGCAATTTTTGATTCAGAAAACCCCATTTCAGACATACAGGTTCCCAGGCTTGGATCAACAGGTCATATAAAACCTGCTCTATGGCCTTAAGGTCTTGTGTTGTGAGCATGGTACCTTGATTTCCTATTCAGGACAAATGACTCATCGTTCAATGTTATCGCATTGCTTTGACGTAACAGTGAATTGAAGAGAGATTGTTAGCATATTAAATGTTATTAATAGCATTGCAATTAAGAACGAATGGATGATATACAGCTTAATTTGCGGGAATTTAGATGTGTTTGGACAATTGTGGAACAGAGATTCTCTCTCGTTTCATAGACGTCGCATGTTTGACAAACTGATCGTCATGCTAGATCATGCAGTGGACGCATTCTTTGCTTGGCCGCATCACAGATCTCAGGAGCAGGATAACATTGCACAATCCAAAGAGTCAGAGACATGTAATTGTATGCCAAACCAAATGTCTTTTCAGCCAAACAGCATAGTTCAAGATGGATTTGTGGTTTAAGAGTCTTTGATGGCCTTGTATCTCCTTTTTCGTGGCCATATGTTAGTGGTACGAAACGTTAATATCGTATAAACACTTAAGCCCCACAAATGCGCGCAGATATAGGCTCGAATTCGGAAAAATCGTGGTAGGCAAGCCAACCCTCTAAAACCTTATACTTTACCTTTGAAATAGATTTGCATTTTACCTTTCGATCCCATGTAAAAACTCGTTTGTGCTGCATCTTTAAATCATCTCGACACTAGGTTTTGCTTGTCGTTTACATGTCAAGCATGTTGAAATTAAGCTATTCCAGTCACCGATAGCTCTTTTGAAGTCACTGTGCATTACTAGAGCATAACTGATGATTGTTTTATTTAGCGTGATACCATTTCTCAGATTTATAGAGCGAGCAAAATCATAAAAGCGTTAGTCCTAGATGAGTACTGGTTAAGGCATGTATAATTGCTAGACACTTTCGAAGCCTTAATAAAGATATTGGTTTTACAAATATCTTGGCGGTGAGCTAGATCGAGTAGTATTATTTGCTAACCATCAGCATATAGGAAGCAAAATATCACTCAGGCCAAGTTATAGTAGTTTTTGACTTTAATACTCTTCTTGAGAGCTTTTAGAAGTGTTGTTAATTGCCTTCAGACTGACATCTTGCCAACCGCCAAAATTATTAAAAATCCGATCAACAAGTTCGCAAACTTTTTCTTCATTTTCAAACTTTTCGTCATGTCTTCGGACCTCTGACACTTATTAAAATTGGAACCATTTTCAAACTTTTTGGATCCAATTCGACTTAATTTGCCAGGTTTGGCCATGTAAGTTGTCATAAGGATCATATTTCTTAGGGTTTTTAGAAGTGATTTCCAAGGCGCATCTGATGGTACTAGTTATAAAAGGTGTTTTGATCCAACTTATTGAGCAACGGTTAAAAAAACGAAATGTCGATTTTGTTAAAAATGTCGAATTTTTACATATCAAGGTTTCACAAAAGCATTTTCAGGGGTTGCGTTGGATTGATACAAAAATTTTGATGTAATATGTACTATAGTAAAAGTCTTTATTTTCGAGGTGAAAAACGCGATCGTTTGATTTTTGATGAAAATCATGAGGTATCCCTCATGGTTTTTTGTCGATTTTTGGCAATCCCAAAAAAGTTGAGCAAATGTGTCAGACAGTAAGTGTTAGATAAGACAAGTTGTTTAGTGCTATCCCGGCGGCCTGAAACGGCTTCTAGCACAAGAAAACGCGACTCAAATGCACCCAAATTTCGCTGCGATTTGCGAACTTTTGAGTAGCAAGAGGCAATGCTAGTGTGCTGTCTGCCGTATGACAATTGTCCTTGTTTGTGCAGACGTGGAGCATCGTGGAAGAGTCGGATCTACAGTTACAGCTTGTTTTAAAGACTCGCATTAGCCAGTGTAAAGTCAGGAAGCCTACATTGATAGGATACTTGATGATTTTATTGAGATGGTTGAAGTCAAGCCACTGCCGCGTAGAGTGTTACCTACCAAAGCAAAGTAGGGGTTGAGAACCACTCGATCAAAATGACTTCAGACTTCTAAAAAAGGATCTAATGATGGTAAGAGCAAACTAATTTTATCATAATGAGCGTAGTCAGCACACATTCCCATAAGATCACCAATGCTTTTTGATGTAAATAGAGCCTAATTGACAAGCTAAACTATAAAGATATTGATTATAAACTATTCTATACGCGTCTTTTGCGTCTCTTTTTTCATTCTAATATATAAATTCGATTGCTTTCGAGGAATTTCATTATTTCTAAGAATGTTCTGAATCTTACAGAAAATACGATCCTTGCAAACCCATCCTCGTCGAACAGAATTTTAAACTGTTTGGCAATCGAAACTGCAGCATATATCAATTGGCCATATCATTCAATGAACAATGATGAAATCGGCTGACCGCCTTCAGCAATGGACGATTGTTGCTGTGGTACAACGTCGCGATAGCGTGCCTTTTTTTTATATATCCGCTGTGCAAAAATGATCTGAACTCGCGTTTTTGCCGTCGTTGTCGCTTGAGTTGTTTTAATATTTAGCATGCTATAAATGGAATAACCAGTTTTAGTGAATTATTCTGGATGACAACCCTTCTTGTCCCGAAAATCTCTGCTGAAATTGTTGCTGACTGATTCCTTTTAGCAATACTAAATCTTTTCGTTCTTGATAGAAATTGAGAACAAACCCTGAACCAAGTTCCATTTGGATGTGTTACTCAAACTAGCCATTTAGCTTGACATTGAAGCGCAGATGAACCAAGTATTTGAGCAGCCAATCTACAATAGTTTGCCAAACCAATTGGCCATTGGCCAAGAAGCACGTCAATGTCAAGTGAATGAGTAGCATATTATCAATCAGACGATACACATCTGATAAGATAAACCATGTAAAGTAGCTCCAACTAGCAAGACTGACATGAGAGAAAGGTAATAGATGGCAAGTTCCATGTGGTAAGAAGAAGAAAGATTTTATCTATATTGCTGTTTTCATGGTTTGTGATGGATATCTGTGCTTGAAATGGCACCCCATGTTTAGAAATGTATCACTTGGCAAAGAACAGGATAATGATGTAAAATGATGGTTAATTGGATCAAATTTACGGTAAAAGGCAAGAACTATTCCACATTAGAGAGTGAAGATGGATTTACCCGCTAGATCAGTGTCCTCGGTACATGCACGTTTACTGCTTTTCGAGATGTATTTGCTTATTAAAGAGATATTATTCATCCCCGTCGTTTCCGAAGGTTCTCCCAGCTCAAATCCTCAGAATTTATGCAAATCCTTTTTTCATTTTATTTTCGGGTTTCATTTAGATAATCAAATAAGAATCCGGGTTTAATTTATCACTGCAACATATATGGATCTGCAACACTGCAACATGTCTCGCAGAAAAAAAGAGTATAAATAACAAGGCTCAGCACAACACTCTTTCTTCTTCTTTCATACTTTTTTTCTTGAATTAAACAAATGACAAAATACGCACACGATCATATCCCTGGTCCAGAGCCTCAGTAAGAGTCTTGATAGCATGAATCATACATATTCATGTACTAAGCACTTGTATTTACTTAGCTATCTCTTGGGAAATGTACCAGACATTTTTCCTGATTCTTTGGGTAACCTGATAAAGCTTCATAGCAAATACGGCCCTATTGTTCACTTGTCCATGGGCGGGTAAGCATACGCAGCGTGTCTTCAGCTGGGATCATGAGCTAATTATGTTGTCATATCACTAGACACGAATTGCTGTCGGTGGATGATCCTGACGTTTTGGAGACTATCTGTGAAGACAACGAGTACTTTACCAAGGAAATTGAAAGTGTCTACTCTGATCTGGCTATCCTGAATGGCCGAGGTTTGGTAACCACATCCACAGCAGATCCCGATTGGCAACTGGGACACAAGCTCATCATGAACGCCTTCTCTGCGCGTGCCATGAAGGCCTACCACTACAAGATGGGTGAATCCATCTCTGAACTATGCGAAATCATGGAGAGCTTTGCCAAGAGTGGAGAAGACTTTGATGTGTCTCGCTGGTTCATCGCCCTTGCCCTAGAGTCCATTGGCAAAATCGGTTTCGACTACGACTTTGATTTGCTCAAGGACCCCAACGCTCCTCGCCACCCTTTCACTGTTGCTTTGGCCTATGTTCAGTCCATGATCATGAAGCGTGCTTCTACAATGAGCTGGCTAAAGTGGTACCAAACAACAACCAACGTGCGTTTCCATCGCGATCTGCAAACCTTGCGCGGTACAGTAGAAGATGTATTGAAGGATCGACGCAAGCACCCTCACACGGAAGCCGATCAGTCTGATTTATTGGACTTTATGATCAACGCTGAATCCAAGGAAGGCGAAAAACTGAATGATAGCCTCATCCGCGACAACATCATCACTTTCCTCAGTGCTGGTCATAACACAACATCGGCCTTTTTGAGTTGGACTTTTTTGGAGCTCTGCAAGCATCCTGAGGTGGTCGAAAATATCAAGCAAGAAATTGCTAATTGTGGCATCAAGGCTGGAGAAGTGCCCACACCTGAGCAGGTCAAGGAATGTAAATATCTGGATTTGGTCATCAAGGAGTCGCTCCGTATCCACCCTCCTATCACATCTATCCTCAAGTACTGTAAGAAGGACACCACTGTCAAGGCATCCAACGGCGATGAGTACGAGGTGAAAGCTGGTCAATTGCTGCAAGTCAATATTAATGCATTGCATCATAATCCCAAGGTGTGGGAAGATCCCGATGTGTTCAACCCTGACCGTTTCTCTGGAGATATTGAAAATCTGCCCAACACTGCTTGGTTGACATTCTCCACTGGCCCTCGTGCTTGTATTGGCAGGTAAGAAGTGTAGGGTACGAATGCGTACATTCAGAATACTCATAATTGCCCGCATCGTTCTCTAGACAGTTTGCCCTGCAAGAAGGAAAGTTGGCTCTGGTTATGATCCTCTCTCGCTTCAATTTCAAGATGGACGATCCAAACCAGAAAATCGGTTACGCTGTGGTTGTTTCTACGAAGCCTGTTGGATTCTTTACCAAGATTGAAGACGCTCAACTTCCCGAACCCACCGAGGAGGTTGTTGTTACAAAGCGTCGCGAAAGCAAGGCAGTGCCTCAGGAGCAGGTCAAGCCAGCCGAGTTCCCACTGCCTCCTGTCACCTTCCTCTTTGGTACTCAAACAAACACCTCTGAAGAATACGCAAGAAAGTTATCTGGACAAGCAAAGGAAATGGGCTTCAAGGAGGTTACTGTGCAAGACTTGGATGATTGGAAGCTTGTCAAGGGCGAAGCTATCGCTAAAGCTCAACACGATGCAGATGCTCCCTCCAGCGAAGACGATATCAAGGTATCAGAGCTTGTTGTGGTTGTCACTGCAACATACAATGGTTTCCCTCCTGATGATGCCAACGAATTTGCCAAGTGGTTGGACGAGCGTACAAAAGACGCTGAGGCTACCAAGGACAACATGTTAAGTGGCATGCTCTATGCTGTCTTTGGCTGTGGTAACCGTGATTGGACTAGTACGTTCCAAAAGTTCCCAAAGAAGGTGGATTCTGGCTTTGAGCTCTTGGGCGGTGAGCGACTCTTGCCCGCCGGTGAAGGCGATGCTTCTGACGATATCGATGGCGATTTCAGCTTGTGGTCTGCCAACTTCTGGACTGCCTTGATGCAACGTTACGGCCAATCCTCATCTGGAAAGAACGCCGATATCATGTCCAACAATGGTCCTGCTGCTGATCCCAGCCAAGATTTTACATTGGAATTCATCAATATTGTCAAGGAGAAGGTCAAGACTGAGCAAGCCGCTTTGAATCGCAATCAGCTAGACACTGTGGCTACTATTGTCGAGAACAGAGAATTGCAACACACAGAAAAAAGTCATCGTAGCACAAGGCACATCCGGGTCCAATTTGACAAGAGCATTGACGGCAAACCGCTCTACGAGGCTGGCGATCACTTGGAAGTTGTTCCAGTCAATGAAGATAGACTCGTTGAAATTATTGCTACCAACTTGGGTCTCGTTCTAGACTCTGTATTTGAAGTCAAGGATTTGGACATCAAGAACCTCTCTCCTCGTTCTGTCGCTGCCAACATCAAGGGCCCTTGCACCATCCGTAACGCACTGAAATACTATGCTGATTTGACCGGTCCTCCTACTCGATTCAGTTTGTCTATCCTCTCAAAGCAACTTGAGAACAGCCGTCCTGATATTGCTGAACGTTTGCAGAAGGCCTTACAACCTGGAAAAGAAACGCAGCGTCTCAAAGACTTCCTTGCTTCTCATCGTACCTTGATTGACATCATCCAGGCTTTCAAGATCAAGGAACTGAACTTCAAGGAGTTCATTAGCTCTGTCAACTGCATTGTGCCACGTAAATACAGTATTTCCAGTGGTCCCTTAGAACATCCATTTGATCCCTCCATTGTAAGTGCTGTGTAAACCTACGTTTTCATCATCTTGTTTACTGATTATTTTACGTCTTCCAATAGAGTGTTGGTGTTGTTGATACGGTAGGCGGTCCCGATGGAAACACACATTACTTTGGTCTTGCCTCTGGCTACCTGAGCCATCAAGAGCCTGGCACCAAGATCAATGCCCAAATCAAGCCTTGCAAATCTACCTTCCGTCTGCCTGATGATCCCTCCACACCTGTCATTTTTATTGCTGCAGGCACCGGTTTTAGTCCCTTCCGTGGTTTTCTTCAAGAAAGACATGCCAAGGGATTAAAGAGTTCAAAGAAGAACAGCAATGGTGAAGGCTCAGAGTGCTACATGTTCTTTGGTTGTCGCCATCCTGACCAAGACTTTATCTACAAGGAGGAATTCGACGCTTACCTCGAAGATGGTACCATCACCGAGCTTTATACGACCTTTTCACGATCAGGAGAGGTCGTAAAGTATGTTCAACATGCTCTTCTGAGACAGGCCAATTTATTATACAAGCTGATGGAAGAATCGAATGCCAAGGTCTACATTTGCGGCTCTGCTGGAAGTATGGCCAAGGATGTAAAGCGTACCTGGGAGCGTCTATTAGTTCAAATGTCTGGAGCGTCAGAGTCTGAGGCTGCAGAGCAAATCCAAGCCTGGGTAGACGAAGGAAAATACAACGAAGATGTCTGGGGCACTTAGATACCTCTTATTTATTGATACGCATATATTCTATCATTGCATTTCATGTATTACATTCCTAAAATAAAGTTATTGATTGCTTAGTTAAGGAAGACGCCTTTGATTCAAAGAAATGGTCGAAGTCTTAATCGCTTGTTCATGGTGCTCTTAATGTCATAATTGGTTTCATCAAAAATGTACAAAAACACAAATTCTGTGTGCAGTGGTACTACATGTCTAAGCATTGTATAGAGGACGTATCGCACCGAAAGAACATGGCGTGCTGATGCTCATCCAAAATTTACTGAAGAAATTGCCCTTCGATCCCAGTTGCAGAGGTCGTCAGTATTCATTCCAATACTCAACGCTTGATTGAGAACGATTCAAACACTAGTGTCCGCACTGCCATCTAGCCAGCTTGTCATGTTCATCTTCATTTTGCTCTTCTTATGACATACGTCCATAACGAATCTCATCTTTGTTGCCAGCACATCTTCCATTTTCTGTATTGAACAACACGCTGTGCTCCTGAGTACTTGTTGCTCAACATGATTGATTACCATCACAACATCAACAACAACTTGCCAAATAAATGTATAAAATATGTATATTTAATGTGAGTATTGACATGGTCTTGTATGTTTACAAATCATTCCTTTTTTTTTTTTTAATGTGTGATATTCAACTTGTCGACAACACCTAATATCTAGGTGGGGGACCACCACGACCACCTCTAAATCCACCACGACCACCTCTTCCTCTTGCTATAATAACAAATGAGTCTACATGACCATAACGCACACTCTATCTCTCCATAGAACGTACCTTGTTGAGCACGAGCAACTGTTGCTCTGCCTCTACCCAAACCAATACCTCTGCCCTTGAGTCCACCAGGTCCAGCACCTTTGAACATGGGGGCGTTCTTCAGCATATCGGGAACAATGAAGAATCGAACATGAGATCCACGAATATAAACTTGATCTAATTGTGAAACTCTTCCATCGCGAGCAGTTACTGTAATGTCTCTTAATTGGATGTTCATGTTGTCTTCAGCTATATGATACGCGCATGTTAGCATTAACATGAAAGCACATTTGAGGTCCATCCAAGTTATACCTTCTAATAATTTTCCACGGTAGAGTTGTCCTGTCTTTAATTCCAAGGAGATAATATGGCCTTGTGCTTCATGGAGAAGCTTGATAGGGACACCAATAGTCATTTTTTTATATGATGTAGTAAGAAAGAGTAGACAGAGAAAAAAGCTAAAAAAGCAAGAGAAAGAAATTTTAAAAACTGGAATAGGCGAGCCATCCTCAAGTGACGTATCGGAATAAACGCACAGAGTCTATGCCATTGGTTGAGATCAGTGTATTCTTCCATTGTAGCATCCAAATGACAAAGAAACGTTCCTTGCGAATAGCTTCCTTGGGATGGCCATTTGACATGGTAAATGTATCTTAGTTGGGCAGAGCGATATACTCTTTTGATGGCTGATAAATGTAGTAGGCCATTGCATGTGGATTATGAGAAATCATGCTCAGACGTTGATGGATTGCAGAGGCCAGTTCTTGTTCTGACATGATACTCTTTATATTCGCTCATCCCCTAGTGCCAAACGTACATGCCTTGATCCTATCAAGGCAATAGCCAAGTGCATCAATCTGTACAGGATATGTGCCTCTTGTCTAGTTGGCATAATCTCTACAACAAGCCACTTGGAGCATGCACTTCTGGTGACTCCTTTTCTGTACACATTTGGATGGATTTGATCAAAGAAACCCTTCAGAAAAAATATTTGTTTCGACACTTGATTTCTTTTACATGACAAGATGAGCAAACTCTTGAAATTTGAAGGCTACAACTACCTTAGACAACGTCTTGTGCTTGCTACTTTGAGTGGAAAACCAGTTCGCATTGAAAAGATCAGAAGCGATGATGAAAATCCTGGTTTAAGAGGTATGACATTAGAGCAGCATATGAACAGCTTTGAACCAGCAGCAACTTATCATTTGCAACATGGTAGATTTCGAAATGAAGTTCCTCAACTTACTGGAGAAGGTCACTAATGGTTCCGTCATTGAAATTAGTTATACAGGTACGCTTGGAGAGTTGTAGATCCATCAACAGACATTGGGTGAAAGACGCTGATATCATGAATTAGGTACATCCATCTTGTACAGACCAGGCGCTATTGAAGGTGGGCGCATTGAACATGATTGCGGAACAGATAGAAGTATCAGTTACTATTTGGAACCGATGGTTGCTCTCGCACCCTTTTCAAAGAAGCCATTTGTGTTGATTTTACAAGGCATCACAACAGATCACATTGACCCCTCTGTAAGCATTAACATGTCCTATAAATAGAGTGTGAGTGTGTATACTGACGTATCGGTTTAACACAGGTGGACATTATTCGTACAGTATTATTACCTCAACTAAAGAGATTTGGTGTGGATTCAAACTTGGAGCTCAAGATCACAAAGCGAGGTGCACCACCATTAGGCGGAGGCGAAGTAGTGTTTTCATGTGCTCCTATCCGTCAACTCAAACCAGTTCAATTTATCGATGAAGGACGTATCAAGCGTGTCCGCGGCATTGCTTACTGTACTCGTGTTTCGCCTCAAACAGCCAACCGTCTAGTGGAATCCGCTCGCTCACTGTTAAACAGATATATTCCTGACATTTACATTTACACCGATGTCTATAAGGGAGCTGAAAGTGGAAAATCGCCTGGTTTTGCATTATCGCTAGTAGCAGAATCCAACACAGAGGTCTTGTTGTCTGCAGAAAAGGCAGCAGAACCAGGTCAGACGCCTGAAGATGTGGGTGTAATGGCATCTAAATTGTTGCTGAATGAGATCCGTAAGGGCGGTTGTGTGGATACGACAAGTCAATGGTTAAATTTACTGCTGATGATATTGGCACCTGAGGATGTTGGCAAGATTAGAATTGGTGAATTGTCTGCATTTACGTAAGTGAGCGAGTAGTGATGTATATATGGATAAAAAGACTGATGGGATTAATAGCATCCAATATCTGAGAGACATCAAGGCATTCTTTGGTGTGTCCTTCAAAATCCAACCCGACGATTCCAACGACACAATCCTAATGACATGTATGGGCATTGGCTATGTCAATCAAAACAAGAAGACCACTTAGAGCATTTGTACAAAATTTAATAAAATCATCACTGTTAATAATACTAATCAAAAGAAAAGAGTGACATTTGTGGTTGATTTGATCCAAACTGCGCCTATTTAAGCGCAACAAAAAAAAACTCTTTTTCTCTTTAGCTACTTCTTTCTTATTTATATACACTCTTTTCTTTCTTTTGCACAACCCAATATCACATCATGAATGCCCCTGATCGCTTCGAATTGTTTGTTATTCCTGAGGGAAGGAAAAAGTACGGCATTGGCTAGTGCGTCAGGCATTCACGCACGGATTCATTAACGTTAAACCACATGTTAGGGTAGAGATGGAAGTAGACACTAAAATTCCCAATGCTGCTACATTTGCTATTGAGCGTGAGGACCACACACTTGGAAACATATTGAGAGGGTAACTATAACTACCGTGGATACTTTAATGCACGTTGTGTATAACAACCTCAATTAGTCAACTACTTAAAGATCCTCGAGTTTTGTTTGCTGGCTACAAAGTACCTCATCCTCTTGAACACAATTTTGTCATCAAGGTGCAAACAGTACCTGGCACATCGCCTGGAAAAGCACTGAAAGATGCTACATCCGAACTCATTTCAGAGGTCAACGCGCTAAAGAACAAATTTGATATGGAAGTGATTCGTCATCGTACATTTGAAGATGCAAAGGCCTCTCAATCTGGATACGATGTAGATTCAATGAATACGATGGATCACCACACTGGCATGGATGTTGATTTCTAATGGACTCGTTGGGATACAGAGGATCAGATACACATATATACATATATACAACAACATTAAAAAGGAGGGAGGATTTGGCTTTCTTTTTCATGTACCATTTTAAATATAGTAAACAAGTAATAAAATCAAATAGAAACTACAGTAAACGACAGGTTGCGTTGATAATTCAGGTTGAAAGATATACGTATATTGCAGCTCATGCAATGATAGATGTCTTTTTGACTCACATTCATTTGTGATGCCCTGAGATGTGGCCATTCATCTACATGAACGAGCCAGTTATAGATATTAGGCAAACTTAATTAGCAATGACAGCTACCCAAACCCACTTCAAGCGGTATGCCATCTGCTCTGTTGCTATAGCAACCATGAGGGTCCTGTGGTTGTTATGGAGATATCCAAGCAACATGGCAACCATTCGGTGAATCAAATGGCCTACAAAAACCTTCTGGAAATGATGATAATCAACTTTTTTTCTTACCAGCCTTTCAACATGGCAGACGAGCTCGTAGAACACCGGTTCGTGCAGATATACCAAGCTTGTGAAAGGGCATCATCCAAGCTCGATGACTTTTGGAACACACTTGCTCAGACATCAGCTATTGCAGTATCTCATGGTTGCGAGAAAGTATACGCTCGAGTCACGCAAAGCAACAAGGACCTCGACCTTCTCCAAACTGTTCAAAGTCTGCAAAATTTGATGCTCACAAACGATGATTCAACCAAAAGCGCCATCTTGTTGCGTACCATCACACGACTGTTGATATTTAATCAAGAACATGCGACTGATAAAGCCAAGATACAGTTTCATCACTGCAAAACGGACTCTCAGCAAGTACATCCCTATGCTACATTGATGCGGCAAAAGCCCACCTTGTACTTTGATTTACTGGAAGAGGTCGACTATGTGATTTCCAATCATGCGTCTGTTGCTATCTCTATGTCACATGGATTCATATCAGCCATTTTTTTGACAGAAAACGCAGTAGATCCAAATGCATTCTTGATTCGACTTACCAGTGCCATTATGACGAATGGCATCCACAGCAACAATAGCATGATGACAGATATCTATGCCTGCACATCTAACATCCTGTTTCAATACCCATTGCAGAAAGAGAGTGGTCGATATCTCTCGTTGGTAGACTTTTTGATGTGGATAACCATTATCAACAAGCCCTATCAGAAACTGCAAGCAGATCGAGCCACAGTCAGCACAACTGATTACATCTATCCTTTCATGGATCGCCTAATCACTGCGTCTTCCAAAAAGTATCCCATCATGAGCTATCTTGCTCGCTTAGAACGCATGATAGCAGACTGCTCCAATGATGTGCTCTCAGATGTGATTTGGGTCTGTTTGGCCTACATACTCTTTGGATCACAGAATGTCACTGAACAGCAAGCCATCATGCGATTGATAAAGTCCATGCGCGCCAAGGTCAGCAGCAATGTGTCTCGTATTGCTTATCTGCCACTGTATCAATTGTTATCTGAATTGAACGATAAAGACGCCTCAACGGATCTCAAGACGCTTAAAGACGACACCTTGAACATGCTCTACCAGCTTGACAACATCAAAAATACCGCTAGCTTTGATCAAACATCTAAACAACATGTAAGTAGAGATTGGCACCCTTTGAACTTTATCTTAACTAGTCCTTAGATGCAAACATTGACCCAAGCCAACACCATCTATGGACTCCTTGCTCACCTCCTTGTCTATCTGGATGGCTTCTACAACGACAGCATCCCTGTGCTCATCCAAAGCTACAATGCAGGCCCTGATACCACTTTGACACTCAACATGCTCTTCAGCACACCTCATGCGTACGATGCTGATTTGGACACGCAATGTATCGTTTTGAGCCGCATCACAGAATTATCTTCGCTAGTAGAGACGTCTTGCAAGTTTCCCATGTTGCTGTTCCTTCTTCGCATGCTTTGCGCTTCCTTTGATGAGCCTCGTTTAGTCGCCCATCTGTTTAAGGATGTGATTCCCATGCTTGCAGATCCCAGTGACCCTACTCTCACGAGCAAAGTGCTTCAACTAATTCTGTCATCTATCAGCAGTGGCGATACCATGGCTAGTTTGGGTGTCAAGGCACTTGCACACACACATCAACGCCAACCTCGTGTATGGCAGGAACTGAAAAAGGTATTTGCTGAATGGGTGCTGCGTCGCAAGTCAGGCACGGTACGTCGCAAGGTGGACCTCTCTGTCAGTGGCCCTATCAAGCTGGAATTGGCTGTCTTGACTACCATGCGAGATGTGTGCAAGACCAAACCAAGAGAATGTGCTCCTGATGTGCTGCCCATGGTCATGTCGTTGCTACAGACATGTCAAGACCTCAGCATGGCGTCGCTCTCTATTCTCATGACAACCATCAATCACTGTATCACAGCTGGTTTGGTTGAGCCTCGCTCTATTTGGAACATTACTGTTGTCTATCTCGCTCAATTTGCAGTAGATCAAGGCACACAAAAGTCTGCTCTGCTTGTACAAGAACTGTGCACATTTTACTCGATTGCAGGCTCGAGAAATGACAGTAAGCCGCTTTAGTTGATATCAATACACACACAAACTAACTTGATTAATAGCTTCTGAACCCTACCTGCAATTCAAGGAGCATTTGCTGACTGAATTTGTACTGCCCTTGATTGACTCGAACGATCAACACGCTGCTCAGCATGCCATGCTCGCCTTGTCCAAGTTTTCTGCTCAAGACATGGCCATTGTGTTACCAGAAAAGGCAGCTGAATACGTACAACATGCCACTCCCACAGACGATCATCCCATTGAGAACCAACATTTGGTACTTGCTACACTCATGTCAAACGAACTGGATCATATGCGTCGTGGTTTGTTCAAGGAAGAAAACAGCAAGAAGCAAGTAACTTCTTCTACCAGCAGCAAACAGCATATTACAAATGATGCTGGACATGTGGTGGGTGAGCACGAAATAGAGATACAAGCCTTGTTATCACAGCTTTGGGAAGACGCGCGCGTTGCTCCAGGCCTTCGCTCAGGCTATGCTATTGCCATGCTGTATACATTGAACAGCAGGGATGCGCCTACCAAGACACTGCAGGACATGAGCAAAACCAAATGGTATCGCTTCATGGTCACTTCTTTTACCGATGTCTCTTTGACAGACCACTTGCTGCTTCGTGTGTCCAGCATTGGATCCTGGAAATCCTTCTTTCAAAACGCACTTTCTGACACTAAAAACGAGCTGGAAGCCATGGCGTCTATTCTAGTCAAGGATCTGCTGGCTCGCTTAGAGAGAAGTACGGTGCCTGGTGTTACTTGCAACATTGCTATGGCCATCACTGGTCTTGTGCTTGTCATTCAACTGTACACGCCTTCGTATGCTGCTTCCTGTGCAAATGAAATCATTGACATCTTGATGAAGAACTACATTGTGTTATCTGGATCGCCCTTGTCGCACTCTGCTCATTTGATGAGCGAAGAAGTCCAGTTTGCAGCTAGATTTGCATTGGGTCATCTTGCTACTTGCATCATTAGTAACGAAAAGGTAGTTCAAGAAATATACAAGGTACTGTTGGATGCAGCTACCAGCAGCACAAACAGCAAGTATAGAAATATCGATACCTCGGTTGACCTCATTCAGTTTGCCAACGGTTACGCGGCTGGGCATTTCGTAGCTTCATTGACAGTGTATCCCACAATGACGGATAGCATTGGCAACTTGAAAACAGCTGGTTTGGCTTCTTTGCAACAGTATTATACGCTGGATGATGCCTCGGATAGCCGTGTTGTTGGCATTTTGATGGGTCTCGCTTCCAAACTCAAGCCAGCACTGATGTGCGATGCAGACACAGTGGGCGATGAATTGAACGTGGCTAGCACCAAACTCAAAGAGTACCTCAATGGTGGAAGTATTTGCAAAGGTCTCTTGTTAGGCTCAACTTGGGTTGTGGCCTTGGGCGCTCTTCAAGAGTACGGTGTCGAATACGATTACTCCAATATCATTGAGTCTGTCATGGCAGCTGCTTCTCGCGACGTAAGTCTTGAGGCCTTTGTAAGTAGCTCAATACTAACCCTCTGAATAGCCCAATTTAGCACAACACTTTTATCATTTCGTAGTTCCTTATACACAAATCTTATACCACGGCTATGTCCATGCGGATGCTGATGATGAAACAGCAGTGTCTCAGTATACTCAGGCATTTGAGCCCTTGTTTGACAGTATTCAATCAGACGATGCTTCTAGCAATTATCGTATTGCAAGCTTATTCGGCATTGCTACTCTGCTTGGCGTCGACTATCTCAACCGAAATGCTACCAGCGATTTGTATGCAGAAGCACAGCGCTATCAAGCTTCATCGAGACAAGCTGGTCTAGATAAATTAGCTGCCATTACGGGCCTTACTGTCAAATCTGCTCCAACAGGCAACTTGAAAAGTGGTCGTATCGCTGCTGCTGCGTGCGGTAAAGTGTTGGCTCACACCCACTTGCTAATGCAAGCCCTAGATTCAGATCAGTCGACGACAGGTGTTTCTTCCACTGCAGCAGATACTATGGCGGCGCTTGCGTCTGCTTCTTCAGAACCCATCAACTACAATCGTCTCAACAGCAACACCAGTTATTTGAGGGCCGTCTTTGATAAGCTTGCTCAACTCGCAAGCAGCTCGATTTCAAGCAACAAGCACAATATCACCATGCTGCTCAAGAGTTTTGTCAAGACACCAGGGCCACTGCCTCCTGTCAATTGGTTTGCCCTGCTTCTCAAGCTGAGCAAATCATCGCCAGACATGCAACAGCTGTGTTTCTTGTTTGCATCCACACATGCTGCGACTTCCTTCTCGCTGTCAGAATACCTTGCAACCCAGACGATGGCTCTTTTAAAAGAGGGTAATAGCACAAAATCTAAATGCTTATTTGCAAGCAATGGTGGCCTTGTAGAAAATGCTTTTGGTACACTGCTTATGCTGGGTGGATTACCTCGCGTGAAGGGAGTATCCAAAGAGGAGGAAAAGAGACGACGTGGCATGAATGCAGTAACCAAGAAGATGAGTATATCTGAAAGTCGAATTTTGGAGCTTGTAAAGCAGCTGGCTGAGCGATTTCAGTCGTTTGATCAAGACATGCAGGTTTGGATGATTGGTATCTTCAAAGAGAGACGTTATACTGACAATTTGTACAGTATGCAGCATTATCCACTTTGGCAGATCATTTGCCGTCCTCTGAAGAACAGTTGGACGAAAGTAAATCTAAGCTTGTGTCTTCACTTTACACACTGATCTTTGAGTCGGTAATTAGTCAAATACTATGCAACAAGTCCACGACGGAGAAAGTGCTTCGTCAAGCAGTATCATGCACTCGCACCGAGAGCATCAATCAGTTATTACCAACCGGAAGACTGGAAGATTGGGACCATGTCAGCCCTACCGTCAACTATCTAGTCTACCTCTGTGAATCATATCATTTGTCGAAAAAGAAGCAAACCACCATCAAGTACATTAGCACGGCTATAACTCATTTGATTGGAAATGGTGCCACTGAAAGCGAAAACTGCTGGAGAGTTGTTGCAGACATGATTGCCAATAATTGTCGAACAGATCAAGACGCGTTAGGATGGATCATTCGCGTATTGGATGCTTTTGTTGTCTACATTAGTAGCTTCCATGCTGCAGAGCAGCCTGATCAAGACGTGCTCATGAAGGCCATTCATACAGGCTTTCATGCTATTTTGATAGAATTGCGTTCTAGTCCAGAGAATGTCTCTGACGTGCCACTGCAAATTGCAGATACAGCTTATCTCCTCGGCTATTTTATTGGTATTGCAAGCGAGCATAAGACGGAACAAGAACAGGTACTGTAAATCTAGATGAGTATCGTATTAGTGCACGCGTTAATTGCTCTCGTTGTCTCTGTAGATTGTCAAACGTATCTTTAAACTGTTGGGCATGGTGCGCCACTTGCAAAGTGCTGACTGTACCGATTTCTTCAAGAGTGTCGTACTAGGCATGCCCTCTGTGTATTTGCTACAATACCAAATGTAAATTGCTAATAAATCAATATCGTAATTTTGATCAAGACTCTGCGTTTCATGTCTGTTTTCTTTGACAGCATGAAACGTCTATCAGCAAGTGCGTGCAACACGATTTTATGTCGTACATGTGGCACTATTATAAAAAGTCTCGATTTCTGAGCAGTATAAAGCCATTGCTTCTTTCTCTTTAACGTGAATACAACAGCAAATGGCACGTATGTATAGTTTGATACCTTCAGAGCTGTATTTCTGCATCATTCATTTCATCGACAAGCCTTTACAAACCAAAGAATGCAGGCTAGTTTGCAGACAATTGAATCATCGCAATCTTCACTATACAACGCGCCTGATTCAACACTTGATAGCACTGATTTATAGGGAGTTTTACCGTAGCGAAGCAAAGCTGCAAAGCCATGGCAATAAGGCGTCTAATCCAATATTTGGTACCGTTGATCTATATGAGGACTTGATTGTTGCGAAGTGAATATGCAAAACCATAATAGTATCCAATAATTAAGCTGCAAATTCGGGTTTTCATTTTCATTACTAATAAGCTTACCAACAACACAGCACATCAAAATTTGCATGAATCAGCTTTACCAAGATTAATATGCCTCCTATTCGAATTAAAAACTGCTCGAGTTACAGAACTGCCCTTCCAGTGAATTACAGCTACCAAAAATGTGATTCATACCGGGTAAATAAAAGCCATAAAGCAAAAATACAACCAAATTGGACAATTTTCAAGCCTTCATATCTTGACATATAGGCCTTTATGAGCCACCAGAATAGCGCCAAACAATTGCTCTCATCTGGCAGTTACTTTCTGACATCTTTGCTCAATTTTTTGAGGATCAAAAAAACATGGCCAAAATCGACCAAAAAGCATGAGGTACCCCTCATGCTTTTCATCGAAAATCAAACGATCGCGTTTTTCACCTCGAAAATGAAAACTTTTACTATGGTATATCTTGAATCAAAATGTTTCTATCGATCCAACGTAGCCCCTAAAATCATCTTTGTGGAGCTTTGATATGTAAAGTTTCGACATTTTGGCCAGAAACCTCATTTCATATTTTCGTAAATTATTCAATAAGTTTATTCAAAACATCCATCTTACTTGGTGCCATTGGATGCGCCTTGAAAAGTACTTCAAGAGTCTATTAGGAAGCATCGGATGATTATCACAATTCATATAGTCGAATATCATAAAATAAATTAAAAAAAGTCGAAAAAATACAATATCTGTCCAATCTTGAGCAGAAAAAATAAACTGGGTTTTAATTAGTTCTGGCGCTGTCATGGGCTAACCCAAATGCTTTTCTGATGATAATAATGAGGATGACAATGAGGATGATAATGGTGATTGCGATGCTGATCGAATGGGGGTCATGAAATTGAAAGCGCAATTTCTTGGCCCGAATGCCTTTTTTTTTGGGAGGTTTTCTCTATAAAGGTGTCTTTTGCAATGACAGTATCTCAAAACAGTCGCTATTATAGATCTTGCGCAACAAGTCCTGTATTTACTTATAGCCGGCTTTATGTCGCCATCTCAAGAGCATCATCAACGAATAGATATATCCCCCTCCTGGCTCTGATATAGCTTTTTTTTTTTTTACTATTAATTGATTGTTTAAAATCTACTTGATACGCCAGATTTTTATTATTACTGATTTGGAATGTCTTCGGTGAGAGCCCACAGGGCGACGCCGCCATCGAGCGTAACGAGATTGATTGGCTAGTGTAGGATATACCCCAAGCTCGTCTTGACCACCATTGAAGACATCAGGCTGTTTTATGGGCATATAAATAAACACTCAACTAATGGGCAAACTACCCGAAAGAATGTTTTGTCTTTCAAAACTGGTCGTTCTTTTGCAAACGTGTCATCATCTTGTGAATTTGTATTTGGAACTTCAGTTGCAAGATAAACAAACAATGCTATTACAAGCTAATAGCCAACTCAAAGTACTCGACACCTTAAACAGGTCAAAGATTGGAAAATGTGCGCCTATCCAGGTCGTTCAACATTTGATTTTCATTTATACACTTGTAGCATATGTTGCAGTTAATGCTCTTTGGTATGATTAGGGCAGCATTGAAGCTACGTTAGACCTGCTGAAAACGATGAAACAAGAGCCATATTACAAAATGAACTGTATCATTGATGATAGGGACAATATAGTATTAGACAATATAGTCAATTTTATCAAATGTGATAGAAACTATGCTTCTGTGTCGCATTTGGGTGATACTAGTCGCCCCAAAATAGCCATCTGCGTACAATACATTGTTTAGTTCAAGTTAAAGCCTGTAGTATCATGATTGTCGTCTACTAAATATGAAATAATATCATAGTCTAGTTTTAATATCTACATATCATACATGTGACAGAGCATACACCTCACAAATACACTCAATTGACACACCACTATTTATATAAACAGTGTCAAAAATACATTTTATTCAACATGCTCATATTCCTGAACTGAGATATTCAAAAGCTCGTACATGTTGGCCATTTTCGATTCAGTCCAACCGTGTTCCCTGACGAGATGAATGACCTTTCCATTGGCAAACCCCTCTGGGCCCAATCGACCTGTTCTTCCTGCCATGTGGACGTATGAAGTGATAGAAGCAGGTTTTCCCAATATAAATACATGCGAGACGCCAGGAATATCCACTCCCCTGGCTGCAAACTCTGTAGCCACCCATAAATCAGGCTTCTTTTTGTTGGTATGGTAATCTTTGATATCCTCTGCAACAATGCCTTGCTCTTTGAGCTTTTGTTTGACTGAAGCCACACTGATGGTAGGCCCGACAAACAAAATACCGTTCTTGACAGGCTCTAATTCTTGCAAAATGGCAATACTTTCCATCATACGGTCATCCATGTCGTCGAAATCAACCATCTTGTCTTGTCTGGGTGACGCGTCCTGCGGCTCATTTTGCGTCTTGGGAGTAAGGTTACGAATGGTATCATTGGAAATCACAAGGCAATGGTGTTTCACTGTATTGTCGTCGCTTAACTGTGAGCCGTGCACAAGATCAACGAATAATGGGTTCTTGAGCCATCCTTTTTGCTTGGTTAAAAAGTAGCGAAGGGGTCTATTCAGTGTGGCGGAAGAAATCATAGTTTGATGTTGACCCATGAGTTGATCCAGCAACCGTTCAGCGGGTTTAGGGTGAGTAGTGCGTTTGTGCTGTTGACGAGCAGTAGCGTATCTCTTTGGTAGCGACAGTGCTTGATCGGCTTCGTCCAAGATGAGTCGCTCGAGTGCATGCATAGGTAGTTTACCTCGTTCAAGCAAGTCAAGAATACGACCAGGTGTGCCCACTACAGTATGAGGAATGACATCTCTGTTATAATCAACTTCTGTATTTGCGAACACCCTGTAGTTGTTTCCCTCGCTCAATTGCTGAATCCAGTTTCCAATTTGATAAGCTAGCTCTTGGTTGGGTACGACATACAATGAATGAACGCTTTTATGTTGACGCACTTGCGAAGGGATCAATGATGCCAATGTTAGTGCTGTTCCAAAAGTCTTTCCTGTGCCTGTTCTATCACGTAGTAGTAAATCTTGTTGACCAGCAATCAGCGTAGGAATAAACTGCTCTTGAGCCAGGGTAGGCCTTGAGATGTTGAAGTTTGATCTTAATTTTTGACATGTTGCAGGAGATATTCCTAGCGACTGTGGTCGACCGAATATGTTATTAAAGCCACACAATGCCCATTGCCTCCATGATACTCACTTCGAACGTAGAATAGCAGCGACTACTACATATCAAATGAAGCTTGTTATACCGAGCAAACATTTTGAAATCAGGTGAAAAGATGGAAGAAAGATATATTTTTTTTTTTTTTTTACAAATGTCAAAAATTATTTATTAAATGCTCAAAAAATTAAAAAAATGTAAATCACCATGGCAACCAAAAGAAGCGTAGCAATCTGTTTAAAATGAAAAAGGTTAGAAATTATAATGAAAATACATCAAATCAAGAAGAGATGTCTAATTTCAGTATTCTGTTTCTTTAGTCAGCTAAAGGCAATAGGTTGTCTTCAGTAAAAATGCAGAACAGGTCTGTTGTGTTCATCCTTTTAAAGAAAGCAAAAAACCGAAATATAGACACGCTTCTTTCACTCTCCTAGTTGATTAATAATACTTGCCTTGCGGTTCCAATGATGTCTAAAAAGACAAAAGCATCTGTAAACTATGAAAAGTTTTCTTGATTTATACTTTTGGGCCGAAATTTCGGACGAAATGTTAAAATTTTTTCACTTTTAAACAGTCCATATCACAAAATGATGGACATGATTGGGGAGCACAGCAAAAGTATCATTCAGATCGGCGACCATTTTACGAGTTTAAGTGTTGTAATCAGGTTAAGAAAATGACAAACATGACTAATCAGATGAGCAGCAGCAGCAGCAGCAAGATATATTTTTTGAATGTATTTTTTTTTTAGCGTTTATTAGTGAAAAATTTTAAAAAGAAAAAAGATTAAAGCATTCGAGTTGATTTGGAGTATAATGAATAGAAAGAAGAAATAAGATGATATGAATGATGAATAGTAAAAATTAATATAAAAAGTCTAGATTATCATAAATAAACTTAAGAACGAGAAGAGAGTGCCTTGTGAGCCTCAGCTAATTGTCCCTCTAAAACCTTGATACGATCCTCGTAAGAAGATTCCTTGGCCTTTAAGTTTGTCTTTTCAGAATCCAGCACAGCAACACGCATCAATAGGCCAGCGTTGATCTTCTCGAGCTCTGAGACACGGGCCTCAAGAGTTTCCATTTTTTGCACCTTACGAAGACGAGAACGACGAGCAGCATCAGTGTTCTTTTGACGTTTCACGGCGGCATCATCAGCAGGATCAATAGAGGCATCGTCGTTGGATCGCTTGCGGCTACGAGAGGGAGAAGCAGAGAAGGCGGGAGTCGATGCACTGATCACAGCAGGCGACATCTCTGGCACAGCAGCAGTGGCAACAGGTGTAGGAGCGGCAACAGCAGCTAATGCGGCCAAAGCAGCAGGCAGTGAGTCGCCAATATCGGCAAACAAGCTGGTCATCTGAACATGGGGAGTACCGCAAGCAGTGGATGTGGCAGCAGTAGGCACAGGAGTAGCGGCAACAGCTGGTGTGGATGGCGTCGAGACGGAAGGCATTGAAAAGAATTGAGGAGCAGGAGAGTCCAAGATTGCAGAGACGTCGAGGTCAACAACGTTGGATTCAGCTAATGGAGAGGATTTTGATGATATTTTGTCCTTTGATTGGAAAGGAGGCGACATGAGGAATTGATCAAGAGGGGTGGCAATCTCAGGAGAAGAGTTGACACTGCACTCTGAAAGAAAATCTTGCTTGAGCCATTCGTCAAACATAGATGAGGATTCTTGAGCGGGCGTAGTAGTACCCATCACAGGAGTGAGGGACTGATATAGTTGGGTGAAAACGTCTTGGGTCATCTTTTTTTTGATTTTGATAGTTGATTGATTTGAGATTTGATTTAATAGATGGATAGTTTCTTCTTCAACAAGGTAACAATGATACTGGTTTTCGAGTCTTGCACGTCTTTTTGGTTGTTAATAGGCACTTTTGAGAGTGTTGTAAACATAATTGCGAAATGTTGTAAACCATAATGGTAAACGTAGTTAGTTTTGAGTTAAAATCGAGATAAAAGTATTTGGTGTCTGGTTCTATGTATTCGTCTCCGGAAGGAACGAGCGGTAAATTTAAGCAGTGGAGGCCATCGTAAAAACGGATTTAGTAAGTGTATAAATGTAGGTTTTCAAAGGGTTTGCAAGGGTTTAGAAGGTTGTAAAAAGTGTAAAAGTAAGAGCTGGAGAAAGTTTTCTTTTTGGATTCAAGAAAACTTCAGATGCAGGATATTTGGGATAAACTAAGAGATTTAGCCCAAAGAGTATATGAGAGAAAAGTTGTGTATAGAAATAGACAAGGGAAGAGAAAAAGATTTTCAGGATAAGATTTGGCTTTTATAACCCTCTCAGGAGCAAATTCATGATTGGATGCTCGCAAAGATAACGAAATGAGTCATTTGTAGGCTTTCCTGTTATAGATACTATCTCCCAGGTTTTTTTTTTTTTTTTCACATCAAATCAGTCGTGGCATACTGGTGGCTTATGGTTTCGATACAGGACCCAGCAATTTTTAATGGTGGATGTGAGCATCAATGTACAAAAATGTTTATCCCTAGCCGCCTCTGCTTGATTCAAGTAACGATGACATTTTGCGCGTGGTTTTATTTAGGTCTTATATATAATGCTCACCCCCTCTTGTTCAAGGGACTTGAGACCTCTTTCGTCTTTTCCCGTCTTTATTCCTAAATCGCAATGTCTGCTCTCAGTCCAACAAAGAATTTCTGGGGTGAAGTGTAAGTAAACAAAACAATACTGAGCACAGATGATATTCATCCAATGATAATATCCATAGTACATCTACCATTGACTGGTGCGAAGTGAGTAATACTGCTTGACTGTGTGAATAAATGGACAGAATCACCAACATTGTGCTGTTAGGAAAATTACACTGTGAGCCCGTATTTGGCTGAATTTTGGAACACGATTACAAATTTGGGATTTGGTAAGCAAATTGCGCATTCGTAGCACAGATGCTCGATGTGTCCTGATCATTGTCACCCATCGTATAGTGTTCTTCTCTCTTTTTGGCACCTATAATGTTCTCAAGAATCGCTCAAGCAAATCTTTTATCCTGGCTTATCTGGGAGTTGCATTTGTCGGTTTTGGCTCGTGCGTAATTTAGAATTGAAATATCTGTCAGGAACAGACGACTAACTCAACCCACCTGTCTAGATGGTGTTTCCATATGACGCTCCAGTATGAGATGCAATTGCTGGATGAATTGCCAAGTAAGCACACTATAATCAACCATTCGCATTGACAACAGCACCTCATTCTCGAACTGATATGCAGTGATTTACGTCGCCAGTATTGTAATGTGGCTCACGTAAGTTTCGCAACATCATCTCCCGACCCGATGCGCTAAATGATTGTTTAATTGTCAGATTTCTGGCAGATCCCAAGAGTGAAAACACCATCAAGGTTCCATTTGCATTGACCGTCTATTCTGCTGTCATTACATGGTCTTATCTGATCATCAACAATCCCGTTTTCCATCAAATCTCATACGCCATCCTTGTCATTGGCGTCGTTATCCGAGCCATCAAACTCTTCAATACCGTGCCCAAGTCATACACCTATGAAGTGCCTAGAATGCAATGTCTGCTTTGGATGTCGGCCTTGGGTTTCATTGTCGCTTTTATCCTCTGGAATATTGATAATCAATTCTGTAGCAGCTTGAGATCATGGAGGAGCACTGTTCCATTTTTAATTGGTGCTACCAGTGAGGTAAAAAGAGGAAGCAGACAAAGTACTTTTTTATTTCCTTCTAACGGCCTATTTATAGCTTCATGGATGGTGGCACATTGGAACTGGTAAGATGTCATTGGTTGGTTGGTAAAAGCATATGTGCTAAATCTGCATGTAGGCCTGGGTGTATACTATTTCATCGTGTTTTGCGAGTGGATTCAACCTACATTAGCAGCAAACGATAAGCGATCATTCAAATTGTACTGGGCTGGTCCTCTTTGTTATTTAAGATTAACAGACCAAATGAATAAAAAGGATTAATTTGCATATTCAATCAACACGTGAGGCACTGGAGCCGCACATTACATATGAGTGCACTGTTGCTAGCCAAGAAAAGAAAAAGTGCCTTGCCACCACTGCCCCCCCCCACTTTTGCTCTCCTTGAATATAGTTCCCTCCTTTATTGCATTTTTTCATCTCTTTTCTTCTTTCCTTCTCTACTCTTTCAAAATGTTACAGCATGGTAGGGATTCATCCTTGTCCTCGATCGCAAATTCGTTCAACGAGACTTGCTCCATTTCCTCGGGCTCACCAAAAACATCGCCCATGAATTCACCGTACATGTCTCCAGGGGGATCACCGAGAGAATCTCTGAACCAGCAGTTTGCCAACAGCATGTCGCTTCAGCCACCTTCAACTACCAACAACAACAAAAACAGTAATAACACATTTGTCCATAAGCTATACAAGTAAGGACCTGCATATACATCATGTATTCATATGCTAACGGTTATTTTCCAAATCTTTTTTTTTTTTTTTTTTTTTCTAATAGTATGGTAGTAGATCATCAGTATCAGTATCTAATTGCTTGGAACTACACAGGATCGTCATTTATTGTTTGTAATATCATGGAATTTTCAAAAGATGTTTTACCAAAGCATTTTAAACATAATAATTTCAGTAGTTTTGTTCGACAACTCAACATGTACGGCTTTCACAAAGTAAACAAATCACCAAGGGGACATAGAACATTAGCGGAAAATCAGATCTGGGAGTTCTCCCATCCAAAGTTCCTCAAAGATCGCCCTGATATACTTGACGAAATCAAACGCAAATCACTAGAGACTGAGAGCACAACTAGACGGGACCATGGCGATATCAATTCTCATATGGCAATGATGCAAATGTCTCAATCCGAGATGGTCCAACAGCTGGTGCGATTGCAAGATAACTTCTCCCAGGTTGTGCGTGAACTTGCCGAAACCAAGAGCAGACAAAACAAGCAATATCAAATGCTGAAAAGCATGATGGAATTCATATCAAGTCGACAACAGGAAGAGTCGCATTGTAAGTGAACGATAATACCGCCCAGTATACACAATTTGTATATTTACAAATCTGTATTGCATAGTACAAGTACCACCAGAATTAAGTATGGGCTTTGATATACAGCAAGAGGAAAGACCGCCTTCCATCTTCATCACATCGCACGATACCAATACATTGCAAAACGGTTACTTCACTCGCAATACGAATACCGCATCATCATTATCAGCAAGAGCTCCCGTGCTTACCGTACAAACGCATAATTTATCCCCACAATTAGGATTACCGCCCAACAGCCCTCTAGATCAGCAAAATTCGCCAGCATTAAGTGCATATCACACGGCATTAAATACTCCAGTGTCCCCTAGTCCTAGCCCTTTTATTTCAGATGATGATATTCCTAGCCTGTACAGTCCACATAGCCCACTGACACCAAACACATTTACATTGAATGAAGGCTACTATACCGCGCAGCAACAACAACAATACATCCCTCCATCTCTTCCTCAACATCAGCAATTTCAGCAGCAGCAACAGCAGCAACAGCAACAGCAACATCAAGATGTACATATGATGGATCAACATTCATTAGGAGGAGGGACTACATATAACTCATTTACACTAGGGGCTCAAGGAACTGGATAATCCTTATCTAGAGCTCAATATTGCCTTTATATATATATACTCATATATCTTTTGCCCCGTAATTGATGGCCATTTAATAAAATTGGCTTGGATTTTTTTTTTTTTTTTAAGAAACCATCTCCCATTAACAAAATCACCTTTGCATGCTTGTGTACAACGTCTATGTAGAATGCAGTATGAGCGCACTAAACATAAACAAAAGGAGTGGTGGTGGACACAAAAACAGGGCATCTAATACAAATGTGTACCCAATGTGATACATTGAAATCCATCATCTCCACATGCTGATGCTTCCGTTTTTCTGTTTTGATTCAATAGCCGATTTATTAGAAAATTTCTACAATTGCCTCTCTTCTACTAGGTTTCATCATATTAGACCCAAAAAGATGCTGCATCTGAAGCGATATATCCTCTATTTCAGCTTAGCCATCATCACAGTATGGACATTGAGCTACTACATGTGGTATCATTCAACCGGATCTACCGTGCAAGAATCGACATGGACCTGTACCGGTCAAGGAAGAAACAAAATTTGCGAATTCAGAAACTTTTGCATCGACAGCTACCGTGGTCCCTTTATCATATCCGACAAGGAGCCACCGCGCATCAATGTCATGAACACAGGTGATGCAGAGGACCTCTGGTTTCAACCAAAACATATTTCTACGAGTAGCCACGGGATTCATGCTGACCACGTTAATGAAACTATCTTTGCATATGCACTGTACTCGCCGTATCATTTCTCTCACTCGCTCTTCAATGGTTTGATGCCTTTATATAGTATAATGCAAGAAAAGAAAGCACCTTCAACTAGTTGGACATTGCGAGTTGGAACATATGACAATCAGCATACGACTGTCGATCTATTGTTACCAACCACATCCAAAGACATTGTGCTGGAGAAGGCTGATGTTCGAACTCCAAAGCAAACAATGCCCAACTATAAGCCCATGTGCTTTGCCAAAGCTGTTGTTGGAGCAGGCAATCGTTGCTCGCTGTGGTACTGTGATAGTCAGGTCCCTGCTCAGCACTATGCCTCGTTCAAATCATTCGCATTGAGCCATCCTGCCGTGCCTAATAATCCTTGCGCTTCCTCCATTGTCACTTACAAACCTCATGGAAAATACAAGATTGGTATCCTCAATAGAAAGAAGACTCGACATATCACCAATATACCCCAGCTCATTCAACGCTTATCAGAAGAGCTTGATGCTGCCGTCGTTACTATTGATTTTGAAAAAGGATGCGATATTGTCAACACGGCCCACGCTGTCAAAGATCTGGATGTTCTGATAGCACCTTTTGGAAACGGCCTAGGTGCTGGTTTATTCATGAAAGACGATGCTGTGGTGATATCAATTGCAGCTCGTTACTATAACGAACCTTGGTTCAAATACCCCATGACAGCTATCGGTAGACGTATTTTCAATTTTGAATGCACGAGTAGTATCTGTCAAGAGTACGATCAAGAATTGGCTACATCAGTGTTGCAAAATGTCGGTGTTCAGCTGAATAAAACAGAGATGCAAGAATTCCTCACTACTGGAAATCCGGAAAAAGTCCTGTCGACGTACTTGCCCAATTCCAATCCTTGGGATCCATTCTTGCAATACGCTAAAGATGTGAGTCGACGAGTGGACGTAGATCGGTTTATACCCTTCTTGAAGCAGATTATGGATTCGAAACCACCCAAAAATATGACCTATGCAGAATCTTGCAGAACACCGAATGTGTGCTGCGATCTGGATTGCGAAGTGGCATTGAATAGAAATGTCTTTGGGGAGAATAATGCTTGGAAGAAGAGTATATAATAATGTCATTCAATTATATATATATATATATAGAAATCAAAAATCAAGTTAATTATATATCATATTATAAAAAATGTTCAGTCCCTAGACACTTTTCTGAGAAAACCACGTCGTAATAGAAACCTAGATAACATATTGTTTGAAATAATAGAGAACGTGGAATTAATGTTTATTTTGTTCCAAAGTTGATATTATTGATAACGCCTGGTTTAATGAAACTGACCATCTCTTTGAGAGAAATGTTGATTATGATCCAAATTCCCCTTCTTACTGTAGACATGTTATGCAGCCCATGAATCGTCAATGTTCAAACTAATGGTATTAGATATAAAACGCAAGAAAACAGCATGATGAACGATAGTGCTATGACTTGCCACCTAGTTTCCATACGCTTCAAGGGCATTTATCATTGTATTGCCTTCATGATTATTAAAAGGGCATTGAGTTTGCCAGCCAGCTCCACCAGCCAAAATCAATTCAAATCCAGACCCATGGCCTGTTCCGGATTGGCCAAATCTTACTCGTTGACTTGAAATATGGCTCTTCCCGATAAACAAACATTGTCTAAAGGACGAGATCCTAAAGGTAGAAAAGCCACAGATTCTCGCCACAACGCCACCAAACAAAAGGATCCTATGTGGTCATATGCACAAATCCTGAAATCGGATCAAACCAGGGACACATTTGATCTGACATCTCGCAACTCTGACGAGCTGGGCCAGCTCATTGAGGGGGGTGGGGGGACAACTGTTTCTCCACGCCAGGGACAAGAACTCTGTGGTCATCTCGACCGAGCAATTCCTTGCGTTGCAGGTTAATTTCAAGGACCTTGCGATAGTACTTCGTAGTCAGTTTCCGGATGCTTTGGGTCTTCGCATCCGTAACGTCAGTCAGACCACCAAGTACTTTGAAATCAATTTTCGCACTGCTGAAGCCAGGGAGACCGCCCTGAAGAAAGAGTTTACCTATGAAGGGAAGCAAGTCATTGTCAGCCGTACCTATCCTAAGGACGCTACCATTGTTCGGGTTAGTGTAAGCAACCTACCTTACGAAGATGAGGAGACGCTGAAGGATGCAATGTCAACAATTTTTGGTAAATATGGAGAAATCTTGGAGATGGGTCTGCTCCATACGGTGCATGGGCACTTCTTTACCGGTAGAGGTTTTGTCACTCTGAATCTCATTCCTGGTAAAGAGTATGCGCCTCTGGTACCTCTAATTGACTCTTGGGAATCTGGTGAAACTCTCAAGATCACCTACACTGGTATGAAGCCTACCTGTAGTCGTTGTAATGTCACTGATCATGTCTTTGGTAACTGTCCTGTTATGAGCCAACGAGTGAAGCACTGTCATATCTGCAGTAGCCCTAATCACTTACAAGCCACATGTCCGGACGCATGGTGGAATCAACGCAAGAAGGCTGCCAAGTTGAACACAACACATACATCACCACACCAGCCAAAGGTCACTAACAAGGAGGCAGCACCTGTAGTGCCTACACCTGCTAAGGCAGATGAGAGTACTTCTGAGAAGGTGAAGGATACTAAACCCTTCATTACAGAGATCACCCCAGCATCTTCTCAAGAATCGACCAGCACCAACTCCAACACCACGGTATCCTCTTCCACTGCTGAAGAGACAGCACCCATTCCATCTAGTGATGTGGATGAAAGGGACGTCGCTGCCACTGGGGAGGAGCAGCTCACCAAGGAGGTTGAAGTGTGTGAATCTGAACAAGAGCGTTTAACGGTTATTCAGGAGCAACAGGGCGACATTCTGGAATATGATCTTGATGATAAGATGGATGGTGACGACGACGTCGATGATAGCGATATCAACATGGAGGAAGCGGCCAAGGAGGCGGCAAGCAGCTCTATACCTTTGGATGAGGTTCTCCGGAAGATGCGGCGCCAGCTCAGGCTCCAACATCGCAAGGCCAAGCAATTGCACAAGGACAACAAGGACAAGGCATCACGCCCTCGTCACGGTGGAACGGCTTCGAAGAAGAAGGCTTCTACCAACCCCTCATCACGTCAATAATTATTATGAGTAATCATAATAATTATAGGAAATCCTTAAATATCAAATTTGGATCTCTGAATTGTCGATATCTACTCAAAGTCAACAATCCTCAATCCTCAGATTCCTTCATTCGATACTTAAGGGGGCAAGATTTAGATGTTTTTGCTTGCCAAGAAACCAACATACCCTCTCTCAACTTTGACGACAGGATTGCAATGCTCGACCTGATATTTCAATCCGTTCAAAGTATTTGGACATCGTAATGCGGCATCTTCAACTTCAATCGAAATATTCACATGGAGAAGATACACATTTCTGATGATGATAGAATTATATTTGCAAAATTGACGATACCCGCGGAACCAGGCCTGTTACCCATCTGCAGTGAAATCAGGTTTAAATAGATTTCACAAAAAAAAAAATAAAGCAAAGGTAAAATACAATAGAAATCAACTGTATTTTATTTTGTGTATAAAATGAACTGAAGATCCTGGAATTGAGTAAAAAAAGAAGAGTATTTATACATTTGCATCTGGCTTGTAGGATTAGTGATGATAGAGAGCAATAGGTGCTGCTATTGCGATATCTGGCAAATGTTGTTGATGTTTGATTTAAAGTGGTAATCAATGCAGGAGCACTGGCCATAAGGGTCGATTTGAGTAACCTTGATGGGCTTGGGTGAGCTATCGTCATAGCATGATTTAATGTAACCTTGATGGTTTAAAGTGTGATGTTTGTTATTGAAGCATGGAATCCTTTATCTGGGATATTGTGCAACTATGGCAGCAGGGCATAGTTGTCATATTTGAATATGCTTGTTATTGATTTAATTCTATTTGGATAAAGATACCATCACCTATTACGACCATCATGGGTGTGATTGAATACACTGTGATCAGGAGTGATTCATTCACACGATGTGCGATATAAGCGTGTATCTTTACTTTAGTATTTTTAAATGGGTTTTTGATGTACATTTGAGCGCTTTCATTAATAGATCCAAATAGCATGAATTTGAATGAGTGCTATTTGATGAACTTTGGTTTTCAATTAAGTTGCGTTTGGGTGGCTATTTCATTACATTGCCCCCAGCCAAACTTTTTGTGGGGAAAAAGTTGACAGAGTTATGAATTTAGACGACCAAAAGTGATTTGATTGGAACATGTAGAAGGAAGGAAGACATAGATATAAGCAAGAGCAGAGAAACAAATGCCGAAGGCAGTGGAGGAAGGAAAGCTGGAAGCTACTAATGTTTGCGGCGAGTGTTTTCGCGGCTTGTGTGATCAGTGCCTGCTTTTCGCTTGTTACCAGCCTGTTTTGAGGGGCGTTTGTTTGTAGGTAGTGGTGCATGTCTTTGATGTTGCAGTTCCTTGTTGAGCTTGACCTTTTCCCAGTATTTTTTGATTGGAATGGGAGAGGAGAACAGATCAGCTGTAATGTATTCATTTTCACGTTCAGAATAACCAGCCCATTTAACTAGGTATTCGATCTCATCATCATCGCGGTAGCGATGATCGCGAATGTCCTCAACTTCAAAGATTTCGTCTTCAATGGTAGTTTCATCAATGTTGACAGGTTTGAGTTCAGAAGGAGTATATTCACGATGCATGAGAGAATTGGTTTCGTCTTTTAGAATGTAATTGCCAGCTTGGGTACGCTTGACAACGAAATATGGGCCAGCATAGAGAGGCGCGAGTTTGGATGAACGACCTTCTTCAAGGCGGACCATGACAGGAGAGTCAAAGGCTAGTTCAGGTAGGATGTATCGACGTTTATCCATACGCTTATTGTATTCCTCAGCAAGCCGTTGTGTACGCTCTTGGAGAGCAGGAAACACGATGGTATTCATGTGTTCGATACGCTGTTGGAGCTCTTGAATGGATAGTGCAGGACGTCCATTGAGGTTGAGTTTATTTGGATTGGGATTGACGTTAACTTGACGAGCAAACATGAGACTGAATGGGGTACTGGCAGTACGCTCTTTGACTTTCATGTTGAGTGCAAGTTGGACGATGGGTACGCGATCATCCCAGTTATGCGTGTCATTACCACACATTTTGCGTAGCGTATGCTCGAATTGTTTGATAGCGTTCTCAGCACTACCATTGGATTGTTTGTAGTAAGGAAGAGAATGTCGCTGCTTGATGCCAAGCGTTTTTGTGAAGTGATCCATGAGATTGGATTTAAATTCCTTGCCGTTGTCAGCTTGTTGGATGCTAACAGCAACACCATAGTCACCATAGATGGATAGTATGGCTTGAGCGACTGTAGCGCCATTTTTGTTAGGAATTGGACGAGCTATAATGTAGCGAGTACAGAGATCAATCACAACCAGCACATAAACATTTCCCTTATCGGTGATCGACATAGGACCTAAGATATCCATAGCAATGTGATCAAAGGCGTCAAAGCTGACGATGCTTTTAGCAGGGTTGAAACCTCGACGAGCGACGTTGTGCTTTGCACATTCAGGACATGATTTAAGTATTTCCTTGCAATCAGCGTAGATGGTGTTCCAATGTAAACCCAAATACGTGTGGATATGTTGAACCACAGACTCAATGCCAAAATGGCCTATTTTATGTGCATCTTTGATGATTTGAGCCCGATCTGCTTCTGGAGGAGCAATGTAATCCGTTGTAGAATTCTGGAATTCTTTGCTATTTAGTTTCACAGCAAGTACGTTGAGATTGCGGTCCTGAGAATAGACTGTGCGTTGACGGTTTACTTCAATCTTTTTGTTGGTGTCCCTTTTGATCAGAATGAGCTTATGCAGTTTTCTCATCTGTCGATCATTTTCATCTTCCAGCCATTTGTCTTCATCAATTATTGGATATACCCTTGAAAGAGCATCACAGAGAACATTTTCAATGCCTTTCACATGTGAAATTGTGAAGTGAAATTCTCCCAAGATTTCCAAGTAGCTCTGGAGCGTACTGTTTAGTGAAGTAGATGTGAACATGTAGGTCAATGCCAAATGATCGGTCAGGACCTCGATATCATTATGACCCCACAGTAGCGATCTAAATTTGATGAATCCAAAGACAACAGCGGCACACTCTCTACGGTTTGTAGACCAGTTGCGCTCAGCTGAATTGAGAGATCTGCTAACAAATGCAATATGCTTGATTCTACCCAGTTTATCCTTTTGATAAAGACAGGCAGCGATGCCATAGAGGCTAGCATCGCATTGGAGGAACATTTTGTCGTCCAACACTGGAGCATGCAGTATTTGGTTTGAGAGCAGTATTTGCTTGATGGTATTGAACCGATCAGTATGCAATCGTGTCCAATTCTTTTTTACGTCACTGTCATTTCGAAGACTATCGATGGGCTCAGCAACCTTGGACAGCATGGGACAAAAGTTTCGCAGATGGGAAACGACACCCATAAGCGAGCGAACTTGTTTTGCAGTTTTGGGAATGGGCCATTCGTCTATGTCAGATAAACGACGCATATCAATCTTTTGTATGCCAGGTCCAACCACAAAGCCTAGTAAAAAGACTGATGTCTGGAACCATGAACATTTTTTCACATTGATGCGCAGGTTGACGGATGTCAAGCGATTAACGGCAAGATTGATAAGCTTGATGTGGCTTTTCTCACAGATACTATGCAGGACACAGTCATCTATGTAGTGTTCAATGCCACCCCATACTTTGGTTGGATCAACTTGGGAAGGATCCATGTTCTTTTCCATTTCGAATTTTAGTTCGTCGGATAAACCAGTGAATAAAATTGACATGCATTTTACGAACAGAGAGCTCATAAATTTTAGGCCAAAAGGGGCCCTACACCATCTGTAAGAAATGCCATTATGCGAGAATATAAGGGCATTGCGAGATGCTTCATGCACACCATACGAATAGTATGCTTGGTGTAAGTCAATTTTACTTATTATGCGTGCGCTAGAGGACACTCGTTCAAAGATTTCGTGAATCTTGGGAACCGCATAATTTTCATGGTAATTGTCATCAATGGACGCATTGATGCGACGGAGATCACAACACACTCTCAATTTGGTGGGTTGATCGTTCTCATCCTTCTTTGTCACCGTAATCAGAGGTGAATGGAACACTGATGAGGGTTTGCAGCGTTCAACAATCTTATTTTGAAGCCATTCTTTGATTTGTTTGTCAATCTCGGCATGCGAGTTGATGGATAATGGATACTGGCGAATGAAGCAATCCTTGGGATTGGATATAGGAACATGCACTACACTTTCAGGCATGGAACATACTGCGTCAGCAGGGATGTTCTTGTTGGCATTCAGAGATTGTTCGATCTGTTGTAGAAGGATGTGACGTTCCTGAGAAGTACCATAATCAGCATTTTCTGGATTATAGACGTTTTCAGTGTCATAGTTTATATTCTTGAATTGAGCAATTTCGTTTTCGGTGTCAGGAAAGCAATGAGCTACTCCACTAAGATAGATGTTGAGGCGAGGCAAGATGTCGACTCCTAGGAGTACATCAAACTCTTCAGCCATGGAATCATTGAAGTCAATGATTTCAAAGGAATGTTCAAATGTAATTCCATTCATATAAGTTACTTTGATGGGTTCGGTGCTTCCAATGCGTTCAGCTTTAGATGCACTACCATCTTTGTTCATGCTCAAAAAGGTTAAATAACCACCCAATGCTTTGATATTTTTGATAGTAGAGAATTTTTTATTCAAAACGGATTTGTTAATGATGCTAACATCTGAACCAGGATCCACCTTTCCGATGATTCTAATGTTATTGAGAAGCAATGGTGTTATTAAATTGAAAGTGTTTTTGTTTGATGTGGAAGACTTACATTCTTTGTCTTCCATAGCCTCGCGGAAGAGGTCACTTTCGCTGGACCCGGAGTCCTTTTGCTTTCCTTTGCCATTACGGGAATGACGCTTTTGTTTCTGACTACTGGAGCCAGTTGTATAGGGTCGATGACCACTATTTTCTCTTCTCACGCTCAACACCTTGAACGAACCCTTCATAGCTTGGTACTCAGGGCAAGAGTGACCGTGGAACCAAGTTTTGCCACACCACTTGCAGAAAGTGTTTCCGCTGGCCTTCTTGGGTACGTTTGCCTTTTCAACTACACGTCTTGATGAAGAACCACCTTTGTTCAGACGACAGTCCTTCTCGTGATGTCTGGCCTGAGAGCCTCCATGGTTTGAGCAGTAGTAACGAGGAGCAGAAGAAGAAGCAGCAGCAGAGGAAGAGAATCCAGATGAACCGGATGAAGAGGACGAGGCACGAGAACCACCATGTCTCTTTGCGCTGACAAACGAAACAGGACACTTTTGAGTGTTGAGGACGTTCATGGCACAGGTAACAATCTGATTGGCGGTGAAGTTAGAACACCCAGGGAAGTGAACACCGAGAACAGCGTTGATTTGGATCTGCCATTCATTGGGGAAGCCGAGCAAGAATGTATCGCCAAGAGTGGTATCTTCAGATGAGTAGCCTGCCTCCATCATAGCCCGAGCGAAACGGTTGTAGTACTCCTCCGTAGTTTCTCCAGATCGCATGGTAGCGGTTTGAACTTCACGACGAGCATCCAAGCGTAGAGCAGCATTACTGAACTTGGACGTGAATTTTTCCTTAGCCATGGACCACGACTTTGCTGTCAGCAGGTCTTGATTCAACCAGAGATCAAGGTCGTATGGAATCGTGAGTGGAATGTATCGCCGCCATACATTTTCGACAGCCTTGCCTGAAGACGAAATTACCTTCTCAAAGGAGCGCAGAAAATGGTGAATCGAATCATAGGAGATTTCGTTGGGAAAGTACTTGGTGGCATGCGAACGAAGTTGGAATTTAGGTAGGTCTTGCTTGGACAATGAGATGCCCTCATTGTCACCAGTGAGTGATGCGGTGACATTAGATTCGGATAGCTTGGCTGAGTGTTTGACAGTGGAGATCAGACGATTCAGGTCCTCGATCTTGGATCGCATATCTTCAATATGCTTTTGGCCGTGCTCATTGTTCATATCAGTTCCCTCGACCAGGTCCAGCAACAGACGCACAAACGAATCCCGACGCCAGACCAATTTCTTGATGGAATTCAACGTGCTAGAACCAGCAGCAGAGGAGGATGCATTACCTGATGAACATGATGTCGACGCAGACAAATGAGAAGTAACTTGAGATGAGGATTCACCACCGTCATTGGGAGCATGGTTAGCCAAATCAGAAACAGGAGAGGATCGCAATGGCGTAGCATCCATCATGGCAATATCCTCTTGATGGTTTGAAGGCTGAGGTTGTTGTCCGACATCAGTACCTTGATCCAAGAGGATGGCCTGGACTTGCTGCCTAGTGTGCTCAATGGTATCGTCACCAGGTTGACGTTGAGCAGGAGAACCTTGAGCAGAGGGGACAGAAGGAGAGCCAGAGTTGTTGGTATTGTCAGACATTGTGATAAGGTTTGTTTAATAAAATATAGTTTGAATATTGTAAAAAATGCAGTGAAATCAGGTTTAAATAGATTTCACAAAAAAAAAATAAAGCAAAGGTAAAATACAATAGAAATCAACTGTATTTTATTTTGTGTATAAAATGAACTGAAGATCCTGGAATTGAGTAAAAAAAGAAGAGTATTTATACATTTGCATCTGGCTTGTAGGATTAGTGATGATAGAGAGCAATAGGTGCTGCTATTGCGATATCTGGCAAATGTTGTTGATGTTTGATTTAAAGTGGTAATCAATGCAGGAGCACTGGCCATAAGGGTCGATTTGAGTAACCTTGATGGGCTTGGGTGAGCTATCGTCATAGCATGATTTAATGTAACCTTGATGGTTTAAAGTGTGATGTTTGTTATTGAAGCATGGAATCCTTTATCTGGGATATTGTGCAACTATGGCAGCAGGGCATAGTTGTCATATTTGAATATGCTTGTTATTGATTTAATTCTATTTGGATAAAGATACCATCACCTATTACGACCATCATGGGTGTGATTGAATACACTGTGATCAGGAGTGATTCATTCACACGATGTGCGATATAAGCGTGTATCTTTACTTTAGTATTTTTAAATGGGTTTTTGATGTACATTTGAGCGCTTTCATTAATAGATCCAAATAGCATGAATTTGAATGAGTGCTATTTGATGAACTTTGGTTTTCAATTAAGTTGCGTTTGGGTGGCTATTTCATTACACCATCTATGTGCTCAACATCTATGCGCCTGCGGATTCATCTCAAAACAGAGCCATTTTTTACAACAGCCTTATGAACTACGGTGACATTTTGGAGCGTTTGATTTTGGCGGGCAACTTCAACTTTCAGTACGACCTTTGTTTGCCCAACAACGCACCCAACAAACGACCAATAGCATTTGTCTTGTTTACGGATACCTTCCTTCATGATTGTAACAACAACTACAGTGACTCCCTCTTTGAAACTCTTCCAACCTTTCGACGGGGCAAGTTCATTAAAAACGCTTGACTACATCATGGTGGGTCGCCAGCTGAAGGATCTCTACTTTGACAATAACATTGAGCACGTCTCTTTGGTGTGGACTGACCATGCTTTACTAACCATCAAGCTGCGTCTTCAACTCAACAACACGGGCAAAGGGTTATGGCGGGCCAACCCCAACCTGGTGCACTACAAGTCCTACTTGAAGAAGATCAACACTGGTATCAGCCACTTCATGCAGACCATCCTTGCTAACTCCTCAGATAGCAATCAGATCAAATGGGACCGTTTGAAGGGCTACATCCGGAAATTGACTAAAGCTTACTGCAGTAAGCGTGCCTCCTGGAGGAAACAGCGTCTCAACACTACGGCCCAACTGATGTTCTCACAGAACATGGATGTGCTCTTTTGGGAACATCGATGTTCTCATTTGAGAAGGTGTAGTTTTCCACATGAATAAAATGGGTTGAATAGCTAAACTATAATACTGTAGGCAACAAAGAGACTTTTATTATCTGTAAGATTCATAAAATTACTAAACGTATTATAAATTGCACGAGAAAATGGCAATTTAAAATTACCTAATAACTACTTATTAAAGTAGAAGAATATATTTCAATAAGATATTCGAGTAGTTTAGTGGGAAGAACGTCAGATCCACAAACGATACGTTGTGGGTTCGACCCCGATAGGAGCGTTTTTTTTTCAAATTTCTGAAAGTCGATGTGCTCATATAAGAATATGGATGGGCTCACATGGGAACATCTCGGATGTTCTCATAAGAACATCGGCCGACTTATAATAGATCTTTAGGAACGCCGATGTTCCCATATGAGAGCATTTTTCGCCTTTCGGGAACATCAGTTGGGCCGTAGTGATATGTCTGTGTTGTGCAACAACATGGACAAGCTATGATAATTGAAGTGCATCTCAGCTATCTAAATGCTGAGGTTCACCAGATGTGATAAGCGTTGTACAAGATAAATTGCTACTTTGGCATTCAGAACTTAGTATAAATAGAATAACTCTTGTCTTCATCAATAGATCTTTAGTTTTTGTGTCTGATCTTATTCAAATAAGTCTTTTCTTGTTTTTGTAATATTGAACATTTTTTATAAGCTACAAATTATAATCCATTTATTCTTTGTGCTTAACATTCTTGTATGAAGCTCATCACTCAAAGTTGGGTTATTTCGATAATCATCTATTTCTTAGCATCAAACCCATCCAATTTAAAGTATAGCTATACCAGCGTTTTTCTTGTTACAAATTGCTACAGAATCATGCTACTTTCAGAACTCAAGGAGTATTAATACTTCAAAGTCTGATTTTGGATAATACAAACCCTGAAATCGGAAACAGTTATTCGAAAACACTTTTATACATCCAAAATGTAATAGTATGGGGTGAAAGATAGCAACCCATGACACTGAGACATGTTGGGAATCAATCATACACGACGTATGCTTCGCAAGGCATATCGCATTGGGAGGACTTGGTACCTAGTGTACTGCTCTAGCTATATGACTTTTCTCACATAGTGAATTTATTAAAGAATATTCCTCGCATAAAACTGTGCGATAGATGTCAGATCGAATAATTGCATCTTGTCTTACTTTTGAATAAAGAAGAACTTAAATTGTATCTATTTAGATACCCATTTATTACAAACACAACACTATTATAAATGAAAGATCAATAGGAAATCAACTAGTTGTAACCCTTTGCTACTTCAACCTCTGGGCCAATCAGATTGCTTGAAAACTCCGCTGACCTAAAAAAAATTTGCGAGGGTTTCCCTCTGTTTTGATGTGAGGCAAAATTTTAAGCGCCGCTAGGTATACCAAATCTAGCCCTGTGCTATCATTAAACTTCCCCCAGATGCTAGAGCATGCCTTACTTACACCACCTAGCTTTAGATTCTGGTGTTGAGACCCTCAATCATCACTAAAGTAAGTAGCGATAACCAAGTGGAGGCAGCCTATCCACCTCCTAGCCTCGGATAATATCTTGTTGAGCTTCAGTGATAGGCACATCCACCACAACGTAATAAAGAGGTATGCTTCAAAAGAAACATAATAATAATAAAAGAAAGAAGAAAAGAACATACTACTATACTTCTATAGTAGTATATGTAGGCAAAAAAAAAGAGACGCTCACACGAAGCGAGTCAAAGAAACGCATAACAAACACCACATCAAAGATGTTCAAAAAAGCTTCTTGTTGCTGTTGCAATATAAATGCATACATGAGCAACGTGCATGGCAGTAATAGTCGGATGTAAAGCAACATGGCACAAATACGCACAACTGCAAAAGCAACAGTGGTATTATAAGTTTGCAATGCAATGTAATGACTAATGTTGTTTCATGTAAGGCTACAGAGGAAACACTACCAAAGAAAGAAAAAGAAGTAAGCGCAACAAGGCAAACATGATGAATGCATTATCACGATAAAGCAAGCAATAACACAAACGTTCAAAGAAGTATTATATTATTGTCACCAGAAGAAAAAAGATACTTACCACTTACCACAGCTACAGATAGGCCAGATATAGAAGATACACAATCACCGGATATAGACCACAGAACGAGCATACAACAAAGACAGTAGACCAAGAGCGACCAGATTAGCAGCAGCAACAACATCAGCAGTAATACCAGCACCATAATAGAAAGACCAAAAAACGAGTAACACCAAAAAACGAGCAAGCACCAAAGACAGTAGACCAGGAAAGACCAAATTAGCAGCAGCAACACCAGCAGCAACACCAGCAGCAACAACATCAACACTATAGAAAACCGAAGAACGAACGACACCAGATACCAGCAGGCAAAGACTAAAGAAGCAGCCACTAGACATGATAAACCAAAGAAGCAGCAGGCAGTAGAGATAGCAGAGTAATGGCAGCAGTACCCACGCCAAATAGACAAAAGAGTTATCAAAACCTAATAAACAAATACAGTTAGTGTTAATTCTACGCCTTCCAGTGCTCATTATCGAATCATACTTAATATATTTCACTTCAAAGAAGCAGTATCAAGTCTTTCTAACAGTACAAGACAGTGTTATCAGAAGCTAGAGTGTTATTACCAATCAAACGGTTTCCAAAATCACCATGGTTTAATGCTAAACGCGATTTGCAAAAAGGGTAAAAAAACGAGGGCATAGAAAAATGAGAGGGTACCCTATCCGACGTCACGACCAGTAGATTTAGTCTCAGTCTTGTGCCGCAGCAGCCTTAATCGCGGCAATTTAATTTGAAATTGTGCAGTGGTATTTTCGTGTTCAAACTTGACTTGATCTCACATCCTTTAAACGCTTTTGTTAAATTTGACTATGAAAACTGTCGTTATCACACCGAACCTTCTAATACATCTCTAGAGGGCTAAAGAAGCCGCATCAAATGATGCTGATTACATCTAGCTTTTAGACCGAAAATAATGAGCAATTTCCAAAAATATGGAAAGAGATTTTCTGTGAATATGTTAAGATTTAGCGTATGAAAGTCTCATGCAAAGAGTTTTCAATGTTGCGTTTCATCTTTACGATCAATTTGATCTAATATGTGTCATAGGAAAAGTCTTCATTTTTGGGGTGAAAAATACGATTGTTTGATTTTCAAGAATCTTCTCTTGCTAATGCTCATGGAAAAATGATGATTTTCATGAATTTGCAACGACCCAAAAAAAATTGAGATAAGGCATCAGGAAGTAAAGCGTGGCCAAGAGGAGGCGTGTGGTGCTATTCCAAACGCTCAAAACGCTTTGTGGCATCATGAGTTATTCGTACTTGAAAATGGCTAGATTTGAACAGAATTCGACCTAAAACGACAGCGTAGTGGGTTGCGTTACCAGAAGAGTAAGTTACGCTTCTGTCTGATAAACCAAACGTTCTGTATTGTACATTATGAGATCTCTAGTATCAATCCAAGGCGTGGAAAGGCTGCCTGCCCTTCGTGGTGACATGCACACTATTATGGCTTAAAACCTTTGCCAAACAACCGCAATGTTGCATATAAGCATGCATCTTAGGCTACATTTACTTTCTCCTCAAGCCACGTTTACAGTGTAGCAACATAGATGATGTTTATCGTATCACATCACATCTATGTTTACAAGTCCAGTCAATTATTGTGTGTGCACGGATGTCCCAGGAACTACAATAGAATCAACATTGTTGTGCCAGAAGGGCTACAACTGTCTATAAAGATTAAGGTATTCTTGATGGGTAGATATGTCTGTGTTGTGCAACAACATGGACAAGCTATGATAATTGAAGTGCATCTCAGCTATCTAAATGCTGAGGTTCGCCAGATGTGATAAGCGTTGTACAAGATAAATTGCTACTTTGGCATTCAGAACTTAGTATAAATAGAATAACTCTTGTCTTCATCAATAAATCTTTAGTTTTTGTGTCTGATCTTATTCAAATAAGTCTTTTCTTGTTTTTGTAATATTGAACATTTTTTATAAGCTACAAATTATAATCCATTTATTCTTTGTGCTTAACAGAGTTTATCTAATAAATCTTCATACAAATAAAAAAAATTTTCGGCTTGATTGAACTCTTTGTGAGATTCAACTATATGGATTGTGAAGATCACCTTCGCTTCCTAATACATTCTTGGAGTACTTTTCAAGACGCTTCCAATGGCACATATTATAATACGTGCTTTGAATGAAACTATTGAGCAATTTGACACAACATGAAATGAGGTTTTTAGCGAAAATAGCCATATTTTGCATATGAGATCCTCATAAAAGTGGTTTCAGAAGATGCTTTGAATCGAGAGAAACGTTTTGAATTAATATCATAACATAATAAATGTTCAGTACTTTTGCACTTTACAATCCTAATATGGAACCTGAGTTTCAAGGCATCTATCAGACCTGGCTCATATCATAACATAATAAATGTTCAGTACTTTTGCACTTTACAATCCTAATATGGAACCTGAGTTTCAAGGCATCTATCAGACCTGGCTCATATGAGAATAATGATTTTACAATCAATCAACAAAAACCACTGTAATTTCTACCCTCTTTCCTCTGCTCAATGCTGTCAATGTTTTATTTGAGCGACGTCTCAGAGCCTCAGAGATTTCACTACTTACTGCAGACATTTTATGCAACCCATGCATCGTCAATGTCCAGACTAACGTTATTAAATATAGAATGCAATAAAATGTCATTATGAACGATATAGAATGCAATAAAATATCATTGTAAACGATAGTGCTATGACCTTCCACCTACTTTCTATACGCTTCAAGGGCATTTACTACTGTATTGCCTTATGAAAAGGGCATGAGTTTTCCAGTTGGCCCCACCAGCCAAAATTAATTCAAACCCAGAATCATAGTCTGTTCCAGATTGGACAAATTTTGATGATTCTGGACTCGATCGAGCTATTTTTGCAGATTCGACTAAGTGAAGTATGATAATCACCCCATGCTTCCTTAAGCTTTCCTGGAGTACTTTTCAAGGCGCTTCCAATGGTACCAAGTTATATAGATGTTTTGAATACACTTATTGAATGATTTACAAAAATATGAAAAGAGGTTTCTGGCCAAAATGTCGAAATTTTATATATCAAAGTCCCACAAAGATGATTTCAGAGGTTGCTTTGGATTGATAGAAACATTTTGATTCAAGATATACCATAGTAAAAGTCTCCATTATCAAGATGAAAAATGCGATCGTTTGATTTTCGATGAAAACCATGAGGGATACCTCATGCTTTTTGGTCGATTTTTGACCATGTTTTTTTGGTCCCCAAAAAGTCGAGCAAAAGTGTCAGAAAGTAACTGCCAGATGAAAGCAACCATTTGGGGCTATTCTGACGATCTAAAACGGCCTTGAACGCAAGAAAATTCAGCTCAAATGCACTCATACTTTGCTGTATTAGGGACACTAAGGACTAAAAAGTGGGAATACCAGTATGCTGCTTGCCCGTATATGAAGTAGCTACGTGTATATGGATGTAGAACATCACATAAGAATCAGATCCACAGATAATATGAAGGGTTACTATGTGTAAGTGGAGGGTCAAAATGAAAGTAGCAGTATTTTGATAAAATACGCAAGAGCAATCAGTAGCACGAGCTGCCGCTGCGCAGGTTGGTTCTCTACCTTCGCTACGCTTCGGTGAGAACCATCCGAAGCATAAACACTCATATGATTAGTGATTATATATCAATCAACAATCAGGGTTCCTCTTCTAACATTTTAGCTCTATTAATTTTGGGATATTAGCCAAAGGCCCGCGGCAGCGCGAGCCGTTTGAACGTAGGTTGGTTTCCACCGAAGCGAAGCGTAGGTCAGGAAACCACCCGAAGTGCTGAAAGGCTCGTATACCATAGTAAAAGTCTCTATTTTCAAGGTGAAAAAGGCGATCGTTTAATTTTCGTAAAAAACCATGAGGTTCTTTTTTTTTAAAGACAGATGTTTTTATTGATTGATCCGTGTAAGTAGGTACCTAGGGCACTACCAAGAGGCGGGCGCAATTGATATGATATTCAATTATATTTAGGATAAAGCGATAGATGAAGCATGAGGTACCCCTCATGGTTTTCATTGAAAATGCCCTTCGGGGTAGCTGTCAGAGTGGTTTTCGCACCTGAAGCGTTTCAGTCGTGAGCTGCGCAATCGAGACACAAGGATGCTCGCGCGGAGAGATAGCCATTAAAACTATCTCCGCTGAAGTTACAATCTTGAAGTCTATCCGGTCTGGTTTCGCCTGGTAGTTTGTGTTGGGACAAACATCTCCCTCCGTCTATAGTTGTTATGTAGTTATTAATACTCTAGTTTTCTCTTGCAAGTCACTTTGTTCATATACACTTGTCTCGTATTTTGATACATTTAAAGCCTTTATTGGACGCCAGATCACTAATAAAGTCTTTAATATTATCCACCAGAAAAAAAAATTTTTTTTCATTGAAAATCAAACGATCGCGTTTTTGACCTTGATAACGAAGACTTTTACTATGGCATACGAGCCTTTCAGCACTTCGGGTGGTTTCCTGACCTACGCTCCGCTTCGGTGGAAACCAACCGACGTTCAAACGGCTCGTTACTATGGCATATATTAAATCGAAATGTTCCCCTCGACCCAAGGTAACCTCTGAAACTTCGTTTGAGAGACAATCATATGTAAAATGTCGACATTTTGAGCAAAAACCTCATTTTTAATTTTCAAACATTGCTCAAGCTTATTCTAAACATTTATTTTAAATTGCACCATTGGATGCGTCTTGAAAAGTTCTCTAGAAAAGTATTAATACAGTAGTCGCTCTATATAAGGCTACTTTTTTGGCGAGGTTTTTTTAGCCTTATTGCCCGCATAGCCTTAACTGATGCGCGTGACTTCTGTCAAAAAAAGTCGTGCGCGTAGAATCTATTACAGTACTATAATAGCTAATCGAATAAATCAATTTGACACATCCCCACTAACATTCATTTATCTGTTTATTTCACTTCTATTGAACGTAATATCCTATCATGTGCCTTAAAGATCAAGAGATCGCCTCACAATCGAGCAAAAGTATTGCATTATTATGCACAACATGCGCTTTCCTAATCTGACGCAAATGCAACTCGGTCAATGGGCTCAAAAGGAATTCAACCTTCATCACTCAGTCAAGCAAAAAACTGTATCGAACGTCTTGAATTCACAGGACAAGGTGGCCAAAGCTTACGAAGAAGAAAATTTGAAGGGAGAAAGCAGCAAAGCCTTGACGATGCCTCAATTGGACAGTGACATTTTGGAGTACATTCAAGCTATGAATGCAAAATCTCTTCCTGTCAATCGTGGAACTATTGCAGCTTTTGCAAAAGTAGTCGCACGCAGAAAGTACCGCATGCATGAATTGCCAAAGAGTAAGCAAATTCATTTCTCAGATGGATGGCTAACCGATGTTTTCAAGAGAATTGGTGTCAAGTCAAGACATTTATATGGTGAAAAAAAAAGCTCAGTTGACTTAACATCATCTAAAATTGTCGAAGAACTCAGAAAGATTGAAGAATTGTTGGAGCCATATGATCCCAAAGATATTCTCAACTTTGATGAAACTGGCTTATACTATGAGCAACAACCAACTCGCACCATTTGTCAGGAACCTTCAGGTGGTTCAAAGAAAAGCAAGAACCGATTTACAGTTGGACTAATCACCAACTATGATGGATCCTATAAAGGGCATCCCATTGTAACTGGGAAACGAAAGACACCAAAGGCAGCAAACAAAAAACCTGCTTTGTACAGAAGAACCACCAACATCGGGCAATCCCATTATGTAGAGTATCATTCATCACCCAATGCATGGATGAACACCGACATTTTTCGGAAGTACATCAAACGTTTGAATGCGTCTTTCGTTTACACCGGAAGAAAAGTTGCTCTCTTGGTGGACAATGCTTCAGTGCATAAATTGAAAGAAGAACTTAGCAACATTAAATTGATTTTTCTTCCGGCAAACACAACAAGCAAGTTGCAGCCTTTGGATGCCGGTAAATCAACACATTTCATTGATATCCGTACTCATCTCTAATCACACACTCGATAGGAATCATTGCGAACTTCAAGGCTCAGTTTCGTTGGCACCAATACTACAGGGCAGCGAACAAGTATCTTGCCGGGGTAAACCTTGATCTCACCGAGGAATACAGAATGGATGAGGTGGATACTCTGTATTTTCTTGCTGATTCTTGGATCAAAGTTAAGCCTCAAACAATCCAAAATTGCTGGGATCATACGAAAATCCTTGATTTTAAGTTTGCTCAGAGACAGACAATCGACTCGGAGGATGATGTACTCCCATCTTTCGAGCTACCTTTAGACGATGATCTAGTCAGTCAGTTGAACGAAATCATCCCTGAACTTCCTGGAAACAGAAGTAATAATGGGGTTCAAATGGTAACTGAAGTAAACGACTTGGATCTAAATGCAGATGAGTCTGATGCAATCGTTTTTAATCCCGTGATTGTTGAATTTGAGGATGGCGATGATGTTACCCAGGGATCACAAGAGCTTGACGTAGAGGAGGAACCAGAAGAGATTTACGATGTTGATACGAAGGAAATAAGGGAGAAGTTGAAGCATGCGTATGAAACTATCTTGTACCATACAATCCCAATGGATGAAAAAGAAAACGATATCAGATCGGAGGAAGTAGCAGAGAAAAACCAAACAGATTTACGTTTAAATGTACTACTTTTCAATAAAAGCTTTCTATTTTTTTAATATCTGATTGGCCCTAAATTCAATCGCAGCAACCACCACTATGAAATAAAGCTAAAAATTTTAGAATCTGTAGCCTTATATAAAATTAGGTTATTAAGGCTAAATAGCTGGTAAAAAAAAATTTGAAAGATTTCAGCCTTATTCCCCGCATAGCCTTATATAGGACGGCCTTATATAGAGCGACTACTGTATTTTTTTTTGTAGGGGAGACGAGCTCCAGGTTTTATTTAATGTCCTTTAAATGTCATACTGAGGGATAGAAAAGACTGTTGGTGGACCCAATGTCTGCAAAGAAGGGGAGTAAGATATTTTTGAATTAAGTTGGGAAAGAAATCTACTACTAATAAGGTGCGACACCTAGAGAAAAGTATTAATATGGGGTGATCATCACAATTTATATAGTCGAATCTCGCAAAATATCTCAAAGAAGTCGAAATTAACCGAATTTTGGCCAACCGAACAAAATTTTTGTAGCGAAATTTAAAATATTTTTGGTGGCGGCTGTTGGAAAGACTGATGTGTGTAGCTTGAAAGGTCCATGTATCTATTGTGTCGTTTGTAGCTCTAGAATGCATTTTCATAACTATTATGCGGGCGTACAACACTGCATATAAACTTTGTTGCTTATTGTCAAGATGATGTAAATCAAGGCTCATGAATCTGACGAATATATTTCAATATTATTGACTTAGACTTATCATTGCATGAATATGTGTAACTTGACACCTGGGAATAGATCTACTAATGACAAATCCTCAACAAGAGCATGAATTATCGGCTTCACAAACTGCCTTTTGAAAGAGCCATTGCACGAGAAGCAATCTAGAATAATATTCAATATCTGAACTTCTGTTTAATCAGAACGCAACAGGCTTTCACTCCATGCCTCTCTGAACCGCAATGACAATCAACAGACTTACATGTTTAGCCATTTAAAACGTATTATTAGTGATGGGAGCAGCATTGATAAATGCGTTTCTGAGATGCAGTAATCTCTTTCAAACACTGTTAAACGGAAACAAAGAGGAGGCTTTCACGTCGACAATAAATGTCAGCAGCAAATAGCGGCAGTTTCTGATTGACAATCAAAATAGAGTGAAATCAAGCTCTAGACCATGGCCCTGTTGTTTCCCGTGTTGTAAAATTTGACAAAGAATGTGAAATCAAAGCATTCAAATCAGAATGCGAGTGTTTATTCTAAAACTTTACGGCATGCAAGTAGTGTTCATCGCAGAATATACAAATTTCTTTGTCGAATTTACATGTCAATTAGTTTCAGATGGTCCATTCACAGTGGTACCGTCTGTTCTGTCTCCCAGCTTCTTGGAAAATGGAATATAAGAATAGCGCAATGATCGCCGAACGTCGTGGGATACGCTACGTGTTACGTTTCGGTAGTTTTAGAGTATAATGGTCTATGAAGTAATTTATGCCATCTCTCAAGGCTTTGGGTACATATTGTTCAATTCAATCCATCTAATCAATAACAGTTATCCTTTTTCCACTATTTTGGAATGCGGATCTATCTTTTGACATAAAACCTTGCTAAAGTAGGCTTCCTGTAATAAGTTTTGACTCGAGAAAGTAAGGCATTTAAATCGCTAAACTGTTAGTACTTGATAGATTATAAAAGGTTCCAAATAGAAATTTGCGCGCAATACAGTAAAGCCATCCCGGGCCAATTTTCGGTAAATATTTTTATCTTATTATGCTTTAAGTCGCTATATTTTATATGATGTCTTCTAGTGTCAATGCGACGCATCTAGAATAGGCAAATAATAGCCTCGGCTCAGATGAAACTTTTTACAATTTCTACATTGAGTGAGGTGTTGTATGCATGGACAGCGCTGCTGGAATCTATAGCAGTAACCTACAGATTGTTTCTAATAAAGTCTGATTCCGTTAACGCCGAGACAGTAGTATTTCGTGCCTGGAAATCGGAACAGGTTTAGCCACGAAGAGAATAGAAGCTTGGAATAAGCTTTCGATTCAAGTAAAACATGCTACTTCTTACCGATATGTTCTATACAATCAGCTCCTTTTTCTTATAAAATGCCAGTGCAATTTGTACAGACAGAGGCACAATACATAAATGTTTGAAGCGACTACTGTAAATAGCATGTAGTACGAGGAAGAGTATTAGGTGAGACGCATCTAAAACTTTTGAAATATACAAGGCTATTTAGTTTCTTTGTTTCAGTTGTTATAGAAAATAAGCTGTTTCAGTTGCTATAGGAGGAAACTCGATGGCATACTTACGGTTATTACAAATTTTTCTGCTCTAAAGAATGCAGAAATTGAAACATGTAATAACGAATCAGAATGTGATCGTCTCCCAGCCCTGTGGGTCGAAGAAAATTCCATACAGCAGCCTGAAATGGCGATTCTTTGGGTTTTTTGAATAGCCGACAGTATACTTCACAACGCGTCCACTATTGGTTCAACATAATAAACCATACAACAGATTGATTTCAAAAGATATCTTATATAAAGGAGGCAAGTGGGGTACGAGATTAACTTGGTTGCAAATCTTAATAACATATCCCTCTTTCAACTTATTACTAAATAAATCAATCATGCTTAATACAACTTCTGCCGTAAATCCTGATCTCTTCAAACAATCATACCACATATCCTATGATTCCACACATCTCAATAGACAGCAATCGTCTTCTTCACCCGAATCGCCAAATCAAAATGGCTATAACCAACAAAAGCAGTTTCCATGCTGTACTAATGATACTCTTTATTCGTTTTGCCCAATCTGCGGTGTCGACGTCTCTATTTTCTCTCATGAAAATCACTGCCCATCGGCGACAGCTGCTTCTGATTGAACCAAACAAATGAAACATCTGCAATATACATGCTATTATTCTTACAGCATTTCTTTATTTATCTTCAAACCATTCAAATGTCTTGAAGTTTATACATATTTATCATTAGTTATATTTACATTGTACATTACACACATTTTATTAGAATAAAAGAAATTCTATCTAAGCATCGTTATTGATTACTTGAAGAGGGATACACTGCTCCAGTCGCCTTCACATTTTCTATGGGTGTAGCGTCTAATTTTCTCTTCTTAACCAGCTCGGAAGCTACATTGATGAACACATCTACAACATGCTCAGGGATCTGATAATGCAAAACAAGTCTAGCCTCGTAACCGGGATCTTTGGACATGATGATATTATGCTGCTTTAATGCCGCTGCAAGCGCATCAACTGTAATACCAGCTGGCGCTGTATTCAAAAAGATCATGTTGGTCTCGCAAGGGTAAGTGAGCTCCATTCCCAAGTCTTGCAAGCCAGCTGCCAATCGTCGTGTGAGTTGATGTGTTTGTTTCATTGTAGGTACCACAGTATCAATGCAATGATGAGCAGCAGCAGCCAAGAGACCAGCCTGGCGCCATCCGCCTCCCATCAGCTTGCGAAGATGACGAGCTCTGATGATATCTTGTCTAGATCCTGCCAAAATGGATCCGATGGGTGCTCCGACGCCTTTGGACAGGCACACAGAAATAGTATCAAAGTATTGTCCATATTCGTGCAATGGAATTCCTGTTTCCTGACTAGCGTTCCAGAGACGGGCGCCATCCAAATGCATTTTGAGACCATGAGACAATGTAAATTCACGAATGCGCTTGATTTCATCTAACGGCATGATGCTACCATTCAAAGTGTTCTCGAGAGCAACGACCTTGGTAACAGGTGAGCAAAGAGTATCAGTGATTAAATTGGAGGAGATGTCTTGTACGGTCAAGTGATGTCCATTTTGAGGGACCACAGGAGATGCGCTTGCCTGTGAGTGATAAGCGAGGCCGCCACATTCATAATTGAAGATATGGGATCGAGCATCGAGCAAAACAGAGTGAGGAGGCTGTGTCAGTAAAACTCGAAGGCCCAGTTGGTTGGTCATGCAACCACTGACACAAAACAATGCTGATTCCTGACCTAGGAGCTTAGCGACATGTGCTTCCAATGCGTTTACAGAGGTATCTTCCTAGTGGATCAATAAGGTCATGATTAGATTTTTCGATGCCATGTTGCAGTTGTTTATATACATACACCAAAAACGTCATCTCCTTTACTGGCATCCTTCATCAATTCAAACATATCATCAGTTGGTTCCGTGGCTGTATCACTGGTGATATCATAAAATCGATTTTGATGGGGCATGATTGAGAAATATCTGTTTTTGCGAGTGAATGAGGACAATGAAGAGGAAAGAGCGGAAAAAAAGGATCTTTTTGAAAATGCAGAAATAAGCATCGTGGTAAATTATCGTTTTATAAGCAAAAAGAATAGTGCTTTATTGTTGTTTCGTTCGTTTGAGTAACATTCTGGGTGGGATCCCAGGGCTTCTTTTTACCTGGCGAGTCACTCACATCTTACTAGTACAGCTACTGTTGTCAAATTCCCACGAAAAAGAGGTCGACATAAATTAGACGTTGATTATGTACACATTTGATAAGGACATTGCATAAACAAAGCAAACAGACGTCTCTTCCAGAGATAAACAATTGAGCCAGCAAATGTCTAAAAGCCCTTTTTTGATCTGCCGCAATGTTTTTAAGGTTGGTTGCTAGGCAACCAAGTCAAGAACAGACATCAAATCGAAGTCTAAATTAAAATAAAATTTCACATATAAGGGCCATAGTAAGACCGTTGAAAGTAAAAGTCTACTTTTAAACATCAATGTAGATTGATAAAAAAAAAGGGGGGGGGGGATGCGAGGAGATAGAAAATAGAAAAGAGGAGTTTTGTTGATGATCAATATCACAAGGCTAAAAAGGTAGTATTCATCTTGATGCTGGAAGCTTGTTCATCAAATTTTGGTTTCCTCTTTTAGTAAAAAAGATCAGATGTGTCTTTAATGCTGCGTTTTTAAAAAGCAGCGACATTCTCTTGATTAATATAAAAATGAGGGGCAATCATTAAGGCATTTCTTTCTTCTTCATATTCTTACATTTTATACTCTGCTACATTAATTATGGATACAACTTGCCCAGTTTTAAACGATGGCACACCAGCTATTCAATGGATTTATGTAAGATTTCCAGCTAAACTTGTATAAATCATTCTCTCATCATTACCAAATCAATTATATAGAACATCTTTGGAGATTGCGTCTATGGATGGCAAGAGTCAATTAGTTTACTGTTTGGGTACCTCTCGATATTATGTTGGTTAAACGCACAAATGCCGTAAGTTGATTCTGGACTACAGCAAAGCATCGCAATATACTCATATCATCATCATTATCGTATCTAGTCAAGTGATAAAGAATTACAGGCTGCGTGATGCCGAAGGACTCAGCTTTAGTTTCCTGACGGTCTGGCTAACGGGTAAGCTACTTGATGTGCTCAATTGCGGCGAGCTTTTTTTTTTTTTTACTAAAGATCATGTAATAGGCGATGTTGCAAATTTTGTCGGCTGCGTTATTACGGGTCAATTACCCTTCCAAATCATTTTATCAATCTACTTTACTATCATCGATACCATTTTATGCTTTCAATGGCTTTATTACGTCAAGTATACCAACAATAGTATTCGTCGCTGGTTCGATGGAGATGATCAAGAATTCAAGCCTTTAACAATCCCTGCTGATACCAACACAAGCAACGCTGCTGCTCCTGCACTTTATACCACCTACAGCACTGGTGCTAGAGCCAAGGAAATCAACGAGCAATCATCCCTGCTGGGCTCATCTCCTCAGCCAAAGAAGTACGTTACCACCATGATGATGGCATTCTGCTTCTTCAGTTTTGGCAACCTACCTTCTGCCACCGATCTGTTCTCTGCCAACACATTAGTCTTGGAAGCAGCTGCTGTTGCTGTAACTGCAGATGACGGTAATAAAACCATCTGGGTGGGCAGATTCTTTGCCTGGCTGTGCACATTTCTTTATCTCTCATCAAGACTACCACAAATCTATCAAAATTTCCGCCGTCGCTCTTGTGAAGGATTATCCATGGCTTTGTTCTTCTTTGCAGCAATGGGTAACCTGACCTACGTGCTCAGTATTTTTACTAATCCTCATGCAACACGTGCTACCATGTTGGAAGCCGTTCCTTACATTATTGGAAGCGCAGGTACTCTGATCTTTGACGGAACTATTTTCACTCAATATGCACTTTATACAAACAAGGACAGACAGCAGCAGGATGTGGTTGCCGTCGAAGCCGTACTCGTTTAAGGGTTGCTCTTGTAAATAGTTGTAAATTTCTCCCCTTTTCCTCCTTATAGTAATAGACACATATACCATATACCTCTTTTTGATTAGTATTATCTCACAAACACAACAAATAATATACCAAACATGTTATCACATCATATGATGAAATTCGTTAATAAATAGGATTTCTACAACCCTCATGATTCCAATATCTATTTGCTGCTATTTAGCGTGCAATCACTGAGTAACCTATTTTGCCTGAAATTGCATTAGTGAGTTTGGTAGCGTTTACAAATTGGCTATTTGCGGTTAGAGTTATGTGATTCTTCCGTTTGAGCTGCCTGGCTTCACCCTTATTCTTCCTTTGAGCCACATGCAGTCGATAAAATCGGTGAATATTCACGAAATCTCGCTTTAATGGATATGCCATGACATGTATTATAAGTCTTTAAAGTGGGGGAATACATTTTCATTATTTGTTTAACAACTATCGTCTAACAGAGCCACCATTCTTGTGGTAGAGTGCTTCCAGCTCAGACTCAAGGGCCTTGATTTGAGCATGTCTTGCCTCCAGATCTTTATTCAGGCGATCACGTTCAGAGACCAGTTGTGTCTCCCATTGACGGAAGCGACTTTCCTCCTTCTTCACCTGTTCAGTGAACTCTTTGCGCAAAGCTTCCTCCTTCTCTCTGTGTTTGGGGTTCTCAACCTTGACAAGCTTGCCTTCACCAAACTTACGAGTGGCCATTTCTGAAAGACGGTAGTTTTCATAGTGCACAGCCTCTGTAGTTTCAATCAAATCGGACATGTGAGAGCGAATCAGCAAGTGTCTCAATTTCTTGAAATCGCAATGCTCTTCATTCTCAACCTCAGCGACACCCCACGAGTAGGCACGGCCTTTGACGGTGCGACCATCCGCTGTTTGCACATCTTGGGTGGAGCCAATGATACTGAATGGCATGGCAGATGTAATGTCTTTGTTGGATTGGGTTACTTCTTCATCCTCGCTCTCGATGGGACATTGGTAGACCTTGATGTGGTGCTGATCAATGCCGTTTCTAATCCTTTCTTTGAAAGCTTCTAGATCCTTTGGTGTGAGTGTATCAGCCTTAGCGATCACAGGTATTAAATTGACTCGAGATCCTAGTCTCTTCATCATCTCGACATCCAAGGGTTTCAAGCCATGTCCTGTAGGTCTGATAAAGTACAAGCATGCATGCACTCTCATGTCAATCTTGTTGTTACGGTTGGGCTGCTGTTCTTGGCGCATGTAGCTCTCATGTTGATCATCGATGAATTCCGAGATGGGCACCCAGCTATTATGGCTGTTTACATAGTCTCCAAAGCCAGGCGTGTCAATGATAGACAGCTTCACTCTAAACATCTTCTCCTCGATTTCTGATTGTTTACTTTAGCATGTTAAACCAATGTGTAGATCAACAAAAACAGTATGAATTACCTGTTTTGGTAATCTCGATCTCCACCGTTCTATCCAACTGCTTTTCATGTCTCTTGGATTGGTCTCTGGGGTCTTTGAGTGTAGTTGTGAATAGGGTGTTGACAAAGGTGGTTTTGCCATTGCCAGATTCACCACAGACCATGACAGTAAAGTTCACACCTTTGTTGGTAACAATCTTGTGCCTCTGATTAGGCAAATGAGCAACGCCAATGGTTGGTTGGGAGCTGATGGGTAATGTTACAGTAGGAGGCATTTTATTGATCAAGAACAATGAAGATGAGAAAGAGAGAGAGAGAGAAGAAAAGAGAAGGGAAAAAAAAGAGTTTATATATATATATATATATTTTACAAAACACAAGGTGAAGAAAATTATTTAAACAGGGAATTGCAATTGGATGGAAATTTGTCATGTAGCACAGTTGGTGGCAGGGTATACAAGAGATGGGATGTTTCGAGATTAATACAGTGATGTTGAAATAAGGTCCTTTTGAATAAAGTCATCTGCATTGTTGTTTGACAAGCCAAAGATGGCGGCTATCGAGGATGAAGATGAAGACACAGTGTCATTGGAGTGATTGGAGATGAGAATAGGCCGGCTCTTCTTGACAAACTCCTCGGACGAGTCCTCCAACGAAAGTCGACTAGTGCTGGCCGATTGCGGTGTGGATGTGGAGGGTCTTGTTGTGTTGAGAGAGCTTCGGATAACGGTAAAGATTCTTGAGAACATGATGTTTTGATAAGATAAAGAAGATGAACAAGAGCATCTGCTTGATGAAGACGCTATTTATACAGTTCCAAAAAGTCACATCATCATTGTAGCACCACACTCATCTCTGCCTATATTTTATCCGTGAGGAACCAAATGTGCGGCCCTGTTTGTCACCTCACTTTTTTCAATCTTTGAAACGAAACCATCGTGTCCTATTGGTGTAATTTTGCACTTATTAAGCAATTCTTTCATTTAGTATTTGTAAGATCGCATTTATCTTTCCCATCAAATTTGCGTAATCTCATGCCTTCCAAAAGAGAGCCATCTGTCGTACCAAGCACAGGCGGATCAATCAATGATGATGATGACGCTGTAAACTCACAGCAAGAAACTGATCAAGAACAGGCGGTAAGCTGCTACATTTCATTTTTAAAAAAAAAAGCATCTGATGGCATGCTAATCATTGCATCACATTGCTTAGCTGTTCTATACAGAAGTCGATGAGCTTCAGATGCATGGTATCGGCGTCGCAGACATCACAAAGCTCAAGGCTGCTGGTATTTGTACAGTAAGAGTAAGGGCAATCAAGTACATGACATACTACATGCATTTACTAATCGTTCCACAGGGAGTTCAAATGATGACCAAGAAAGCTCTGTTGAAAATCAAAGGCTTATCCGAAACAAAGGTAGACAAGATCAAAGAGGCTGCCATCAAAAGCCAGGTAAGCATAACGTATATTCCCATCCAAATGATGCTTGCTAAAGCCCCACCATAGGGTCCTGGTTTCGTTACAGCAAAGGAAATTGCTGTGCAGAGAGAAAAGGTGGTCAAGATCTCTACTGGTAGCAAACAGCTGGATGTATTGCTTGGCGGTAAATTTTCTGCCGTTTTCGTTATATTACCCCACAAAAAACTTATTCATATCCCACAGGTGGCATTCAAACTATGTCATTGACTGAGGTCTTCGGGGAGTACAGAACTGGTAAAACTCAATTAGCTCACACATTATGCGTGCAAGTACAACTACCAGAAGCTGATGGAGGAGCCAATGGCAAAGCAGGTACTATATCGCTGCGAGAGCACTGTCATCACGGATAATTTACACAGGCACATGTATAGCATACATTGATACAGAAGGCACATTCAGACCTGATCGCATTGTATCCATTGCAGATAGATTTGGCGTAGATCCTGAAATCGTACTTGATAACATTGTGGTTGCTCGTGCTTGGAATAGTGATCAGCAAATGGATTTGGTAAGCGAACTCGCAGCTCACTTTGCAGAGCAAAAGGGCGTCTATCGCCTATTGGTCATTGATTCCATCATTTCACTCTTTCGATGTGATTACTCTGGTCGCGGAGAATTGGCTGACAGACAGCAGAAATTGAACCAAATGTTGAGCAGATTAACCAAGATCTCTGAGGAGTACAACATTGCAGTGTTCCTGACTAATCAAGTCTCCTCTGATCCAGGAGGTACACTTTGCACTACATGGTTTAATATGAAAATCAATGACTAAACATCTTTCGCAATATTTAGGAGGAATGACATTTGTAGCTGATCCTAAGAAGCCTGTTGGTGGACACGTACTGGTATGTAAGAGTGGCACAGCTTTCACGTTGTATCAAATTTAGCATGACAAAGCACTAATGTTACACCTGATACTGCCCTATACAGGCTCATGCGTAAGTCTCTTTTTTGCTGTTTTCTATTCATGGTTATACATTATTAATTATGCAATGTAGTTCTTCGACTCGTGTTTACTTGAGAAAAGGCAGAGGCGAAGAAAGAGTGGCCAAGTTGTTTGATTCACCTGATATGCCTGAAAGCGAAGCATCCTATGCCATCAATAGCGGTGGAATCATCGACACTACCTTCTGATAGATATACCGTTATCCTTCACATACATACCACCATTTGCACATAAAACATCACATCATTGCATATACATAATAAATACATATACATTTATTCACACTCTGCTCTCCTCTAGCTGTCCTTCTTATTTTTCAATTCACCTCTCATATAGCGCTTACGTTGATTTAGCATGTGCGAGAACAAAACAGGGAATCCTGGAATGTAAATGAGGACTACAGCAATCAATCCATAGAAATACAGAGGATGGATGGCCTTGGCATAAGGCAACGCTTGATACACCATCATCATTTCCGAGAATACGCCCACAGGATACAAGACCAAGAAAAGGTTGTATCTGGCCCACATAATAAGGCTAGGCACTTCACCACCACTCAGATGGAAGACGTAAAAGATATAGCGCACACACTCTGCAATTGACCATGCAATAACCATCGTTGTAAATGACCAATGTGTATGAATCTCGAAAACGACATCGTTCACGGCCCACACCAGAAACAAGCGAGATGCTACTTGCATGGCTGTTGTCATCAGAGGCGCTCTGACCCAACCCAACAATGAATGAAGTACCTTGAAGAGCGTAGCCTTCAGCAACAAAATTCCAAAATCACCCTAACCCAAAAACTTACCTCAAACAAAGCAGCCGTTTGTACGTAGCTCAAAGCAGGCCACACGACGTCAAACACACCTGTATAGTCACCGTCATTGGTATAGAGGTGGGCTACTGTAATGAATAGAATCCAACACCAACCCATGGTGGATACTTGGTTGTACGATAGTAAATACCATTCAGCAAAGTTTTTCGGGCCTGGTGGTGGTGGCCTCTCCTCTCTTCGTTGTTGCGTAGGAGTAGCTACATGCCAAAAATTAGCTTTGCTACAAGCCTCCTAGTTCTGGATAAAACTTACTTTTACTATTAGCCATATCGCAGTGATAAAAAAGGTGCAAAATATGATTTTGGCGTCAGAATGCATTCGGCTTTTATTGACATCGGTGAATCATATTTGCCATTAAATGAAATTAATCAGTTTATCCGAGAAGCCAGCCATTATACAGCGCGTATCAGGTTAGATACAAGGTTAGTGGTGACCGAGTCTACTTTTTATTAATGTATGCAGAATCTGTTGCTCTTATTCTATAACGCTCATTGATTGATAGCATTTTGATAGGATGGTTGCATTTATACACGCATTTGGATGAGCAATTCACAACGAATAAAGTCGTTCAAATACATATAATAAAAACGAAGCAAACGTAAAAAAAGCAGTATTTAGACAGAGCTAAGGTAATTTTTTATTTGCAATGGGGCTTCTCCTTGGCTTCAAAAGCTTCAATACCTTCATGTTTTAAACATAGCATTCATTCTACTAGCCAGAATTAGTTGAATCTCCCATTGTCATTTTTTTCTCTCGAAATAGAAATTTTTGCTCAAAGACGCTTAAAGGACTTTAAATAAAGCATTTATTTGCCCTAAAAAAAATTCTTTTTTTTGCTCAAATTGCGACTTGCGCAACTTATTTTGCATCCTTTAAACGTTTTTGGATCGATCTATTTTGCAATCTATTTTGTATCCTATCATCTTTTGAATATGTCTGACACTAGTCATATACATCATTCTCCCTCTCAACCCGACGCTGAGACCCCTCTGCTGTGGACTCATGTAGTCGGCTCAAAACGCAAAGGCAACAGCAAGAAACAGCAATCCATTGTTTCTTTCAATCCTACGCTCATCCAACGACCAGTTACGGAGGCAGAGGCATCTCAACAGGCCATCAATGGAGAGGCCTCTTCAGGACCTATGGCTGTCATACGTCCATTCCTCAAGGGTATCGAGGAGGATTCGGTTTTCATCGATCTGACACCTGTCAAAGATCGTAATCTATTGAACAAGGCCCTTCTCAAGTTCAATGAAGCTACAACCAACTCTGAACTTTATGAAGACTTTCTTGGTTACCGTAGCAAACCAAGACATTACCTTGGCCATGCTTTTCTCGAGACAATGTGGCTGCCTGAGTGTGTAGGACGCACCACACTCATCAACGACGGCATTACCCTGGAAGATGGTACCTATTTGAGGGGCTTTCCATCCTACCCTGGCGATGCCACCATTGTCAAGTTGACATTACAGAATCTCCCTTTCTTGCCAGCTTTGCAACTCAAGGAGGAAATGGCGACTCGTCTCTCCCGATATGGTGATGTCCTGGATCATGGCATCTCAAGAACTAATGGCATCTTCCAAGGTGAAGGTTATGCTACGCTTAACCTTACTGTGCCTTCCTCCCCTGATTATGCCTGTGATGAATTGCACCCCGAAGACAAGCCCTGCCCTGGTCATCGACACCTGGAGAAACTCAGCCGAGTGATGATCTGGGATCCTCGTTCAGCCGATCAGCGAATGGTTCTGCTGCAATGGGACAAGATGCCCAACTTTTGCCGTATCTGTCATAGTGCCGATCATTGTAGGGCGGATTGCCCTGAGTACAAGAAGTGGATCCAGTGCTACCACTGTGATGAATATGGTCATGTGGAGTACAACTGTCCCCGTAATACAAGTCCAAACAAAGTCCGTGCGGTAGACAGTAAGGCTGCTTCGAAGCCCCGAAAAGTGTCTCAGGAGGCAAAGAGCGGTACATCATCTGGTAAGAAGAAAGCCGCTCCCAAGGTCTCCAAAGCTCCTCCAGTAGCTGCTGGTGCTGGTGCTGGTTCTGGTACTCCTGGTGGTGATACTGCTGGTGGTGGGTCTCCCGGTGGTGGTGATTCTGGTGTTGTTCCAGGTAACAATCAAGGTGATGGCCAAGGTGGTGCCCAAGATGTGGTCCACAGCGGCGTACAAGGTGGTGCTGATAGCCAAACCATTGCTCAAAAGCAAGGTGCTGATAGGGATGCCGACATGGACGAGCTCCCTCTGGCTCAAGACTCTGACAATACCACTGGTACTGAGTCTACTGATACTGAAATGGGTGAATCTCCTGCCAATCCTACTAGTGCATCCGAGAATGCGCTGGATCACCCAGTGAAGAAAATAGGTAAATTTGATGGTGCGGATGATTTTACTTCTGCCAAGCAACAGGCTGCAGTTACAGCAGCAGCACAGGGACAACAACAAGGCTTGACAGGCCCACCCTCACCATCTCAACATTAATATGATGAATTTACAACATACAGTGAAAATTGCCACCCTCAATTGCCGTGGCCTCAAAAAAATAGATAACCCAAAAAAAAGACAACAATTTATTAGATACCTTAGAACACTAGGCTATGATATCTTAGTGTTCCAAGAAACACATGCAACAGACTCCACTATTATAGACATGCTCAATACACAATTCAACACCAAGTCGAGTCTTTGGACTCCACATTGCGGCATTATATCACTTAACACCAATTATACACTTCAACACATCTCAGAAGGCATTGATGGCGGTCGTTTTATTTTGGCCTCCCTTCACCTTACTCGAGATGTACAACTTTTAGCAACAACACCACCAATAGCAACTCTACTCAACATTTACGGTCGAGCGTCAGCTCACACCGAACGCACAGCATTTTATTCAGAATTACTTGATATACCAATTGTCAAGGACACTATCACTAATACAACAAACACTATCTTTATAATGGGCGATTTCAACTATCAATACAAGGATCGGCGAACTGATGGCTCTCTCATCAGTGCACCTGTGATATGGACTGATCTTTTGGATGATTATTACATTGATGTATTTGGGGATGACAAGCACAACACCTGGCATAGTGGCAGAAATGCTGGGATTTTGGATTATATCTTTTGTAGCTCCAATGCTCATCACCTTGTAACTAGTACTAGTCAACAATACCTCTCTCCGGAGTGGACTGATCATGAGCTTTTGGGGTTCTCCTATCAATTTCAAGATTCCAATGGTCGTGGCCCTGGTGTCTGGAAGGCTAATCCCTACTTGGCTCGCAACAAAGATTTTCGCAAGGCACTGGCGGAATTCCTCATTGGCAGTGAGGAACGAAGAGCAGGTATCAAGCGGTTTACATCTCCCCAACAACAATGGGATTGGATCAAAGCAGAGGTCAAGTTATTCATCAAGCAGTATCAAATTGAGGATTTGAACTGGAGGAAGAAACAACTACATCGACTGCTTTCAAAGAGGAACAAGATGATGAGACATAAGAAGCATCGAGGATTGATATTTCAGGGATTGGACTCCATCAACCAGCAAATTCAGTCCCTGCAGCACTCAATTGCAGAAATAGAAATCTTGAAGGCAGGCAAGTTCTATCGTGAACATGGTGAGAAATCACCCGGATTCCTCAAGCGCTCTGCGGTGTCTCGAGAGAACCGTCGGTCCATTGTGGCGCTGCGAGACCCCTCTACGGGTTCAATGTGTCAGGCACAGGATGGCATATCTGCCATTGCAACTGATTTTTACACTGCATTATTCACACCAGAGGCTCTAGATTCAACAGCACTCAGTACCGTGATTCGAAGCATCCCTCAGCACTTAAAGATCAGCAGCGAACAACAGGAGGAACTGATGTTGCCGATTGATGTAGACGAGCTCTTGGCCGACAGCAAACACACTCGACGCCTTAGCAGCCCTGGCCCGGATGGCTTGCCATATGAGATTTTGTACCTGATCATGAAATTCCCACCATTTCATTCACTCATCAACCTAGTCTACAATGAAGCACTGACGAAGGGTAAGTTTCCGCCATCTTGGAACGAATCTGTCATGTGTTTGCTCTACAAGAAGGGTGATCCGGCTGAAATGAAGAACTACCGTCCTCTGTCTCTGGCCAATTCGGATTACAAGCTGTTCACTCGCAACATCAATCGTCGTATCATGGCTGTCTCTTCTCAATTGATTAGTCGCCATCAGCTTGGATTTATTCCTGGACGCTTTATTGCTGAAAATGGCATGATCTGTCAACTGATCATGGAAGATGCTCAAAGGAAATGGACAATTGCGGAACAACAGGATGACGACCCCACCTTTCGCAACTTGGATGCAGATATCGGTCTTTTGTTGGATCAAGAAAAGGCCTACGATCGTGTGAATTTGGACTATCTCAAGAAAGTCTTGACAAAGTTTGGGTTTCCTCGTCCCCTCATCAAGTGCATATACAAACTGATGGGCGACAATCTCATACGGATTAATCTGAATGGCCATATGTCAACAGAGGTTGCCAAGCTGCGTGGACTCAAGCAAGGAGATCCTCTCTCGCCTATCCTGTACAACCTGGCCTTCGAACCCTTTTTACTGGCAATCTTGCATGATCGTCAATTTCACGGATACACGATGGGTACTGCTACTACCAAGTTATTGTGTTATGCGGACGATGCTTTGGTATTTGTCCATGACGCACAGGACCTGTCTCGCTTACAACTTCATATGTCTCGCTATTGTGCTGCTTCCAACGCCAAATTCAACTATGACAAGGTGCAAGCCTTTTCGGTGTCTGGTCGGGATACATGGGACATTTGGCAAGTTCCGTTATCGCATGCCCACATCACCCATCTGCATTCTGTGGAAGATGATGAACCTTTGATATATCTTGGATTTCCTCTCGTACAAAGCAGGATCCAGCGGGTCAACTTTATGGGTGCACTGACAACCAAGATCAAGACGGCCATCCAGATCCACTCTGTCCGATCCCTGTCAGTTGTTGGAAAGGCCACTGTGCTGAATTCTCTGCTTCTGTCCAAGTTATGGTACGTTCTACGTGTTACTCCTCTCACCCAGCCCGATGTCAAGCAGCTGCGGTCACTGGCAATTCTTTTCTTGAGAAAGAACATTTTCCCTGTCATTCCTTGGAAAACATGGATTCTCCCAAAAGACAAAGGTGGACTGGGTGTTGTCGACATCCAAACTCAAGCTTCGGCTCTGTATTTTCGTTGGCTACATCCGTTGCTGGTATATGATCAATCTGTCATTGATGCCCACCCGGTGTCCTACCTTCTCAGTTACCATCTACGCAACATGAATGGATACCAGTATCACCATATTCCGCTCCTCTTCCCCTTTGCTCGTCGCAATCAGGGTTTGAAAACACAGCGCACGGGAACTGTCGATATGTTATATCGTGCAGTCGACTATCTTCCCAAGTCGTATGAAGCTGCTCGGATCAATACTGCTACTGCCATGGCTCTCCCACTACAGGCTGCCTTCTATGTCCCTCCATCCTCTTCACTGGTGGTTCCTCGTCGAGTCAAAGCGATGATGGTTTCTGATGTGTTTCAATATGATGCTCGGCTCAACTTTGTTCATTGGAAAGATACTCGTGACCCTTCCCTCCTCAATTGGAAACGTGCTCCTTCTACAGTGTTCAAAGGTCTTGCGTCTGCCCAGCTGAAATTTCAACCCTACTTCCATCCAGTGTGTAGTCCTGCTCCCCTGGTTGATTCTGATGTCTCCTTTGCGCCTCTAGTGCATCAATTTTGTCTACACGATGGCCAACCCCTTGGAAATGCTCAGGCTTCGGCCAAAACATTTCGTCTGTCCGTGCTGTCGTCGATGGAACAACCCTTGGCCTTGCAGAATGTCTCAGCTTCTCATTGGAAATTCTTTTGGTCCCTGTCTCTTACCTACATTCAACGTAATGTGATATACCGGCTCATCACAGGCTGTATCCCTTCTCGAAGCAGGTTACACTACATGATGCCTGGAGTCTTCGAGTCTCACAATTGTCCTGTCTGCTTGTCTCCCAATGAAACTGCCAGCCACCTGCTCTTTGACTGTCCATCCAAAGAAAAGGTATGGCTAGGCGTCATTTTTGAATTCCTATGGCCCACGACGTCCATCACTGACATCAAAGAGGCTCTTCTGTCCCTGGACTTTTCGGATATCTGGTACTCCCAAGTCAAAGGCATCCATCCTTACAGAATCCTACTTATCACCCTGTCTCAAATATGGCTAGCCCATATGCGCTTTGTTTTTGACAACATCATCCTTGTCCCTGAGGCGATTCTGGTGAATGTCCGCTCCACTGTTCGCCAGACAGTGGATGAGGATCAAATCCATTCCCTCTTGTAGTTTTGATAGTTTCGATAGTTCTGCTTAGTTTAGTTTAGTTAATATTTCACCTTCTTTTTATTATCTCTTTTTTAATTGCACCCGCCTCTTCACTTCGACCCAGTACTCCTAGTGTACGCGGCTCAATCAATAAACAAAATTTAAAAAAAAAAAAAAAAAACTTATTTTGCTAGATTCGACTATGTAAACTGTGATAATTAACTCATACTTTCTAATGGGGCTTTGTAGTATTTTTCAATGCGCATCCAATGGTACCAAGTAAGATGAACGTTTTGAATAAACTTATTGAGTAATTTACAAAAATATGAAAAGAGTTTTCTGGCCAAAATGTCGAAATTTTACATATCAACGTCCCACAAAGATGATTTCAGAGGTTGCTTTGGATCGATAGAAACATTTTGATTCAAGATATACCATAGTAAAAGTCTCCATTTTCAAGGTGAAAAAAGCGATCGTTTGATTTTCGATGAAAACTATGAGGGGTACCTCATGCTTTTTGGTCGAATTTTGTTCATGTTTTTTTGATCCCCAAAAAGTTGAGCAAAAGTGTCAGAAAGTAACTGCTAGATGAGAGCAACTGTTTGGCAATATTTTGACCATTTAAAACGGCCTTGAACGCAAGAAAATGCGGCTCAAATTCACTCAGGTTTTGCTGTATCAGGGACACTAAGGAATAAAAAGAGGGAATACCAGTATGCTGTTTGCCCGTAAATGAAGCGGCTACGTACATATGAATGTAGAGCATCACGTAAGAATCAGATCCACAGATAATATGACTAGTTTTCATGTGTATGTAGAGGATCAACATGAAAGTATTAGTATTTTGATAAGACACGCAAAGGAAATCGGTAGCGCGAGCTGTCGCTGTGCAGGTTGGTTTTCACCAAAGCGAAGCAAAGGCAAAGAACCATCCGAAGCATAAACTTTCATATGATTAGTGATTTTACATCAATCAGCAATCAATATTCTTCTAAAATTTTAGCTTTATCAATTTTGCGACATTAGCCGAAGGTCTGCGGCAGCGCGAGTCGTTTGAACGTAGGTTGGTTTCCACCGAAGCGAAGTGCAGGTCAGGACATCACTCGAAGTGTCGAAGGGCTCGTATCAATTAATAAAGATTATATCACATATAAAGCTATACTACTTTGGTTCTAAGCATAAGTTGAAATCCGTAAGGCACAGCTTTTCTATACATGCTTCTTGATAAAGCGTTTCTTGTTGGCTTTTCTACAATGCTGTATATTTGTATCAATAGTCACAGTCCGCGTACAGGTAGGTCGCATGCTTGCATGGCGTCTTACTACCCAAAATTGTACAAATCGCAGCGAAATCTGGATTCATTTGGGTCGTGTTTTCTAGCGATAGAAGACGATTCAGGCCGCCAGATTAGTACCAAACAACTACTTTCATCTAGCACTAATTTCCTGACACCTTTGCGCAGCTTTTTGGGGACCAAAATAATATGGCCAAAATTCGACCAAAAAGCATGAGGTACCCCTCATGGTTTTCATCGAAAATTATCTACAATTATGACTTACACATTACCATATATGACCTCTTTGCCACCATTATGCGTACTATCTGGAGACACCATTATCAACAGTTTTACAACCTCATCCCCTTTAATGCCATCCAAGTCTGTCGCCACATCCGCACAGAACTGTTAAGATTGTCAAATCTTAGGCAACTCTCCCATTAGTCTATTATTCAAGATTTATATATGGCAAGTCACTTTGTCTCCATACACTTGTCCATCTCTTTGATGCATTTGTTTTATTTCTAATTACTATCCTAATAAAATAATATCATCCAAAAAAAAAAAAAAAAAAAAAAAAAAAAAAAAAGTTTTCATCGAAAATCAAACGATCGCTTTTTTCACCTTGAAAATGGAGACTTTTACTATGGTATATCTTGAATCAAAATGTTTCTATCGATCCAAAGCAACCTCTGAAATCATCTTGTGGGACTTTGATATGTAAAATTTCGACATTTTGGCCAGAAACCTTTTTTCATATTTTTGTAAATTACTCAATAAGTTTATTCAAAACGTTCATCTTACTTGGTACCATTGGATGCGCCTTGAAAAGTTCTCTAGAAAAGCTTAAAGGAGCATTTTTTTTTTTTTTTTTTGTAGGGGAGCCGAGCTCCATTTTTTATTTTAAGTCCTTCAAATGTCGCTATGAGTGATAGGAAAGACTGGGTATGATTACAAGAGGATCGGAGGAACGAAAGAAAAAAATAAAAATAACAGATAGAAAAGAGCAAATGGATAAAAGAGGAAAAACTGAATACTTACGAATCTAGCTTTAACTCGGCATCCAAGCGAGCAAGAGAGCGAGCAAGACGATGTTGAACAGTGTCAGCGATGAACGGGGTTCGGTCGAAGATCCAGCGCCAGTGCGCTTGCCATATTGTCAGCAGAGTAGTTGCGAAAAGTTGAGGAATAGAGAGATCATTGAACGAGAGAGAGAGATCACGATCAAGATAGGGAGAGGAACAGAGTAATATTTGTTGGAAGAAATGAATCAGATCAACATCAGAGATTGAGGAAGAAGCAGAGAGATAGGTGTGGTACATGTGTCGCCAGACCAATAACTTGGGAGGGCAGGAGAACAGAGTATGGGTGATATCCTCCGTGGTAGAGGCAGAGCAGATGGTACATAGGGGAGAAGGGTGTTTTTCGGGGATGCGTAAATGTAGCAGAGCTCTTGAAGGGATTTTTTCGTAAATAGCTCGGTACCAGACCGTGCGAGCAGCCAGGGGGATTGAGATTCTCCAGAAGGAGAGCCATTGAGCCGGCCGGAGAGGAGAGAGTGAGGAGGAGGTAGAGGAGAGGGTTTGACGTAGTTTTTTGAAGTAACGGATGCTGTTGAGCGGCAACCGGCCTCGCGAAGGCAAGGAAGAAGGAGGAACGATAATGCTACGGCAGAACGCTCGAAGGGAGGGAGGTTGATGTGGGTTGAGGGTTGGACGAGGAGCAATGAAGCACTGTTGTGCAAAGAAAGGTTGGAATAGTAGTTGACGCGACTGAATGAAATCAGCAACACGTTGGGATACAATAGGATGGCGAGCGAATTGGAAGGAAGGACGAACACGAAGCACCTGATGATCAATATCTAACTGGAAAACCTCGCTTACAAGAAGCTTTCTGGCAACGTCAGAGCCATCTAAAAGAAGATTCGGTGGTATAAAGCTAGAAGAATATAAATTGTTAATAGTAGGAGGAGAATGTAAAAGTATTTCATAAAGAGGGAGTGAGTAGCAAGTAATAGCATCAACATATAAGTTACGACGTTCTGACATCTGAAAGATGGACAAGCAGGACTGAAGATTAGTGATTGGATTGAGATAAGTATTGCGACGGGATGGACTTTGAGGAAACCACAACCGATGGCGAGCATGCCGAAACAAGAGGTAGTAAAAGAAATGAGAGAAGACGGTGGAGGAGTAGCACCAAGAAAGAGTATAAGTTAAGACAGGAAGCGAAGGAGTGTTGTACTTGGAGAAGGCCGGAGAGTCAAGATATTGAAGCAATAGAGGGCACACCCAGTACCATTGCAGAGCTTGTTGTTGAGAGAGAGGATCTAGGAGCCCCAAACCACCGGCAGAGCGAGGTAAAGAGAGAGTAGCAAAAGAGAGTCTAGGGAATATACGAAAATTAATGAAGGCGGTACCCAGGCTTCGTAAAGAGAGCAACTGGGCCTTGGTAAATGTTGTGAGTCGTAAAACATGCCATAATTTGGAATAAATGAGTGAATTGAGAATGGTGACCCGGCCACGGATAGAGATATTGCGTTGGGAGTGGATAGCAATAGCGTTACGGATGGAGTCATACAGTTTTTGAAAGGCAACATTGCGTTGAGTAATGCTGGAACAAATTGGATAACCGAGATAAATGAGTGGAGTGGTGGATGTGCGATCATGCCAAGCGGTGATGCCATAAGATGAGAGCAGGGCTTGCCAAGTTGTTGATGGTTTACCTGAAAGAGATGTAGCTACTGTTTTGTGATAATTCAATAATGCGTTAGAAGCTTTCATGTAAGTAGTGATGGCAGCCTGCAAACGATGGAAATCGTGCGTGTCGCGAAGATACACCAAAGTATCATCCGCATAGGCAAGGATTTTGACCGCCAGAGGCGCAGTTGTAGAAGAAGCTGAAGAAGTTGAACCATCGGGAACAATGGGCGGGTCAGCAGCATCAGAAAACAGTTGTTGCATAGAATCTGAAATAACATCAGATTGGGTATCATTAGAAGGGGGAGGAGCTTCAGTGTGTAGGTTGAAACCCTTGTATTGAGGGTCTTGGTGAATTGATCGAAGGAATGGATCAAATGCGATATTAAACAGTAGTGGCGAGATGGGATCTCCTTGTCGAATACCACGTTGTTGGGTGATATAATCAGTCGAGATATGTCCATTGATGTTGATGTGAATTTGTGTCGAAAAAAAGAGAGTTAGTAAGGAATGAATAATATTAGTAGGCATGTTAAAACGTTGCATCACAGCACGAAGATAATCAGGATGAATGCGATCGTAAGCCTTCTCTTGATCCAAGAGAAGTGCAATACTGTCAGAGGATGTTTCAGCGGCAATGAGGCGAGTGTTGTGGAGGATCATACCATTGTCACCGATGAAGCGACCAGGCATGAATCCTGATTGTTGAGGACATATGATTTTGTTCATAAAAGGCATAAGACGTTGGTTGAGAAGTCGGGTAAATATCTTGGCATCGCAACATATCAATGATAGAGGTCGCCAATTCTTGAGGTTGGATAGGTCGCCGGATTTGGGTAGTAAACAGATGCAGGTTTGCAACCAGCTGGAGGGAAAGATACCCAAGTTGAGAGCATCATTAAATACCTGAACAGAGAGTTTGGCAGCCTTCGGGTGGTTGAAAATCACGTTGAGAATGGGATAAGGTAAACCGTCGATGCCAGGACTGGATTGGAACTTGGTACGATGAGTACCAGTCAATAAGTCGGCATAGGTGAAAGGTTGCTGAAGAATAGTATGAGCATCATCCGGGATGGTGTCAGAGTCAGGGATCGTGTTGCACAGGGACTCGATGCTCGCGATATCGACCGGATCACTGGAATACAACGTGTCATAGAAACTAGAAGCAGCTGTCTGCATCGAAAGAGGATCAGTACATAATGTGTTACTAACTGGATGGAGGAGGCTAGTAATCGCCTGTTTAGCGGCATGAGTGGCAATAGTTCGCTTAAGGTAACCGGCAGAGGTTTCCCCCTTTTCACGCCAATGTTTACCTGCCCGCAATCGTAGGTTCGTAGCAATTTCACGTTGAAGCATACCAATTTGCTTTTCAACGGTGTGTAGTAGTTGTGTCCGGGTACGAGGATCCGAGTATTGACGACATATTCGGTTGCGCTTGCGTTGTAGGCGCCGGTGTTGGCGTTCCAAGGCATTGCTGCGAGCACGACTTACCCGACGAGCGATATCCTGAACTAGAGCTTTAAGAGCATCCCAATTGTCTTGCGGAGAGGCAGGCAAAATGGAGGCGGCGGCATCTATGGAAGCGGTAATCTCCACGGTAGTGAAAAATTCATCTAAAGCTGTAAACAGTTGATCCGTGAAATATTGATTAGTTGCTAGATTGGGGTTAGCTCGCCATAGACCTGATCCCTGACGATCCGACGAAAAGACAAACCGTGCCCGGAGAAGGGCATGATCGGTCCAGGAGGAATCAAGGAACTCAATGTCAGAAGAGTGTAGGTGTTGGAATAAGAAAGCAGAAGCGTACAGGTAATCGATAGTAGATTGACCGTTCTGTCTGCGATATGTTGGTAACAGAGGGCCTTCTTCCCGCGAATGTGTACATTCAAAGAAGTGCGTATTGAGAATCTGATGGAAGTGTCGGTGAAGGGCAGCTCCTGAAGTAATATTGTTAGTATCAAGTTCCTGATCCACACTTTCATCGGTCAGATATGAAGTAGCATGATAGTTGAAATCCCCCATCATGAGCATTGGAGCAAGGTTGGAGGGATCAGAGTCGAGAGGTGTAGATAAAGAGGAGAGAGATGCCTGAGAGGTTGAATAAGGAATGTCGAAAAGAGGCAACGCTAGAAGATTGCGAAAGAACTGCACTCTGGGAGAGTATTGGGCAGGAGCATAGATGTTAAGGAGTGTGAAGGGTGGGAACAACGCATTGGCATGGACAACCTTGCAGGCAAGGATGCGTTGGTCCAGATCGAAGTCTAAAGAATGTAAGTTGATTAATGGATTGAATGAGATAATACCACAATGTTGTGTCCATAAGGTGGCATGAGCTTGGAATTGTAGATTGAGTTGGTCCTGAACTGCCTCAACGGCGTGCGATTCTTGAATACATATAATGTCCAAATGTAAGGAACGTAAATATCGAATGAAGTCAGAGCTAATCTCTGGAGTAGAGGCTTTGACAAGATTGCGGCAGTTCAGGGAAGCTATATTGAAGTTGTGATTGTGCGTAAAAGATTGAATGTTAGTGGTATAATTGGGCATATTAGTGGCATAGGTGTGAGATTCATAGGTGTTAGTACTCATTAGGCCAAGGGGGCTGAGACGCCGTCAGCTGGGCTAATAGAGGTAGAAGAGGTAGCAGGTTGAGTAGTAGAATCTTGAGTTGCAGGAACATCATCCATGTTGACATCGGCCTGTGCTGAAAGGGCGATAGCCTTGGATGATTTGTCAGGATAGATAGCAGAGTAGAGAGAATGATATACAGATTCAGGAAGCCATTGACGCTTGAAGCAAAATTCCCTAGCGACAGCAAGTTGAACATGAGGGACATGAAGGCGCTTGACAATACGTATTAACCGTTCTTGATGGATTCGGGTGGCTTCAGCTTGCACAAAAGCCTGGTCAGGGTTAGTAGTATACTTACGATCACGGAGTAATGAAGGAGCACAAGGGTCAAAATCATTGAGGAGCTTGGAGGAAGGCAGCTTGGCCATGGCATCTTTGACAGTATCGACATAGTCATTGTGTACCAGGAAGCTGATAGTGTTGTTCTCAGGGTAATGGATGTCGAGGATGCGGCTCTGCGATAAGCCAAGTACTCCAAAACCAGCACGGATTTTGGAGATGGCTTCACGACCACGGGATGTAAAGTACAAGAATTGGTACCCATGTGATTCCGATGGGGCCGAGTAAAAACGATTAATTTGTTCCAAAGTTGGAGGTCGTTTGGACTTACCTTTGGGAACAGGCTTGGAAGAAGTGATGGCTTTAGGTTTAGGTGTCTTGAGAGTCTGGGGCTTCTTTGGTGGATCGTTCAATGGTGGAGTGGCGGCCACATCAGCCCATTTGGAGGCCGAGGTACCATCTGATCTCTTCTCAGGTACAGTCGGAGCTGAAGGCAAGGGTGGCAACGAGTGATTGGCAGTTGACTTGAGTTGTGCAATCTCTCGATTAGCGTTATCCAAAGCCAGTTGAAGTTCATGGTTTCTCTTCAACAAATCTTTAATTTGTTCCAGTTGAGAATCGTGTGCAGAAAGACGTGCATAGATTTCCTGGATCCAGTTAGGTAACTGAGGATGACCATGGATTTCGTCTGGGCGGGGAACATGCAGACCGGTACAGACAGTAGTAGGCGTGCTGGGCGCAATAGCAGAGGGTTCTAAGCCCAGGATGGAGGTGGAATCGGTGGAGGAGACTACAGGCATAGTAGTAAGTTGCGAGTCGGTAATCATGGAGACGAGAGGTTCTACTGTAGGTGCGTGAGTGCGAGGTGAACGACGCAAAGGTACAGCGGTAGCTTTGATGGTAGAGAAGCGACGCTTCTTGGACGCAACGGGTAGTTTGGAGGAACGGTTGCCGGCTGTCGTCTGTTTGGTTAAAGTGAGACGAAAGTTGGAGGTAACGGTAGGTGTCGGCTGACTTGACAGACCTGACTGAATTGTTGTTGTTGTGTTGTTTGTCGGTTTTGTTTTGATCTTTACTGCTTAATGATGTTTTCGGGGTTTGAAAGGCCCTAAAAACAATTTAGACGAAAGAAAGGTGGCTTAAAGGAGCATTTTTTTTTTTTTTTTTTTTTTGTAGGGGAGTCGAGCTCCAGGTTTTATTTAATGTCCTTTAAATGTCATACTGAGGGATAGAAAAGACTGTTGGTGGACCCAATGTCTGCAAAGAAGGGGAATAAGATATTTTTTGAACTAAGTTGGGAAAGAAATCTACTACTAATAAGGTGCGACACCTAGAGCCAGTACAGTCTTGCGGAAATCGTCAAAATATAGATCATGGATAAGAGCACAAAACACCAAACGAGGACATCAGTACTACGTCAAAAAAAATCAAACAACTTGCGTTCACCAGGATTTGAACCGGGATCCTCCCGTTGGCATACGGGAGTTCTACCACTTCGCCCTACCACCAGGGACACTTAAAGGAGCATAAGATGATTAGCATATTTTATATAGTCGAATCTGCTAAAATAGTTCAATCGAGTCGAAAATTGTTAAGATTTGACCAATCTGGAACAGAATGTGAGTCTGGATTTGAATTGATTTTGGCTGGTGGGGCTGGCTGGCAAACTCAATGCCCTTTTAATATTCATGAAGGCAATACAGTAATAGATGCTTTTGAAGCGTATAGAAAGTAGGGCAAATTAAATAGCGCTATTTTTAGTCATGCTACTCTTCTTGAGTTCTATATTTAATAGCGCCAGTCTACCAAAATACTTGTTAGATCAACTTCTTTCCTTTTTGAGGCTTTGAAAGTGTCTAGGGACTGAACATTTATTATGTTATGATGATATACGCTATAAATCGAATAAATTAAAGGCGTTGCCTTGTTGGCGCCGCTGGTGGCGGTGTTGCTTCTGTTGCTGCTTCTGTTGCTGCTGCTGGTAGTGGTGATGGTGTTGCTGGTAAGAATTTGAAACAAAAGTATTGTTCTGTGTAAGCTGGCTCACATTTTGTTGGCGATGCTGTGAATTAAGCTCAAATTGAAACGTGGCAGAAGGGTCTGTTGGGGTTGGGGGAGTCGAGTTATTAGCTGATAAGGGTGGTGTATATAGGAACGAGGAGGAAGATACCCTCTCTAAGGGAATGCTGTATGGAATAAACTGTTGTTGTTGTACAGGATGAGAAGGACGATAGTATTGGCGCTGCTGCTGCTGCTGTTGTTGTTGCTGAGGCACAGTGGCTGCTGAAAGTAACATCTCATCAGCATTGTATCGTTGAAATTGGGTTACAGCTGATTGAAATTCATAGTGCTTCTGTGTTTGCGTTACAGGAATTCCAGAATCTGGAGTTGCAAGTGGTACAATAGACGTAGAAGAACCTGAGAAGCCCATTAGACAATGATTATCATAACTTTCCTGAGTCAAAAAGTGATTGATTGACGCTGGATATGACATGGCGTTGGTGTTATTAGCACTGCCGCTGCTGTCGTTATAAGAAGGGTATACATGATGCGTAATAGGGCTTGTCCTTTTAGAATGATAGACAGAATTGGGAGCGTTAAAATAGCAAGAGGTCATACTGGACATTGGTGTAGAGTTAGCTAAAGTAGTAGCTCCATGATTGACTTGAGGCTGTTGAGTAAAAGGTTCGCTCTTTTCGATAGCAGGTATGGGTTGGCTAAATGTGTTTGTCTCAAATGAAGGTACATCTTTGTATTCATAGCCTAAAAACAATATTAATAATTTCATACTTCAGGTACATGTTAAGAAACTTGCTCTCAAATTCATGTGTTTGCTCCTTTGGAATTTCTGTTTGATTAGGAGGGACAAATTGCACAGGGAGACCCTGATTCTGCATATTCTGGAAATACACACTCGGATCATCTAGAAGCAGTGGATGCAATACGTCTGAGATCTTGAATTGATGTGATAGTTCCTTTGCTCGGTTAAATGTGATCCTGTTGGGGTTTGTAGGAATTAGTATACACATGCACACACATTTAAATATAGCAGCGAAGACTCACCAAACACCTTTCAGGTGCATTGGGCCCACTTTGACGACAACGCGAGCGTTTTCATTCTTTAAAATTCCATCACGTTTCCCGCGAGACATGCCAGTGACATTCAAAAGTTTTGTACCGTTAATCATGTCATTATCTACAATCAAGATATTGAAAGGTGGTCAGTGCGTTGTTTGATTCCGCTATCAATTTTGAATTACCTTGTCTTCGGGCAACACAGACGCTATTAGCATCCACTTGGTAACACAGTGTGCCCTCTTCTTCCCAGAATGAAGTAGCGAATTTAGGACGTTGAGCCCATCGAATCAATTGCAAGGGCTGCATCGAAGATGGAGGTCTGCTAGCAGTAATGGATGACGGAACAGACCGAGGCAGTTCCATTTGAAGTACGGGTTGTTGATGGATTACCATGGCATTGGATTGACTAATATCATGATTGCTGGCTGTATAGATTGGAGGCGGTTCATGAGATGCCCATCGCAACTGCTGGTCAGGGTTCGCTGTGTGTGGTGTTGCATGTTGGTGAAAATGATTTCCCTCCGTTTGAGTGGGTGTTGGCGCACAATGGCAATTATTTCCCTGATGCAACATGTCCATATCTGAAGGGGGACCCGAGTTAATCATTATTTACAGCTGAGAAGAAGACAAGAGAAGAAGGGAAAAGGTTCAAAAAAACGTTGAGCTTTTATATATTGCTGGCCATATCTTCATTATTGGCCAACAACGCGTGCCTTGAAACAACTTCTCTTTTTATAAATCGCTGGTTCTAATTTCGGAAGGTTATCGAATCTCACAAAAGAAAACAACCTCAATACGAAGTCTTGATTTACATCACAAAAACTAGATGCAGTACGGTTAATTGATTCAATAGGTCAGTTCTATGGCCTGCAGTGACATTGTAATACTAATCTTATGAAGGAAAATCAGAGGAAAAGAGTGAGCTCGTTGCTGTTCCACACCGTATATTCATTCATCTATAGTCATCGGTCTCAATGTGCGCTATAAATGCTGCTAATGCCGTACACATGTCACTGAGAAGCATGCTGGATGATGTGTAAGAGAACCTGAGTGCTCCAGCAAGGTATGAGACTTTTACCGGAGACGAATAGCAACCGTACCTCTTGACAGCCATAATGATGGATTCATTCAACATTGGATAACCCACACAGGGCAATGCAGTGATCCAGAGTAAAAACACTCTCATCTGCCTTCTGAGCTACTGATAGGTCTAACATACTTGGACACGTACCCGATTAGCAGGTTTATAATATTGAAAGATAGAAGAAAAAGTTCATCTATTCCATTGATGGACAATTTGTATCAGATTGCAATTTCCAACTTCAGCAAGTAATGTTTCATTTTCGGTTGGTAGAGTCGTGCAACAGGTCTGGATAGAATAGCCTCTTAGGTACCCATTCAAAGCCGGCTAATTTGTGTATATGTTGATATGGAATTATAAGCAAATATAGTACAATTCATACCTTCAAGTAAGTATGGTTCACCAGAAATTGGATGTTGTGGTCATTCAATGCATGATCCCACAGGCTACATAGTATTCCATGAGAGATGAACGGTCTTGGTCTCATTGACAGAAGCATCGCATCTATCCAGTAAATTTAATACGACACGCTACGTTGCTGTTCATTGAGAGTGTGTTCTTCGTAATGTACCTCAGTATTGTACCACAAATGTTTGGCTTCTAGTCAATATTCTGCAACACTTGGCATACATAGCAGTTAGAGCATCAAATAGAGTCCACGGCTTGTGGCTTGATATTTGAAACGCGAATTCTAGATGGAGGATTGCACTCGAATACTCGCGCCACTCGTTAAATTTTATACGTGAATGATATCACAGTTACAGTCGAAATCAACATCTTGAATGTTCACATAATGTCTCAATTACTGATCCATGAAAAGATGGCCGGAGGAGTAGAATTTGACGGCAAGTTTTGCCATCAAACACTTAATAAAATCAATCTCCCAGGTCAACATACTGTTATCATAGATTCATTTAGTTTTGTCACTGCTCCAGCACATGGATTTCTTAATAGGTGCTTGAATATTTTCTACATGGAAACGGTCAATTATCTTCAAATAGAGCTTCATGATTACAGAATACTCAAGCTAATTTGACTGAAGTTAAGGTTTAATAAAAAGAATGGGCAACCAATGTGTTGGTCTGAAGTGTAGTTACTTGATAAAAGTGACACTTGTATGCAGGCTTCTTTCCCTTACTTATACCACATTTCGTTACTTCATATTTGTTTCATGAGCAAGTTTCTAGATTTCTTTGATTTACATGTATAGCCATCTAAATGATTTTTTTTTACCATTTATCAGTTCTATTAAGCTCTCAGTAAGCATGGCAGGCTGATCTTTTATTGGCGATAGCGAACAATATGTAGACGAATAGGGCTAAAAGCACTATTTTTGTTGAAAGCTGATATTCCCTCACACAGCACATGGCCCCGCTTGTTCTTTAGGTAAACATTGAATGTGTTATTCCCCGCATTCATACTACTATTGTAATTGTCTTCTGGTAATCCATGCGTCTACACTAAAGCAGCACCTAATTGCAAGGACGAAGAACTGCCCTCACCGGCCATTTTTGTGAGAACAAGGCTATTGACTACTGATCTATATCATCAAGACTTGCCGTTGAATTCAGTCGTTGAGGGCTCATGTGGAAAAACGATCGTATTTGACATTCGGTACCACGGGAAAACCCTTTAGTCAATTGATAAGTTTAATGGGGGGGCTTGATATGCAGCGCCGCATGCTCTGTGGATTCAGTGATTGAAACATTACTAAGCAAACTGAGGATTTGTCAATGTTCAAAATCGCTTGTGTTCTTGTATTCCATTGCTTTACTTAATTTCACGTTTCCCTATCTTTTAAATCTTGATTGGGGGTTTCAACGCATTGTGAATGCAACATTTGCAACAATGTGCAAAGCATGCAATCAGTAAATTAGTCATTGACAAATTCCAGGGGCTGAATTGTATCAGGCAAGCCGCCTTACAGCTTTCATCTATCTTGATAGATCAGCATTTTCATATAGCTATGGTGGTACAACATCGCTTCTGCGGCTAAACTCTCTTTCAGCGACAATGCGTTAACATATATTAATCGCAGTGCACACTATTTACGTTTTTGAAGCAATCATGTTAATGATAACAATATGTAAAGAGTATTTATGAATATGAATATGAAGTAATAATATAAAGAGTGCCTTCGAATTCGTGCACTCGAGATAAATGAATATGAAATATAAAAAATCTACAATGAGGAAGCATAATTGAATGTTATGGGTTAAGCGAGAGAGCAACTACGCCCAACAATATGAATTGCCCCTTAAATTTTAACACACTGAAACGTTATAGAATCCAGGAGGTGGAATTGTTTGCGATTGATAATGATGGTGAATTTGATGATGATGTTGCTGTTGTTGAGGTTGTTGCTGATGGTAAGCTTGTCTTGTAGTAGGGTCAATGATGGGTATGGCTCGAATCACAGTGGGAGGCACCATTGATTGTTGATAGCTATAGTCAGTGTTGTAATAGTAATTCTTGTGATAATCTGCTACATGAGCACTGCCACTACTACTGCTGCTATTGCTACTAAGACTACTATGGACGCTGCTGGGGCTTGTATTGACTGGACTTGCAGTATTCTTGTAAGAAACCCATTGAGCCATTGACGGAGAAGTGGTGCTATGTGCCTTTTGTGAGTACTGCTGATGCACAGGCACGGCAACAGGGGTCATATTGCTAGGATCAATAATAGGGATAGCTCTTGTGGCATTTGGGGCTGTTGCAACTGCGGCTGTCGAGGATGAGTTGGATCTGGAAGGAGTCTGTTGGTAATAGCGATGTTGTTTTGAGGATGTGTAATACGACGAGGAAGCTGACGACGACGACGATGATGAAATGGATGAATTTGGAGATGGATATGGAGACGTGCGCCTCTGAACTCTTTCCCGGTGCTCGGTAGCCTGGCATATGGAGAGATTAGACAAGTGAACACTACTTTCCTGCGCCAATACATACCTCTTCAACATGGAAAACAGGGCAAAATTCATGATCATCATAAAAGTTCTTTGCCAATTCATATTGTGTTCTAAATTGCTCGAGTCTCAAATCTAGAGTGAAGAGAGATTATTATCAGTAAGAGATGAAAATGCATCTCTCAAGATAGCTTACTCGAGACAGAAGATAATGAAATCACATTGTTGGAAGGCATTGAGTAGCGTTTTCTTTAAGAAAGGAAAGAGATAGATGAAGAAAGAGATGGAAATGAAAGAAACTCAAGTGGGGCCCTTATGCAAAGGCGAAAACACACAGCTGCTTTGAGGTGTTAAGCACGATTTAGAGTTGAGTAATGTTACACTCTTCTGTTTGTGTGCCTTTGGCTGTACAAATCGAGTTAAAAGGGGTTGCGAATAAGCCGTTGTGCTTGTTTGAGAGAGCGTTTGTGTGTGCACAATGAACATTTACATCTTTTTATTTATATTTACTATTGTATTCAATGCTTGCTCTCAGATGATTCAAAATGGTCTGTTTTTGTCTATATTGCACTACATTAAATAGCTTCTCTAAAAGCGACTAATTTCTCTCCCTTCAATTGGCCTACAACACATCAAGGTTTACTACGAGAACACAAATTAAGATGGGTATGACTTACTGTCTTTATCCACAATGTATCCGCCTGCAACATCGCAATCCTTCATTGAAGCCTTCTCGTGAATCTTTGCATTGTTACAGATGATACAGCCTTCGATTTTAACACTAGACAATACAACATGAATTAGCCTACATTCATCACTCCTGAATAGACACACTGTACTTGTCGCCAATAACCACGTGGTCCATAATGACGGAATTAGCAATCTTAACGTTCTTTCCAATGACACAATGTGCGCCAACACAAGACTTCTTCACGGAAGATCTTTCATCAATCTTGGTGTATTCACCAATAATCGAGTCATTACCAACTTGTGTTCTAGGAGCAACCTCTGCACTGGAAGGTACACGAGTGATCGATGCACCCTGCTTTGTAGCCTACACACCATTACACAAAGAATGAAAAGGAGGTTCCATCATAAACCCACTTTCTTGATACTTACATAACGATTTAATTCATTGTAGCTTGCAGTTGTATTGCCACGACCGCAGAATCCACCTCTGTAAACGTGAACGTAGGTCTTTATAGGGCTCTTGAAGCTGGAATGGATAGGATCATCCATAAATAGTTCGTCATCAATATCAGTAGATTGAGTTGTGGACAGGGAAAGTGCATTGGCAAGCAAGTTTTCGTAAGTCGAAGAGTCTAAACAAGAAACAGATCAGCTTCATCACTACAAGCAAACAGATATGGCATACATACACTTCTCAATCTGTTCCCTCTCGACTAGTTTCTTTTGGTATTGACATTTCACCAGCATTGGTATCAGATCCTTTGAAATGCTTGTAATGTTTTCCTTTTCAACCAACATATCAATGATCCATCTCTTAAAAATATACAAGTGTGCATCTTGCAAATCCGTGTGAACTCTAACGCGAGGAAACCTAAAAAGAGGACCTGTTAGTTTCTTACATGAAAAAAGTCGCCTGATGTTGGAATGTTTACTTGTTTAATAAGGACATGCGCATAGAGAAGTCCTCGTCTTCTGATCTGAGTGCTTTGTAAACAAGTGCATTGCGAGTAGAATCAATACCTACATAAGGTAAAAGATCTATCAAGGGTGTGTAAGCTACATTGTCGCTTTTTTCGTCAAGTCATCTATACCATCGTCTTTGCTAGCACTTTCAGTTGATCCGGGCTCGTAGAATAATGCACTAAAAGTGGGATCACAGACTCTATGTGCGTCAAAAAAGTCGCGAGGGTTAAGTTCAGTAATAAGATCACAAGGAACCACTATAAAATCTCTCTAATGTGTTAAAGAAAGTGTAAGTACATATGCTCGTCAAACATCCAAATAGCTCGATTTACGTCAATCTTGTCCTTGATAGCTCTCAATGCATCAGCTGTTTCATCGTCTTCATCAACACTGACAACTTGACAATGTACATTTCCACTGTAGGTTCTGAGGTAAGCTGACAACTTTTGTGGTGCGCTTCCAATAGCTTGGATGACGACGATGATGTCTAAGTTTCATTCATACGAGACTCAATGTTAAATTCTCTCTTTTTGCAGTCAAATGAGGGATATTTACCATGGATACCAGCCTTTTCAAGCCATTCTAACGTATATGAAATAACAGGCTTGTTTCCAACAGGAAGCAATGCCTTGGGCATATTGTCTTCCTCAGAGATAGGATAGAGCCTATCAGTTGTTTGAATTAGTACAGAAGGAGTGAAAAAGATGGGCATTTCGAGTTTAGATTACCTGTTGCTGCTACCGTAGCCCGCGAGCACAACAGCTTGAAATTCGCTTACACGATGGTGGTGATGATGTTTGGGTTTCTCGAAGAGCATTATAATAGTTGTTATATTTGACACACACTCTCGCGCAAGGGAATAAGTTGCTTTTGCATGTTTTGTAGGAACCAAATGTTGGAAAAAAAAGTTGTTAAACCATTGTCACAATGTGACGTTGGGAGATGGCTCGTTGGAGGCTCATGTCTACCTTGAGATGCCCCTTCAGCACATACTCTACATGTTTCTGTTATACGATTGCGCCTTTGAAGCATGATAATCATGTGAAAGCTTACTGAGAGCATTTCATTTATCTCAGTGTATTTGCAGGAAAGATTTTAAGGCATATTGACAAGATCTGACGCATCAATATTATTTCAAACCTAAAAGCACTCTCGTTTCGTCAGTTATTATCTAGCGGTGCTCTACTAACCATTTTAAATAAATCCCATCACGGCAGAATCTATTTAAAGTACATTTGAAGAGCTTCTAGTTCAATTTTATGACTTGAATGAACATAGACAGCGTAAATGTTAGGTAAAGTGCGATCAACCATCAAAACTGCAACTGTATCTCTTGATATGCCCCTGAACAGTATCGATAGTTTTTCAAATTACCTTATGCTACATTTTGCAAGTGAAGATGGTGTAGATCTGAGCCAAGACAAGTTATTTCCAACGAAAACTATACATTTTGGTCTTTAAATCGCTTAAAATTCATCCACAAGTCGAGATATGAAATTCATACGATGCTTTCCACTTTCACAGATGAGCACAACGTATTTCTATTTAGGCGTCATTACTAAACAGCCTCTCTCTCCTTATTTAAAGGCGAAGTTACAGCAAAACCTAGCTATTTTTTAATCAACAATTTTTCCACTTAGAGACCGTTTTAGACCGTCAGAGTGGTGCCAAACAGTTGCTTTTCATTAGTAGTTACCCCCTGATACATTTGCTCAACTTTTTTTTAGAAAAAGTGAAATCGACGAAAATCATCGATTTTGGACGAGAGGTAGTAGGGCAAAATTTGCAAATTTTAATTGATGGCATTTTTCACCTGAAAAACGAGATATTTTCTTATGGTACACCTAAGATCAAAATGACGCTAGCCCTTCGACGGAACTGTCCAAATTGATTCTGGAAGGATTTGTATGCAAACCACCGACTTTTTAGCAAAAGATCTATTCACAGTTTTTTTTGCAAATTGCTCCACACTTTTCATAAAAAAAAGTAGGAAACAGATAGTACCATCAGATGCTCCTCGAAAAATGGCATAGGAAGGCATTAGAAGACAAAGTATATTAAGTGTGACTTAATTAGTCGGATTCGCGTTTGAAGGTTGGTTGATCTCAAAATCAGGTCGATTTCGACCACTAGATTTAGAAATTTTTATCTTTCGGAGATTAAATTGGATGACTCGTCCACAATAATGCTGTGGCAGGTTGATATCATGAAACTAACTGTCCATTATATAGGTAATAACAGCGGGAATTGTGCATATTTTTGCACAGGGTCATAGCAATGATAGTTATCAAAAAGAGTTTGGGTTTTTTTTTGTTGATATTTATAGGCAACTTAAGCTTTTTAAAGGTACTTGATTGCTCCCATCAACGCAATTGAACACAGTAATCCTCAGTCCTTTATTCATCTAGCTCATGGAATAGCAACAAGCTCTACCAGGTGTACCTCAACTCAAAAGAAATTGCAGTAGGAGAATGGCCGTAGAAATTTCTATTTTACAAATTGCTCAATTAATTAAGCATTCTGCCAAGCAAACACACACATATGAAGCTGTTAATAATCCAGAAATTGGGAAAATCTTCCCCAACATTGTCTGCTTATTCATGTTGCTGACCGCAGCCTATCAACAATCCTGGTATAACGAATAAGCCAAATACCCGTCCGGTACTGAAATAATCTAATTCTCACCTAAAAATTTCGATGAATATTCTCCCCACGCAGAATCCAAGAGCTACCCCAATGCCGAAGAAATCAATCCCCTACAAAGATACCACTGTTCTATCTAAGTGCTTCTACGTAAACTCTATATGAATTTAAAGTTAAATTTCGCAAATTTCGAAAGATTGACATACATATCATAACTGATACGGCTGTCAATTCGTATCCGCTTTTTCATACCGAGTATACGTGCATGGATCGATGCTGAGTTGAGGTCACCTCAAGTGTATTATTAATATGATCAGTAATTAATTACGCTGTAATAATTAATGCAATCAAAGGGATTTCTCTGGTGTATTTTTCTTTTGATAATGCATTACAAATCAATCACTCTTACACTCATTGTTTTCCGTAATCTTCCCCACGGATTTTTCTCAGAAATAATCACCTTTGAAGGCATCCAAATCTTGGTGTAATATCCCCAGGTGCCTGCCAAATAGCGCTCAGACTGTTTTGTTGATGTGGTAACGTCATGTTTGAGGTGAATATATAGTCGTAAACTGAGCAAACGGCGATCTAAATGGTGTTTGCAGATGTGGCACCATGTTCCTCATTCTAGCCCTATCGATCACCGCATTTACTAGGGGGGGGAGGGTCTTAACACCTTGTAGGCCACTGTCTGCATTGGCGCACTACAATATATCATGGTACTATATCCAGCTTGATGGCCATGCTGCATCTCAAAAAGGTCTCCCTTTGCAATCCCATACCTTAACAGATCCAAGTCAGCCTCAGTTACTGATTGTCTCTGTCAAGTTCAGAATTTTTCCATTTGATTGAAACCTGATACGATTCTCTGATCCAACTACCGACGAACTGCTGTTTTGGGTAATGATTTGATTTCCATGTTTTCATGATAAACATTTTCCAAGTGGGTAATCTTGATCAAACAAATCTAAAGGAACAATAACGCAGCGTTTGAAATCCCTTGTAGATGTCAAATTGATTAATAATGCCAGTAATACAGGATATGCGATAATTTCATCAGGACACATCCAGCAAAACAAAGTCGAATCCCCTGACATATTGTATAGACATACTACAAGACGGTAATGGCGAATGCTTCTTTGTTGTTCCTGGGTTTTCGCTTGTTCATGCTTCTAAAACTGAGCGGTGATTGACTCATTTTAGGCAATATCTTGACGCTTCTCATGTGTCAACCTATACCTACCAGCCTGACATTTACATTTACATTAACTGCGCAAATGTGCACAAAAACTGTCGTGATGTAGCGTGGTTACCAGGTGCTACCTCAGTATTCACAGTAGATATTTTACCCGTACTAGTCATAATATGTACATCTCTTTATTGACCATCATGAATGAATTTGAAAATAGCAATTGATTGATGTTGTATGATGGTACGATTCATGAGCAAGGCTTCATCCAAAATTAAAAAAGGTCAAACAACTCCGAGAAACTTGTTGAAAAGCATGCCATGATATGTTAATGTGAGACTTGGTGAATTATACGAGCCAGACCCAGTGATATGCCATAAATGGCTTACGGCAACAGAACCAGCTGTGAATCGGAGAAACTAAATGGACACATCTGCCCACTATCGCACTCACCCCTCCCCCATGAAAGGCAAAAAAAGCATGAAAAAGTGGAGTGACTCTATTCGTACGCTATAGTTCACTTTTTTTTGGGTCACACCATATATAAAGGACCCCAATTATTTGAATGGTAGTTTTTCTTTTTTGGTTATTCTTTCTCACTCCCTCAAAATCTATTTAATAATCTATAATAATGAACAACCCTCATATCATGTCAGTCTCTCCTCGCACAGCATTTGGACTGCATTTCACCAAAGAACATCAAATCAGTAACAGTTACGAAGAGATTGATGAGCGATTATTTGATAATTATTTGGAGATTTCTGGACGTAAAAATTCCAAGTCATCTTCATTTGGATCCTCAGATGCTAGCCCTTGTCTTTCAGAAGAAGATAGCGATAGTTCACACTGCCAATACAAGCAATCATCTGTTCGTGGTGACCGCAAGACAATGAAATTTTCCAACAACAATCAAAAGAAGCGTGAAACAAAAAGTATGTATTTACATTTGAAAGGGAGGGGAGGCAAAGCCTAGCCAAGGCTGCGTCTTTGGGGAAGGGGAGGGGCGGTTCGATTCTTACTTCCAGTGATTTTATTTGCTGACAAACAAAAACTTCCTTATAGACTACAAGAAGGAAGAGTTTGACTCTGACAACGAATCAATCAGATCTTCAAAGAAATTACCCAAATCAATCAACAAGAAATCATTAGTTTCGACATCTAGCAACTGTAATCAAGACGAATCTGACAAGAAGCAAAAGAGTCTTTACAAAACTGAACTCTGCCGCAACTGGGAAGAGACCAACCATTGTCGATATGGCATGAAATGTCAATATGCTCATGGTGCTGCTGATCTGCGTGAAATTGATCGTCATCCCAAGTACAAGACCCAAAAGTGCCGTACTTTCCACCAAACTGGTGCCTGTCCTTATGGTGCTCGCTGTACATTTAGACATTTCAATCTTCCCGGTGACGCTCTCGAGATGAAGAACCTTGAAAAGGAAGAAGAGGAAAAGAGACAAAAGGATGAAGCTGCTGCTGTTGCTGCCGCTGCTGAGAAGATCAAGCATAAAAAGCAAGAATTCGCCAACATGAAGCAAGAGGAACGTTCATCCGTCTTTTCTGCCGAGAACAAGAAGGTGCTCCAACAAAACTGGTTCCTGGATAGCAACAACATATCCCCTCTCTCTGGTCTTGAATCCAATGGCCTTTCCAGAAGAAACATGATGATAAATCAATTCAACAACTCTTTTGATCCTGAGGACTCTCTCTTGCCTTCCAATGCTGAAAGTTTACTTCCTCATCAACTTTTGTTCGATTTAGAATCGCCTGAAGAAGAAGAGCAACATCAACCCGCTCGCTGTCCTCTTCGTAACTATGTCAACTTGCCTTCTTTCTCCAACTTTCAAGTTCCTCATCATCTCCCTCCTCAACACCAACAACATCACCAACAACAACAAGAATGCAAGGCCTTCTTCCGTCCTTGGTTATTCTAAGTTAATCTAATTATTCTTCATATTTATTTCCCAAAAAGTCATATACTTGATATTTATTACCCTTTTCTATCATTCAAGAAAAATCTCATCAATTTCAAGATTGGTATATGAAGCAGAGAATTTATTCATCATTATTTAGCATCAATTTCTAACAAAAACCACCCACCCACCCTCCTCTTTTCTACTATTATTCATATCTCTTTCCCCTCCTCTTTCCTCATTATATTATATATTTGTATATACACAATCCTATAACTTATTTTCATAACTTCATTGTGAACACACTTCAATCAAATAAAAAATAGATAAAAAAAAAATATGAAGCTTTAATGCATGACAGGACATTTTAAGGTTGTGCCAGTTGCTTGCTCAGATTTAAACTTGTCAGGGCCCAATTCCGAAATGCTGTAACCATCCTTGTAGATATGAGGCTTGTAGTAGAAGAATTCAGGAACAAACTTTCCGTCCTTGTTTGGATAAAATGGTGTTCTACTGAGATATGTTGATCTGGGCAGCATGAAATGTCTAATGAAAAAGGCTCGGATATGCAAGGCGGATTTGAATATGGCTGTCAATATCGCATGTTCTTCAGGCAGCTGAAATGCTTTAGCATCAGCGCTATCCAAAACAGAGGGCAATAAATGGAGGCCAACGCTGTACATGGGTTCTCTCAAAAATGCAGGCATGTTGGATAGTAAGTGACGGAACGTAGGCTCACCGCATTTCCAATTGCTGGAAGCGTATGTGATGTGCTCCTCAGCGTATTTCTATGAATTACAATAAATCAGTGATGCGTCACTCAAGTCTTCTCGTAGTTGAAAACCTTACATTCTTAAAAGCAAGCATTTTGGCTGGTGTATCAGGAATATTCTGCAAATTCATGCCTACACCAACATCATACCACACGCGGAACAAGGCCTGAATTGGATTCAATATAAAAGATCACAGCTCGTACGATCATACACTTACATTGATCTCTCGCTCATCGAGCGATCTCCATTCATAGCGATTGATCCACGATACAGGTTCATAGATGAACAACGATAAAGTGTACAAGTAATCGTCGTTCAAGATGTTGTATTTCCCATGCAACTCATTTAGTCTTTTCAATGCCATGTCAGACCTCTGCCATTGCGCTTTGATGTCTTCTTCAGGTGTACTTGGGTCTTTTGCAACTTGCTTCTGAATCCTGGCATGTGCATCGGTAATCTCCATCAATACAAGCTCGGTATCCTCTGCTCTGCGGGTGCAATCTTTTTTGAATTCGCCTGTAGCTACCAATAGTCTTGAAATGGTAGGTATAGTAAAAGTTTTGAATAAGGCCAGCTCTGTGCCTTCTCGACTGAGAACTAATCAAAAGTTATGCCGTTAAATTGTGTGCCTATGTAATGAAAGCTGTTGCATGCTTACAAGGAAACTCTTTTTTGGTGGTAATAGCATTAATTTCTCGAGCGATATCGATATTGTCCAGCACATCTTGAGGATTGGGGTATTTTGCGCGAATGGCGTTGATATTCTTGTATCGCAAACGTCTAACAGCAGCTAAATACAGTGCGACTATACTGGCTGCTGCTGTTGTTAATATGAGTATGTTATGTTTCTGTACCCCTCCATCTTTGAACAGATTTATTATCTTATCAAGTAGATGGTCAACGTGAGTAAGTGCAGCAGGACCAGCTTCGTAAATCCAGCTGCGTAGGGTTTGCGATGTAGTCTCCATGGCTCTGAAGATGTGATTCAATGTAAGGATAGAAGAAAAAAGAAAGCAAAGAAGGAAATAGGAGAAACCCAATGTTTATTCTGAATTAACAAACAGGGCGGGTCATCACATTTGCTTAATAGTTTGGGTTAGACCCGTTTCATAATGGGAATACATATCAAAATGATTCTCTATCGTGCCGGCTATATATAACTTCATTTCGAATCTGTACATGCATCTAGTGCTTGGCAAAAAAAGGATAGATGAAATTAAATTTGAAAGCATAAAACGGCGTTTCAGGGAGGCAAGGGGCTGATAGAAGAAGGTAAGAAGCCTTCTTGTGAAAACCCTTCTGATCCACATGCTAAATATCAGCGTATTACATGAAATCCAAGTTAACAAATGTGGTAAAGATCAGAAAATGTTTAAATCTTGTGTAATATATACACTGTAGTAGACTTTCATACAATTCATTCCCAATGGATAGACGGCAATACGCGCCCATGAGCTTAATTTCATAGGTCTATTCGCAAAATAGTTTATTGCAGCCCTTGAGTAATGCCAAAATGAGTATAGAGTGGCGCTGACAACAACACAGTAGACCTATTGATGTTACTTGTCTTGTATTACTATAACGTATTCTTCCAATTTGTGCGACTCTGTTCTAGAAATCACAATATTGCCCACATCACCATTAGCATTGTCATCATAAACTCGATACTTTACACCGCGATGACTCTGTAGTGAATCTTTAGCGCACAGCTACCCATGCTGATGCCCTGGGATGTATTGTCAACAGCTAGTCTGTAAACAAAGCTCGACTCTCCGGTGCTATCCACATTGCCATCATACTTGGCATCCAAAGAGTAAGAATGCAGCCAGTAATGACATAGAATGGCCACCTTTATACTTGTTCTAAAAAATGATTAACATAGTTTGATGTTAGTGGTGAGCCTGAGTACTTCCTTTCATTGTTATTGCCAACGCCTTCGAGTTGTAAGTTTACATCAAATATAATTCGAGTCATCACAGTACTCTAAAGGGCAAAGCGATCTATGATCAATATTTTCGTGCTGTTTTCTAGGCTGTCAGTGTAGGTACCGTATATAGGTTTCCCAAGACGTCTCCCAAAAGCCAAGTGATGATTGTATTGCTGTTCTTGGATATTTCCGGCCTATAGCTCTCAAACAAATACTGAAGAGAAGAAGGTAGGCCAATTCCACGTTCTCTAAAGGGCATAATATGTTTCGAGGTTAGTCTCATATTTTGTATCATTGCAAGTTGATATAGCGTTTGCAAATTCAATTATCAAAGTGCAATTCACTCGCCTATTGTCTGGTTCATTTGCGAATAATGAGGCGCCTTTAATTTGCTAAGCACCTGTACCATTCACGGAAGGTTTAAGATATCCAAAGAGATGATTTGAGTTGAATTGTACACACGAAGCTTCCGTGTAAGGCAGCACTCTTCTAAACTGAGAGTAGCCAGCGAGTCCGAGTGGAATGGATGAATCGTAGTATTCGCTCGTGTATCAACTATTGGGTACCAAAATTACATTGTATGTTGGAGGGATAATGGATGTTACAATTGAGGAGATGGTGCTTTCGCCGCCCTAGTTGGCTTCACATTTTGTATAGCTTCTTGTATACGAGTGTTTATGCTTCGGATTGCTCTCTACATTGGCTTCGCTTCGGTGAGAACCAATTTGCGCAGCAGCAGCTCGCGCTACTGATTGCCCTTGCATATCTTATCAAAATACTAATACTTTCATGTTGATCCTCTACTTACACATGAAAACTCTACATATTATCTGTGGATCTGATTCTTATGCGATGCTCTACATCCATATATGCGTAGCTGCTTCATATACGGGCAAGCAGCATACTGGTATTTCCCTTTTTTATTCCTTAGTGTCCCTGACACAGCAAGACCTGAGTGCATTTGAGCCGCGTTTTCTTGCGTTCAAGGCTGTTTTAGATTGTCAGAATAGCACCAAACAATTGCTCTCATCTAGGAGTTACTTCCTGACGCCTTTGCTCAACTTTTTGAACACCCAAAAAAAATGGACAAAATTCGACCAAAAAGCATGAGGTACCCCTCATGGTTTTCATCAAAAATCAAACGATCGCATTTTTGACCTTGAAAAGGAAGACTTTTACTATGGTAAACGAGCCTTTCAGCACTTCGGTTGGTTTCCAACGAAGCAAAGCGTAGGTCAGGAAACTACCCGAAGTGTCGAAAGGCTCGTATTCAATAACGCCAGTCTATTAAGATACTTGTTGGACCAACTTCTTTCCTTTTTGAGGCTTTGAAAGTGTCTAGGGACCATAGATTTGTATTATTTGAGCCATAAATTCAACGCTCATGGGCACTACAGCTGTTGATTTTGTAGCAACGCTAATAACCAGTATTGCCAGTATCAGAACGATCAGCATACTGCTTGCGCATTCTGCTGCTACTGCTAATGTAGGAATATGAAAAGAAGCGTACACTTTAAATACGGTTGCCAAATGAGAAAAGCTTGCACCGCGATATCACTTTGTAAGAAACGAAACAAGAACTAGGTGCTTTTGATAATACAGCTACCAATAAAGCCGGCAACATGGAAACCACTAACTTGGCTTGCAGAGACTGAGCATCAGCCGCTGTATCTTCTGTCCATTATCTGCTTGATCTCGTTTGAGCCTAGGCCCTGATTATCTACTGCCAGTATACACAATCTGCTTTCAGATTAAAGGCTAGAACAGATGAATAAAGCCCCAACATGCCCTTGATGGCTATCACTTACCTACAGCTGCCAATTCAATTAAAGAGTGAATTGATGATACCAATCTAAACGAGATCAGCTGGCTCTATAATCCACTGGTCCAAGTATGATCCAAAAGTACAAACAAACAACGTCATGGACATAATTCATGCAAATGCTTTCGCTACATCACATTTGTCAACCAGCCATTAGGTAATATTCCTGGCAAAACCCCCATTTCTCGTCATCAACATGATAATGCCAACAATGCTAAAGACTCTTCAAATCATTGATTACACTTTCCTTTTTTTTTATTACATTATTGAGAAAGCATGGCTCGTTGAATTTAACCGTAGTTAACACCAGTAATTCTCATAGTATGATCCACTCGTACATTCAAACGATCAGGTCGATAATCCATGGTTGCTACAGAGTTGGGAGCAAGTACTCTGCTAAGCTTGGGTAAATCCTTCCTGCGCACGCACTATTATCATGGAAATCAGTGAGTATATATATCGTCCATAACTTGCATTTAGTGTGCATGTATACCTCATCTGCGCCAAGTGCGCTTTCCTCATCATCATTCAGGATAACTTTACCAACCAACTTGTCGCGCCAACCATCACAGTCAGCATTATCTTGGGAGTTTTTGGAAGCAGCAAGTAAATCAGCAAAGGGAGTAGACATTTTCAGGTTTTTGTTGAAAGATGAACGAAAAGAAAAAGCTTGGCTTTAGTGCGTTTGAATCTTCTCTTTTTATAGTAGTCTGGCTACGTAGTTGATTCATGGTAGAGAAGGATGCTAGCTCCGACATTCACGTACTCACGCTGCCACCATTGGGCAAATGACAAAAGGCTAGATTGGTTAGCTCTGACGTTTTCGTTTGTTTTCCTCCTCGGGCAAAGCTTATTTCACAAGTCTTGGAGAGCATCTATTTATCAAGAACCTCGGCACCAGAGACTCGTAGTCAAGGATGACTAGAAGATGTAGCAGTGGAAATCTCAAACATCAACATATTCAACAGGTACTTTCAATATAAAATGTGATTTTATTCTTTATAAATAGTTGTGTATGATATATATAGTGTAAAAGGTGCAAAAACTAGGGGTGGAAAAAAAAAAAGACAGAAAGGTAACTTATGATTTCATCAGAAAATCAGAAAGTATGGATGATTTTGTACAATTGGGATATTTAGAGCTTGTTGGAACAACAGCCATCTTGTTGCTTGTTCATTTCTTCCTTGGCATTCACAGAGTGGTTGATCTTCTTGTTGGTGGGAGGAACATCCATACCAGGGTTAGCAATGAAGAAGTTGCAAGGCTTCATGGTGAAACCACAGTATTCGACAGGCATGATGGGGAAATCTTCAACACGAGGCAAATGAGTGATACCAAAGGTGTACCACAAGACAATGTCCTTTTGCTCAATGCTTTGAACACTCTTGTTGGCCCAGACTTCAACAGTATCATCACCACCAGATTGGTTACAGTAGAAGCCACCAGCAAACATTTGGTTTTCATCATAAGGGGTGACCCACAAAGTCTTCTTGGCGAAACCAGCGCGTTCGGCAACAAGTGAGTCAGGTTGAGCATAGAAAGGTGCAGTGTGACCAGATGAGATCTTCCAGCCAACAGGCGTCTTGGCGTAAGGATGTTGACGGTCTTGGTTGACAATCTTCCAGAATCTAGAGGTATCGTAGTTGGCAGTTTGTTGACCTTCCTTGGTGTCCTTGAGAATGGTATAATCACTGGTGAAGCCGTTACCGAAGGGGTTCTTGGGGTGGCCAGTGGGGTAAGGCAAAGAGTAGGTATCCACTTGTTGAACAGAGTTTCGTTGACCGTCAATCATAGGATCGATACGCATGGTGAAGAAATGTTGATGGTATTGAGCGTTGATTTGAGGAGCAACAATAGTACCCATACCGTTGGTGCCTTCATCCTCAGCCAAAACGTGAGTGTTGAGCTCACCAGTAGCCTTGACTTCGTATTCAAAAGTACCATCTTGATAGAAATAGTAGTACAGACCATAATCGTAATTGGCAACTATAGAGAGCAGACATGTTAACTCACTGGATTGCATATACACACACACACACACACACACACACACACACACAACAAGCTATTTACCTGTGACAATTTGAGAAATAACCAATCTTCTGGAACGAATGGTGTGGGCACGACCATTACGATAATCAGTGTGCTTCATCAAGATACCATGATCCTCTTCGTGCATGCAGATGGCGTTGGGAACAAAGAAAGGCTTACCAGCATGATCATTGAAAGTGGCATCAAAGTAGTAGATGGAGCCAAGACAATCGCAGCCCAAAGCAAGAGAGTTGGTACAGAGACCCAAACCGTACTCTCCGACATCGAAAGCGTGCTTACGGTGGTGAGGAGTGTTGGTATCAGCATAGGGAACAACCATTTCAGAGAGAGAGATACGGTAGAAGAGGGGGCGCTTCTCAGCACCATCTTGATAGCTAATGTTGTGAAGAACAAGACCCTCACGATAGTTCATGGAGATGCGCAAGTTCCACTTTTGCCAGTCAATTTCATTACCCTTCACAGTGAAAGAGACACCTTGAGGTTGTTGAATGATGATGGGCTTGACGTCCTTGCGGTAGTTGTCTTCGCCAATGAATTCAGGCAAGAAGTTGTGTTGTTGGAGAGGAATGGTGGGACGAGTGAACTTGGAATCTCTGGGTCTGATACGTTCAATGGCGATAACTTCCATCTTACCAAGATCTATTTGTTTATGTGTGTATTAGATAATGATACAGTCTCAAGAAACAGGCGGTGTAACTTACCAACAATGGGAACAAAATCCAAAGGATGAGCATATTGGTTGTCATCTTCGCAGGTACGCATGTACATGAGAGCTTGCATCATACGCTTCTCACGGCCAGGATGAGCAACATGACGAGCAATGGCCCAAGGATCAGAGAAGACACAAGACATATCAGTAATGCCGAGTTCAAGACACTCTTGACGAACCTTTTCATCCTTAATAACGAGTTCTTCAACTTCAAACATTTCATCCATGGTCAAAATGGGTTGAACATCAGGAATGTATGTCCAGGACTTGAGCTTGTTGGCACTCAAAGAAACAACACCTTCGTAACACTTCATGGTCTTCTTTTCCAAAGCAACAACAAGAGCCTCACGCTCGACATTGGTAACACGGGGCTTGGAGGTATCCCAACCGAGATAAGAGAGCATGACATCCTTCTTGGGCTCCTTGAGAGTGATGGTATTGAAGACAAAGTCAACATCGGCCTTGGCTTGACGGGTAATGGCAGCAACATGGATGATTTCATCACCTGACAATTGATCGAAAGGATGGACATCCTTGGAGAGCGTAGAGGCAGTAACAGTCTTCATTTCTTTGACAGTGGACATTGTGAGAGATTTAGGGTTTGAGATGTAAGTAATTTCAGATGGGAGTGAGTAGGGAAAAAAAAGGAGTTTCTGAAAATACACATGGAAATCATGGCCTATATATATACGATTTGAAGTAAAGGTCATTGATAATTCAATGACAAATAGAGACCAATAAGCTCCCACAAAGGAGGTTTAGTGGGAGAACATGTTGGACGAGTAGTAACAGACCGATAAACAGCAATTTGTCATTACTAGCCTCAGACCAGCAAAATGGTAATGGAGCAAGTCTTTGATGCATTTCAAATAGCGCAAATTCATGCTACATGGGCATCTTCCGTGCTGAAAATTGAGTAATTCTGCCTGATCTCAGCATGCAATCAATGCAAATGATCAGACTTTTCGTTACGGAATAGCATTCCAAAACACACATTAAGAGTTTATGTATCATAATGTCATGATTGAAGCGTTGCCGTACATGCTCAAAAGGAGATGATACGATAGGGTAGTCCTTCAGAGATTTTGAATATGCTAATGTACATGCCCATATTGCAGGCAGGGGGGTTAGGATAGCATGGTCAAGTCCGCCGCAATAACCGACCTTCCCAGGACTTGTTCTGACAAATCGACGACCACTTCAGTACAAAAAGTTATCGTGCGAATACATGCCTTTATTTAGAAATAAAAGGTCTTGAGTGGTATCACACTCCCAAACAAGTGAGATTGTGTGAGAGAGTACCATCAATCTGTCCATGTCAAACGAGATGGCTTTTCATCAACATTTGAGAATGATCCGTTAGTACATCTGTGATCGACCCTCATTAGCATGGGATCAAGATCGATTACTTGCATGTGTATACTACATACCATTCGAAATTTTATGGCACCACATACAATTGAATTTTCAAATCTATATATGGTAACCATCTATATCTCATTTGACATAACATATGTAACGCAATTAGTAATAATGTTAATCACATTGCCATCTGTTTGTTCATGTTTTAGGTTAAAATCTGTAAACCAACAACGGATTTGAAGCATTCATCATGCAGTGCCTCGTCATTTCTTCTCGATCAACGTTAATACGTACATATAATACATTATTTAACCATTAATGTGATGTTTGAATATTATTGTTTCGATAGAGCTTCTCCTACTAAACTTAATCTGTTTTCTTTTGGTCCAATGTCCTCCTCTATCCCTGTATATAGTTGCCAGATCACATAAAGGGATTTCCCCCCACATTTATTAATTGCAGCCAATCAACAAGGGTCGATGAATAATACATCCTGATTTGGAAACAATATCCCCATGGTAGAGAGTACTCAAGCTTGTCCAAATCCATCTCGGTGGGAAAAATTTTCTAAACTACCTTGTTAATGGTAGCACAGGCTGTGTCAGCCTATGGTTACATGATGACTTGTCTTACCAGACTCATCTGTATAATACTGATAGATAAGCAGGCAGATATCCGTACCAGGATCCGTAGATAGTTCGGAAAGCTGTTTATCTCTTCTACAAATTTCATGCGATAGCATATTGGTACATGTTTGCTATGAATGTATGTCACTTGATTCCGAGATTATGGAAATAACAGACCTGTCATACATACTATGGAGCTAATGACAAATCTTTGGCTTGATGTCTGGTGTATTTTGACTCGAATCATTGAATTGGCGTTCATGATGATGGACTCAACAACAAGGCCAATGTAGATATGCGTTTCAGCTATGATAGGCACAGTGTAATCAACGGCTGCTTCTGTATGTCGATTTGACAGCGGTATTGGACCTGTCAACTTCATACAGTATCTAATTAAGGCATAATTCCCGAACAACATCCTAATCTTTTTTCTGTAAAATGAAGCATCATTGGTACCTTTTAATAAGTAATGTAGGCACACACGGACGAACGTGAAACCATATCCTGAATATCGATCATTGCACAAGCGTAAATTTTACTAAATCGTGCGTAATCATACCAAAGATTGGACAATTTGCTAACATCCAGAAACATAATCTTAAAATGACTGTCTTCCGTTGAAAGAATAGTGAATTATGCTTTTGCATGTGATTCTAGGCTATCAACGGTGAGATGATATCAATCTCAGGGCGCATTCGTCTCTATCAATGCGATGTCACGACGATTGGCGCCATTCGTACAACAGTTCAGAGCTCTTCCTCGCCACAGTTCATCATTTGTGTGTATTTAAATGCGTTAAAGATGTTTTAAATAAAGCAGTATAATATCGAAGAAGATATGCTAGTCTTTGAAGCTCTCTGAAGAGCATTCGATAGCACCTAGCTTCATAATGAGACATTTTGGCTAGCCAAAATATTTAAGACCCGCTTCATTTCATTTGTCTCAATTTGTTAGTTTTTGGTTCAAATTCGACATGTTTAATCTTTTTTTTTTTTTTTTTCTAGATTTGACTATAGAAATAGTGATAATCACGCAATACTTCCTAATACATTCTTGGAGTTTTTTTCGAGACGCATCCAACAGTGCTAATTTTAAGAGGTATTTTGAATGAACTAAGTGAACTACTTTAGAAAATCTGAAATGAGGTTTTCGGCGGATATGTCGAGATTTTACATAGGACGGTCGCATGAAAGAAGCTTCAGAGGTTGTGTTAGATCGAGAGAATTATTTTGATTTGATATATACCATAGTAAAAGTCTTCGTTATCGAGGTCGAAAACGCGATCGTTTGATTTTCGATGAAAACCATGAGGGTACCCTTCATGGGTTTTTGGGTGATTTTGGACCATGTTTTTTTGGTCCCAAAAAAAAAGTGGAGCAAAGGTGTCAGGAAGTAACTCCTAGATCAGAGCAATTGTTTGGTGCTGCTCTGGTGGTCTAAAACGGCCTCGAACAGGAGAAAACACGGTTCGAATACATTCAGGTTTCGCTGTAATATGCATATTTTTTTTTGAGTAGCCAGAGGTAATAAAAGTATGCTGTGAGCCTGTATATGAGTTGTGTCCATTGTTTCGGACGTGGCGCATTGTAAAACGGTTAAATCCGCAATTACAGGTTGCTCGTGGAAGCGTTTTAAATAATACTCAGAGCTGAGCAGGGAATATATATCAAAAGGATGGAATCAGAAAGCCGGTTTATTAGCAAATCAAAAAGAAAATGAGGGAATATATATATATATAATTAAATGTTATGTTCAAGAGGATGCAGCATCCACTGTTTGCTGCTGATGTGATGCGGATGTTGTTGGTAACGAGGATGATGGTGATGGTGGTGGCTGATCTTTTTCGTCTTTCAAGGATTCTCCAGCCAATGTCATGGAATCATTATCAAAAGACTCCAATAATGGGGTCAACATCTCCTCCACATTCTCATACGCGACATTGCAGCAAGTCGATATCAATCGCTTGTAGTCCTGGTACTTTTTGGGTGGTAATCTGCATCTTATCTCAATCAGTGTGTCGATATGTTTCTTTCTAGATGATTGCAGCTGCTTCAACTCGTCTTTCAACTTGTCTGCTGATGTCTGCAAGTCTTGGACAGTGTCTGAGATCGGAGGTGATGGTGGTTTATCATCTTTGCTGCTACCGTGAGCGTCACTGTCGTCATGCCCTTTGCTGTATTTCTCTTGCAATAACTTGAGCGTCTCCTTTTGATTGAACTGAAGCCAACGTCTCAATTTGCTTTCCAGTGCTTTGCCGTGCGTTTCGGCTTTTTGCATAATGGCCGCTATTTCTGCATCATCTTCACTCAAGTTTGATGATAGCACTATCTTTCTGGTTTCTTCCAGACGCTTTGTATACAAGTTCAATTCAATCTTCTTTTTCTGCAGCATTTTTTCTCGGCTGACCAGATCCTTTTCATAGCTTTCGGCAAAGTCGTCAAAGAATTCAGAGATGGGCGGCGCAGTGGATGGATCGTTGGTGACATGCTTGAACATGGCCTCGACTCGCGACTTTAAGACTTCTCTAGTATCTGCTTCGTTCATGGCGCTCCTACCTGCTTCGCTTGGAGATGATGTGAGCGGTGGAGGCGATGTTGCAGATGTTCGTGTTGCCATGTTCTTTTCAATCTCTCCAAAGTAGTCTTTAGGTGTCATACCATCCTCATTTGCGATTTCTGTACTTGCTCCAGCGTCAATCATCAATTTGATCAGTCGTCTGTTGCCGATTTTAGCAGCAATGGTCAAAGCAGTATCACCGTTGGTATCCTGCACGTTCAAGATGGATATCAATTCAGACTGGTTGTTCTTGAGCTTGTTGATCAAGCACTCCATGTAGTATCGCGATGCGTAAATTTTGCCTTTCCAGTCGGACATGGCAGCTGTGTGGTGGAATACTGTTTGATCCTTCTTATCAATGTTGAATATAGTGGCGCGCAATAAATCCAGCAACGATTCAAATGTTTTGTTATCAAAGTTGTTGGAAAACAACACGGACCGCATTAACGCTGTCTGTCCTTTGTAATTGACTCGATACAAATCCGCGCCATTTTCAATCAGAAGCTTGACAATCTTGATGCGAGCCATGGCAGCAGCCCAATGCAAACTCGTGTGGCCTTCGTCGTCAATAATCACATTAAAGTCGAGATCAGCAGGAGGCTGGGTGAACAAGGACGGAATGCTGTTCTTGCTAGACATGAAATAGTGGAGCAATCTCTGTGCGTATGGTTTCTCGCTCATCTCAAACTCCATCATATCATCATCTTCTTCTTCCTCGTCTTCCTCTTGCTTGCTGTCTGCTAAACTTTGCTCTGCAATTGTTTTGTTGGTCTCTGCAGCAGAGGATTTGGTCACTTCTAGCTTAATCGCCTTTGGTGTAGATGCCTTATCTTTCTGCTTGGTTGTTCGGGATCGTTTCGTTGCCAATAGTGATGATGTATTGCCATCGTCATTTTTTGCATGCAGATCTTTTCCTCTGGTTAATGCTATTGTCGAGGCTTCGTCCATGTCCAATACATCGTCATCAAAGTGTTTTGGTCTCTTTCTAGCTCGGGCATCACGCGACTTGCGAGGACGCGCAGAGGCAGCTGTTACATGTTTTGGTGCTAATGGTGGGCTCTCATCTCCCTTTACGAATTGCAAGATGGGCGCTAGTACATCATCCACCTCATACAATTCAGCGAGTGCTCTACCGCGTTCAAATGGCACCCAAGTACCTAATTACAGCATGTCAGTATCATTTTGGGTATCAAGTAGATGTATTCAATACCTTGGTATTTGCCATAGCCTCCCTGCACCTTCTCGTGTTGGCCAGTTTGCACCTCTCTCTCCAGAATACGTGTACGTTGCGGTTTATCAAAGTCTGCTACTTTGAGAATCTGTGTTGCGTTGAGATAAGAATCTGAACGTCGACGCATGACAGCGACGCCTTTGCAGAGCATCTCGTAAACGGGTACGCCAGAGTAGGTAGCTTTGAATATCTGTGAAAAATCAACCATGTGCAATGCAAAAATTGTAAAATAGAGAAGAAAGAGAGTTTTAGATGGCACGAAAATTTTGAGAGGGAAAAAGTAATCAAACTACGCGAGCCATCCGCATGGGAACACGAAATCATCTCGATCTGGAGCCGATCAGTGAGTTATCTGAGCCTTGTATGCTCTGGCCATGAGCTAGCATGACATGCTCATCTTGCCTGAATGCTCCAAGGAAGCGCCTTGCGAGCAGACTTGTACTTGCACTGAGCTTGCTAAGGCTAGAATGCCATGCATTTACCATGCCCACCCTATTTTCTCCGATTTCGTTTGGATTCCATCGTTCATGCAGCGATGCAACTGCCTATAAAGCATACACAAGTCGGTATAAGCTCAATTAGTTTGCCACTGCCATTTCATGCCTTGCGATTGCGATTGCTCAGCCAATTCAATCATCCTAGCAACAGTGGTCTATTCTTCAAACAAACTACAAGCATACTCCTTGAAACTTGAAGTAGTGTGTCATATTTGAAGTGTCTAGTGCCATTTGGATGTGTTTTCTAGCTTTCAGGCTTTGTTTCCAGTTTCGCTTTGACTCTTCTATGCTTTCTTTTAGCTCTTGGTTTGTTTGGGATTTTGCACCTGGATAGTAAGCTAACGTGCAAGAAACCACAAGCACGTTATCACATTTAATCCCTATCAAGTGCACTTGAGCTCAACTAATAGTTGCTATACAAACCGAGATGCACTAGCTGATATCAGTAATATAAAGCTTTGTCCATCAAAGAGCGTTGATTTCAAATTGGATGCAAACTCACCATCAAATCATAATCCTATCATTGTTGCATTTTATCCTTGTTTCAAAAGGGCAGCGCTCAGAATCTCATTTTTAACGAAATGGAAAGTAGATAAATGACTGTGCGTGTGATTGTTGAACGTTATAAATCACTGAACTACTCATGTCACCTATTACTGCAGTGAAATCAGGTTTAATGGGTTTCACAAAAAATATTAAGCAATATTAAAAATACAATAGAAATCAACTGTATTATATTTGTGTATAAAATGAACTAAAGATCCTGGAATTGAGTAAAAAAAAAAAAAAAAAAAAGAAGAGTAGCACTTATATATTTGCAATTAGCTTGTAGGGTTAGTGATGATAGAGAGCAATAGGTCCTGCTATTGCGATACCTGGCAACTGTTGTTAATGGTTGATTTAAAGTGGTAATCAATGCAAGAGCACTGGCCATAGGGGCCGATTTAAGCAACCTTGATGGTCTTGGATGAGCTATTGTCATAGCATGATTTAATGTAACCTTGACAGTTTAAGGTGTGATGTTTGTTATTGAAGTGTAGAGCCCTTTTTCTGGGCTATTGTGCAACTATGGCATCAGGGCATAGTCGTCCTATTTGAATATGCTTGCTATTGATTTGACTTTATTTGGATAAAGATAACATTACTTATTACGACCCTCATGAGTGTGATTGAATACATTGTGATCAGAAGTGATTCATTCACACGATGTGCAGCAAGATATGCGTGCATCTTTACTTTAGTGTGTTCAAGTACTTGTTGATGAACATTTGAGCGCTTTATTAATAGATTCAAATAGCATGAATTTGAATGAGTGATATTTGATGAATTCCGGCTTTCAATCAAGTTGCGTTTAAGTGGCTATTTCATTACAATTACTACTACTTTAGACACCAATACATCGCTAAAAGGTGTCAAAACTGTTGAATTCTACAAGGCCGTATGGAACAAATGGGACAGGTACATTCTGTTTATCTGGTATGTATACTTATGAGTAAATTCCGTCAGTAACTCATACTTTCTAGTCTTGTGCTCTTTTCTTGGGCCATCAATTTTGAAACCAACATGAAGTTCTCTCTCAGCCAAAACGTCACTAGTCTCTTTGAGACCAACAACCTCATCCAGTCTGATGCCTACCGTCTCGTACATCCTCCAGAGAGCCCTGTTGCCCATCTACTCCAAGCTCTCTGACCTGTATGGCAGAGCCCAATGCTACACGTTTGCTCTAGTATTCTGCATCATCTCCAACGTTGTCCTGGCCACTGCCAACAACTACAACACACTGGTCTGTGGCCAAGTGATCTATGCCTTTGTTTATACTGGTGCCAACATCCTGAGTCCCGTTACCATTGCTGACCTGACCAATGCGGTAGACAACTTTACAACACTCCAGGTATCATCAATTAGTTTATCGCTCCTCGCGTGGGCGGTGCTCTTTTCGATGCTGGACATTGACGTGTCGCTTATGGGATAATCCCAGTTATTCTCTTTGGTACATCTTTCCCTTTGACTGGCAACATGTGGAAGTTATATTACCAGGTCAACAAGTCAGGTCTTACGGACAAATTCAAAACAGAGCGAAAGAAGACCAAGAAAGAAGAGAATATGTCTCTTTGGCAGATAATAGCTCGGTTCATGGCAGAAATTGATATTGTTGGCAGCATCTTGTTGGTGGCTGGTCTTTATCTCATCCTCCTGCCTCTTGTGCTTGCTCTTCCTTCATGGGGCGGTTGGACTAGCCCTACTACGCTTGCTACACTTTGTTCAGGTGACATCGCTTGGGTTCTCTTTGCTGTCTGGGAGACCAAGTTTGCTGCCAAGCCTATCATTCCACTGGCCAAATGGGAAACCCATACCCCCCCATCTACGGTGCCTTGACTCTCTCTACTGTCACTACCATCTCCTTTGTCAACTGGCAATTTTTTTTACCATCTACCTCATAGTGTCTCGCAAGTTCTCTGCTGCTACAGCCTTCATGATCGGTCGAGGCTACAACATTGCTTATATCGTGTGTGAGGCGCTTGTGGGCTATGTGATGAAACGTTTCCGCGTCTGGAGGCCATTCGTCTCGAGTGGTGTTGCCTTGACTATGCTGGATGTTGGCCTCATGATTCCCGCTCGTCAACCCTCCTCTTCTACCGCCTTCCTTGTTATCTCTCAAACCATTGCGGGCATGGGATTTGGCTTCCTCTATACACGCCTATGCTGGTAGCTATCCAAACCTTTGTTCCACAAAAGGCCGAAGCGCATGGTGTGGAAGATGTCAACAGTACTGCAGACAATCGCAATTCTCGTAATTCTTCTCATTGAGCAAACTTAGATTTATCTCTATTGTACATTTATTGAATGAATAAAACACATATACTCTATATCACACACTGCCCTTATTTGGTGTTGTAGCATTACACAAAGCTCAGGCTAATTAGACATGCAAATACAATGCATACTTTGCCTCATCAAGTAAAAGCAAGAAATTTTTTGTCACTTCATTTCAAGGAGCGAATGTGAACTATCAGGAAATAAAGGCTTCTTTAGCGATATACGCTTCTCTTTTCCTCTTTCTCTCCACTACTACACATGTTTGTCGATTACACAAAACCACCGTTCATAGACATCACACTACCGCCCGCCATCATCATACCAGCATATGCGCTGATTTCATTGTATGTCGTCGTATGTGCTGTTGACTTTTTCCTGCTACGTAACGAACGTCATTTCGCATCTATCATATCGCCCAAACAGCTGCGAATTGCCATGGCCGTCATTCACATCCTGATACCCATGGTCTTTATTACCAGCTATCCGCCTGCCAACGTGCTATTGGCTGCTACGCCATGGTTCTTAGCATCGTATTCTGCGCACATGCCAACGGATCAACTCACCATCAAACGCTACGTCTACACCATTTTCAAGATAACCATTGATGACGATGCTAACCAGCCCCCATCCAACACCAAGGTGAGAGTGAAGGGCGCTGCGAAGATGGCTCTGGGTGTATTCAAAATCGCATTCATGCATCTCATGATCGATCCTCTGCTACCGCGTCATCCAGATTATGCATTAGAGTATCCTTGGTATAGTGCAGCCAGTATGATGTATACAGTGCTGTTTGGTGTTAAGGCGTATTGCATGTTGGGCATTGTGGATGTGTTTATGGGAATGGAACAGCTTTTGTTTGCTTGGAATATGGTCACTGTATTCAACTCTCCTATTATAGCATACAGTCCCAGGGATTTCTGGAGGTAAGTTCAACATGTCAAAAATAGGAGGTCCATGGCTGATACGAAATGGGATTTTCTAGTCGACGATGGAACAGAGTGGTTCGAAATTTATTGCATGCACAAGTATTCAAGCCAAAGAGCACAGCAACTGCGGATGGTAGCAAATCTGATACAGCATCTACCGTAGTAGCATTGAAGAAAGAGGAAGCACCAAAGCAGAAGAGAGGCACAAAGAAAGCAATACAGAAAACCATCACCACTTCTATTACAACAACAACGACTACAACCACCAAGCGAATGACTCGAGCAGCAGCCAAAGCAGCCGCCAAAGCACAAGTCATGGAGGCAGAGATCAGGACGCAAGCCGGGATCAATGTTGAATCCTCCACCACAGACGACGAAGAAGAGGACAAGAAGGATCATGATGTCATGGTAGCACATGATGGATCAGCCAAACAACAGTTGCCTAAAGAGTCGTTTTGGACAACACGTCATGGTAGAGGACTCTTAGCATTCATCATCAGTGGCATCTTCCACGAGTTGATCATCATGAGTGCTTGTAGACACATAACGTTAGAGAACTTGCTCTTCTTTTCGTTACAAGGCGCTGCAGTGATGCTTGAAGTGGAGCTTCGACAAGGCAAGCTCAAGCAGGAACCTACAGGCATTGTGCGCGTTGGCTGTGTGGCGCTGCAATTAATATTCATGTCTATCACTGGTAGATTATTTACCGGCCCATTTCTTAGATATCATTTTTTCCCAGAGAACCTTTTTGTTTGATCAAAGGAAAAAACCTTGTTCAGACGGGAGACATGGGAATACACAGAATAAAACGATTTAGAGTTTATATATACCGCTGATTATCATAAAAAAAAACGAGAACGGAGGACTTTTGGTATTTATTTAACGAGTTAAAGTGAAAAGAGATGAGGATGAGGATGACAAAATGGACAAACTAGTCCAAACGAGCGTGGAAAGCATACACTGTCTTTTGAGAATAGACGCCATCCTTTTGGAGCAAAGTAGCGCTACGCCAGTCAGGCTTGTTGGGTGAATCAGGATTACGAGATGCTTCAAGACAGAAACCAGAAGCAGGGCCAATCTTGCCTCCAGCTTGATCTTTCTTGGCTGTCATCTTGTCAGAAGCGATCCAGCCACCTGTATAGAACTGGAAGGCAGGCTCAGTTGTAGAGAATTCCAATTCAATACCAGTATCAGGAGAGTAGACAATAGCTGCTTTACGGAGAGGAAGACCAGCAGTGTCTGTCTTGTAGTCGTTGTGGATAACATAAGGATGATCGTAACCACGAGTGCCTTGGAGGTTTTCAAGGCGAGCACCAATAGGCTTACCAGCATTCTCACCCTAAAAAAAAAAAAAAAGATGGCCCTTTCAGCTTAATACTCTGGTAAATTCTCTCTCTTCTAGACCACTTACAGAAAAGTTCATCCATGGCACCTCAGACCAGCTGAGCACCTTGCCAGTAGGCAGACAATCACCATCACACTCCAGTACAGCCTTTACCTCATCCGTCATTGTCACTCTGTGATCCAAAATGTTGGGGTTCAGCTCGACACCAGACAAATTAAAGTACGAGTGGTTTGTCAAGTTGATTACAGTATCCTTGTCCGTTGTAGCATGGTATTCAAGGATGAGCTCGTCTTCGTCAGTGACAGTATAGGTGAGTTGGGTGGTTACTGTGCCAGGATAGCCTTGATCGCCGTCGGGAGAGACAAGCTCAAGACGGACAGAGGCAGGTTCTTCAGATACAACGGTGGCAGTCCAGATTTTCTTATCGAAACCTTCAAGACCACCGTGGAGGGCATTGGGGCCATTGTTGATAGCCAGTTGGTAGTCCTTGCCATCCACTGTGAATTGACCCTTACCAATACTACCAAGCACAGCAAGTTAATATCCCAGCCTTCTTCTCTGTCGACCAGATATACTTTACCGGTTACCATATCTACCAACAACAGCACCAAAGTAAGGATTGGCAGGATTCTTGTAAGATTCGAAATCATCAAAACCAAGCACAACATCGCGTACAGCGCCAGTCTTGTCAGGAGTGAGCACATGGGAAATAACAGCGCCGTAAGTCAAGACCATGACAGCCAAAGTCTTGCTTTTATTGATCAAGGTGTATTGATCGATGCCAGGAGCAATAGTCAACTTGGTAACAGCCATTTTTGTAGTGATTTAGAGTATCTTAAAAAAAAAAGATAAAGAAGAAAAGCAACCTAATTATTTTTTTTTTCAGCCTTTTATAAATCCATGGAAAAACGCCAAATGCTCCAAGATTTATGCGTCATATCTATTAGGTAATACATTTGGATCTATTATACCACCACTCCCCCTCCACCTCCACGCAATATCCCCCGAAAGGAAATTTTCTTCCCGTAGAATTATAAAGCAAACAGATTTTCCCCTTTACTCCCCTCCTCTCCTCGCTCACCCAGAGTCGTACGACATTCCAGATCCCAAAAGTTTATTTAAATGCGGGATTCTCTTCTCATGGTATAAAGCGCTAAACCAGCACCAGGACCAAACAACAGGGAGCTATACAGCACCGTCTTGACACCGTCCTTGCCATCTTCCAGCCACGCCCAGTAGGTAAATGTCGTTAAAAGTGCCACAATATCCCACATCAGCATGTACGCTACTGGATTTGTTCCGCTGCTACCCAAAGAGAAAAACAGTGCTATCCATTGTTTCACCATGAAATCAGGTGCGCTGGTGGTTTGCAACCATTTGATCCAAACCCAGTACCACAGGAATGCATTGATGCTAGCAATGCCAGTGTACATGAGCCGAACACTGTCAGTGGCGCCCCGCTTGGTCTTGCAATCCAGATGGCTGGCGAAAAAGGGGATGATCCACTCGAACAAGCCGTATGTAATTGGGAAATACTGGAACACAGCAAGGATGTTACGCTGTGTGAGCGAAGGGCCGTGCGATACCAAGATAGCTACGGGGAGAAACTGGCCAAACAGTGTAGCTAATGCAATGCCAAAAGTACGGTGAGGCGCTACGTGTGGCATGCTGTGCTGCTGCTTGTGATAATCACTGATCTTTTCTCTCACGCTTTGCTTCTTGTCTGAATATTTGCCGCTTGCATTGATGGCCACTTGATTCTGCTTGGATTTCTTTTGGTGTCTGTACAAGGACCAGCCATACCATGGCAACCATGCCATGGGTGCAATCACGCCAGTGCCAATGACGTTGCCCATCATAATCATGAATGGCGTCAGAAACGTATTGTTCTTGAATCGAGCTCTTTCAACCGACATGACGGCGTAAGCAGTAGTGGCTAATCCTACCAATGCAGCTGTCATTGGGAAACACAGTGGATCATTGACGGCCTGTGAGCAAAATCTGACCAACACACACACGATGCGGTCCAGCAAATCGTGAATGCCAGGGGCAGAGTATGTTTCTAGCAGGCTGGGTGGATTTTGACATGCTGTTTTCTGCAGAATGTTGAACGGGAGCAACACATGGTGGAGATGCGTCAACAGCACATAGCCTAATGGACTGACAGCAATGTAAAATAGTATGGGATTTTTGGTGCGAGACATGGATCAACGGACATGCCTTGTAATTACACATTGCTTTTTATACAAAAGATGACATTCTACTATTTATGAAGGAGGCTCCCCCCCCCCCTTTTTTTTTTCATGCCATTTGGCCCTTACCGTAATTCAACCTCTTCCTTTTTTTCGGGTCGGTTTAACGGGAATATGCCTGTGCTCTTCCAATAGAAAGCATGATTTATGCTTACAGAGGGAAGACTGTTGAAAAATTAATGTTCCACTCTTACCTCATAATTATGTTTCTACACCAACATGTAGAACGGGGGGAAATACCAGAGCAAATTTTTCGTCATTCACTCTTCTTTTCCTCAAACAGCCAGCAGACTATGAAGGTGTTGTTATCTTTTATCTTGGGCGCGGCACTGGTGTCATATGCCACACTGAACATACAGCAAGGCGCTGAACCATGGGCTCCTAAAATCATGAACATGTGTCTAAATCCTGCAAATAACGATATCAGCGGAAATCTTCGTGTAGCTTACACTGGCCTTTCCAGCACATTGGATCGTATTATCTGCTTCTATGTCAATTTCAATCAGCAACCTCTCCATGACTTACTGGGTGCTCCTTTAATGCGCTTGATGATGGGTGCATTCGGCACTGCTTATGCCATCATGGCATTTGAAGGCTCTCGTAAAGGCTTCAAAAACACAACTCTCTTGGCCGCTTTCCCATTGTTTGGTCTGTTAGCTAATTTTGTTGGTATCTTCTCGGTATTCTCTCTTTTATGGATCCCACTTGATTTGTATTACAGAAACAAAAAGACAGATACACTGAATTGGAACATCACTTTACCCGAGGCTTATGGTACATTGGCTGGTATCGTACTCGGTTACAGTGTCCCTAGTGCCATCTTGGCCTCGCCTCTTGTCAAGGACGACTCTGCCTTTGAGCAAGACTTTATTTGCGTCTGGATGGTATTGCCCATGATCATTGTTCCCTTTATTAGCTTTTGTATTCGATTTTTCGAGAATCGCGGCTCCTCTATTGACGCTATTCGTGATCCTGATTTGAAGGAACGTTTGTATGTGGCAGAGGGTAAGGATGCTCTGGAGAGATCGTATCTGTTTTTGGGTGTGCTCAATATGCTCAATCACTTTGTCAATTTCTGGATTGTGGGTCAAAAGGGTATTCGTATCTGGGATTCCATCTTGCTGCTGCTGGGTGCTCCTGGTAATTTGCCTGGTGATTTGACATTTGGTGATTTGGGCCAATTGCTGGGTACCCGTACATTATTGATTGATTACATTGCTTTGACCGTTGGGTTCATTCTTTGGGCAGTCTTCAGTAGTGGCATCTTTGCTGGAATCATAGTGGCTCTTATCACGCCTATCGTGGGCCCTGCTGCAGCTGTCTCGTACTATGCTTATTACAGAGAAAACAAGATTCAAAACATTGCTTCTGTTGATGCTGAAGCTGAAAAGGAACCAGCAGCCATTGCTGATTCTTCCAATAGCAGTGAGAAAAAGAAATAGAGTCTTGATTCATTGCTGCTTCCTGTAAACTATAATAAAATCTAAATTTTTGCCCTGTATGAAAGCAGTCAATATGGTCGACATATTAGACTTTTCAGCCTTAACACACGCCAAGCGTTCCATCTGAATTGCACTACTTTCCATCCTTTGTCTACAAAAACAATTGGAAAGAGAATCATTTCTAAGCAGGCTTGATACGGACCAATTTAAAAATCCTTATGGTACACCTACTAACTACATACTTGTGGCATTTGAGCGCAATATTAGGGCAGTTTTTATTAGAGCCGCTCATGCATCTTGACTACATATACTGCAACACATTCAAAAAAAAAAGTAAGAGATGTGTGCCGTACAAGGTGAATAAAACCACCGGCAATGGGGAGGGGGTTTGGGGGGAAGAACGTAACGCGTCTAATCCAATACTTGGTAACATTGATCTATACAAGGGCTTGATCGCAGCGAAGCAAAGGTGCAAACCTATAACAAACAAGCATCCAGTCCAGCATTTGATAGCATTGATCTATACGAGGGCTTGATTGTTGCAAAGCGAATATGCAAAACCACAGTATTCAAGCAGCAAATTCGGGTTTTCATTTTCATTGTTAATAAGCTTGCCAGCAACATAGTGCATCAAAAATTGCATGAATTAGCTTTACCAAAACCAATATGCCTCCTACTCAAATTAGAAGCTGCACAGACTGCAGAACTGCCTTTCCAGTAAATTGCAGCTACCAGAGATGTGATTTATGCCGTGTAAATAAACTCTATAAAGCAATACATAACCCAATTTGACAGTTTTCAAGCCTTCATATCTTGATATGTAGACCTTTATGAGCCACCGGAATAACGCCAAACAATTGTACTTGAGTGGTAGTAACTTCCTGACACCTTTGCTCAACTTTTTGGGCCAAAAAAAACATGGTAAAAAAATCGACCAAAAAGCATAAGAGGTACCTCATGGTTTTTTTTACGAAAATCAAACGATCGCGTTTTTCACCTCAAAAATGAAGACTTTTACTATGGTATGTATTGAATCAAAATGTTTCTCTCTATCCAAAGCAACCTCTGAAACCACTTTTATGAGGTCTTTATATGCAAAATTTTGACATTTTGGAGAAACCCCTTATTTCGTATTTTGTGAAATTGCTCAATAAGTTCATTCAAAACATCTAGTTTACTTGGCACCGTTGGATACGTCATGAAAAGTGCTCCAAGGATGTATTAGGAAGCGTAGTCTGAAAACCACATTTCATATAGTCGAATATCACAAGGTACATTAAAGAAGTCGAAAAAAGACAAAGTCTGTCCAATCTTGAACAGAAAAAATAAACTGAGTTTGAATCGATTTTGGCGGCGGCGTCGCTGCTGCTGGCTGAACAAATGCCTTTCTGTTGATGGCAATGATGATGACAATGATGGTTGCGATGCTGATTAAATGGGGATCATGGAATTGGAAGGGCAATTGATTAGCGCAAATACTTTTTTTGGGGAGATTTGCCTTATGAAGAAGTCTCTTGCAATGAAAATATCTCAAAAAAGTCGCTGAGGGGATACCTCTGCTCCTCCTCCCTCTGATATAACCTTCTTTTACTAACTAATAATAAATTGTTTAAAATCTACTTGATATACCAAAATTTATTTAAATGCCTTTGGCGAGAGCCTACAGGGCGGCGCTAACATCGAGCGTAGCGAGATAGATCGGCTAGTCATATAACATACTCAAATTCAATAAAAAGAAGTTGTCAGAGGTACCAAAAGTTTAGAACAATGAGCATTGGACAAGGCTCAAATCCCTTGTTCGCATTTACAAGCATGCATATGAGACCTTGAATGAAGAAGAAGAAGAAGAACAACAACAACAACAAGCCTAAAATCATATTAATGAGCATTCGGCTCAACCCTCAAGTGAGATTAGAGTTAATCATTAGTGAAGATAGACACACTCAGAATCTACCAACTGTCAACGAGATTCCAGCCATCATTCCCAATGAATACCCTAACACAAGCTTTAAAATATCCTCATGACATACCGAAATAGGTTTTCAGCTAGTGGTAATAGTCTCTCTTAAACGGATTAATGAAACGCATACTACCTACATGCCATGTTGAAATGCTGCAAATAATAACTAGGAAGCTGTGATCACGTATACTTTGGGTGAGCCAGACTGACTGGCGTTGTTAGATATAAAAATGCACAACACAATCAAGAGAAAGTATTCAGGCTAATTGATAGTCCTTTCAATTCCATGATCCCCATTTAATCAGCATCGCAACCATCATTGTCATCATCATTGCCATCAACAGAAAGGCATTTGTTCAGCCAGCAGCAGCGACGCCGCCGCCAAAATCGATTCAAACTCAGTTTATTTTTTCTGTTCAAGATTGGACAGACTTTGTCTTTTTTCGACTTCTTTAATGTACCTTGTGATATTCGACTATATGAAATGTGGTTTTCAGACTACGCTTCCTAATACATCCTTGGAGCACTTTTCATGACGTATCCAACGGTGCCAAGTAAACTAGATGTTTTGAATGAACTTATTGAGCAATTTCACAAAATACGAAATAAGGGGTTTCTCCAAAATGTCAAAATTTTGCATATAAAGACCTCATAAAAGTGGTTTCAGAGGTTGCTTTGGATAGAGAGAAACATTTTGATTCAATACATACCATAGTAAAAGTCTTCATTTTTGAGGTGAAAAACGCGATCGTTTGATTTTCGTAAAAAACCATGAGGTACCCCTTATGCTTTTTGGTCGATTTTTTTACCATGTTTTTTTTGGCCCAAAAAGTTGAGCAAAGGTGTCAGGAAGTTACTACTACTCAAGTACAATTGTTTGGCGTTATTCCGGTGGCTCATAAAGGTCTACATATCAAGATACGAAGGCTTAGAAGCTGGCCAATTTGGCTATATTTCATACTTTTGGTTGTCAATAGGCTAGTTTTTGTTATGCTACAAAGACTTAGAGATATTGTATGCATCAATCTGAATTTAGAGCATGCTGTTACATCCAAATATTCAGCCGGAAATGTTAGGTTGAGTGGCACTATTGTATCGCTGTATCATAGCACAATGATACCGCTTATTATTCAGATGATGGTGGCTGTAAGGCATGCTGGAAATTATAGGGTTCCCATAACTCTGTAGCTCAAATTACTCGGTGGTCTGTATAATATCCGTTTCTAATATATAAATGACAATTGAGACCATCAAACTCACTGCATTGAATTGTGATATGATGAGATTATTAGCGAGTAGCTTGACACATCACACTTTTTTTTTAAGAAAACCTTAGAAAGATAGCTCATTATAAAAAGGCAAAGATTACTAATAGTCCTGCAATCATGTAAGACAATCAACCATAAAAACATCATCTTGCTCAAAGGGAGAGCTTGAGCATTGCTCAAAACGCATACATTTATATTCTCTCTACAATTACCACTACATATCTCCCATTCAATGCAAGTTTTTTGTAATTTAGCATTGTATACATTTATTCACAGCTTGCCGTGCATACAGCATGAATAATAAACTACTCGTGGTTGACAGAGTTTCCATTGTAAGTAGGTCTCTTATCCTCGTCTTCAGAATCATCCTCATCATGAAGCGTATTGACTCTTGTAGCATAAGGATTGCGTCTACATGATGAATACAATAAGAAAATATACCCTTCCTATCACTAATATTGTGCTACTTACTTTTGCGCTGCTGAAGAAGATGCAGTAGCAGATGATTCAGCAGAGACACCTTCACCTCCAAGTCTTTGACCACCTCTCATACTGCGAATAAGTGGTTGTTGATGCTGAGAGGCTGGAACATTGGTGTGAGACATTCCGTTAGTTGGGAATAGAGTGGCTAGTAACCCAGTCAACATATTTATCAGTGCGATCACAAATCCGTATATGAAATCAAATGCAGAATAGATATATTCAGTTGCGCCTCCATTGTTTCCGCTGATGCCACTGCGTGCTGAAGAAGATCCCGCTTTCAAAGGTTTCATAATGATGGTTGCACTTGGACAGAGATTCAGATCCTTTAGGGTGGTATTGTCGTCTGCGTCTGTGAATAAACGAGTTGGAAATTGAGAGGAAAGTTTGTACGGTTTTTTGGCATCTTCTGTACGATTCTACAAACATAGAATACCTTAGTTGATTGTATTCTGATGGCGACCTATCTCACTTTACCTCTTGAATCCAATTTCGCACTTCTGATAACGTTGATACAGCTGTAACAAGAGCCAGTTAAAGACACGCCTTCAATACCAATCCCATCATGATCCAAGTACCTTCAAACTGATGGCGAATATTGGAGCCATCTAATTGACGAATGTTCAAATTACTGTATGCATGATGACTATTATTGCTCAAGCTACTGTTGCTAGCGCCTTCCTCGGTTGGAAGAGTAGTAAGCGATGTTGAATTTTGACGCTGCTTTTCAGCATTTCTCTGAGCAATCTTCTCTGCTCGATCTCTTGCTATCTGTTCGCGCACTCTCTTTCTGTGTGCTTCGTCTTCTTGACGCTCTTTCTTGATCTTTTCAAAGTAAATCTTGTTTTCTTTATCGACTCTGGACTGTTGGGCTTCCTGGAGCATTTTTGCCTCCTGTCTTCGCTTGATTTCTCTATCTTTGGCATCTTGTTTCTCCCGCTCTGCGCGTTCTTTGCGAACCTGCTCCAATTGTTTTTGCATTCTAAATACATACATGTGTCAATACTGTGTTATCTGCTTATGCGGTTGTTCTTACTCTGCTTTCTTTATGTTGATTTCATCATCCTGTTCAGCTTTTCTTGCTGTGCCTGTATTCGAGGCAGATGCTGTATCTACTATGTGCGCGGTATCATTCATTGGTGGTTGTGGTGCGGGAACTGGTGTAGCAGGAGCTACTGGCACTGAAGCAGAAACTGGTTGTTGTGCAGGATTTGTTGAGATTTGATTCACGGTATTAATCTTATCAACAATTTCTTGACCAGTTAATGTCTCAATGCCAAAGTCTCTAATAGTGCCTTGCTTGATAAAGTAAAGTATGGGGACAGTTTGAATAGGATCTGATAGCAGCTGATGAGTGCTTTAGCAATGTTAATCACTTTCATGTGCTTACAGTATTGACCAAATAAGGCTGCGTTTTCTGAATGTCTCTCCATCGCAACAGCAACTGTGCTCTCACGGATTGCCTTGGTAACCTACAAAGTAGCAACGTTGGCATCCAATCTGTATGAAGAGCACTTTTTCTACAGTACCTGCTCATCTTTCAAGGTATTGTTTAATGTGTTTGTCTTTTCAGATTCATCTGTGCTATTGATATCAGTTGCTTGTTCCTTCTGGTACATGCTCATTGTGATGTTACCGTGGATGTATACGAGAAACACACATTGCTTTTCAGCTACTAATGAAATGGCCTCTGCAATAGGACCATCGAACCAGATGTCGCTCATGATGATGTACAAAAGAGAAGAAGGGTAATAGAAACGCAAACAGAGATGCAATTCTACATAATTAGGTGTTTGAAAATCAAATTGGTCCATAACACTTTGTGCGTCACTGGCCGATTCATTCATTTGTCTACCAGCATCGTAGCCAATGAGCCCTTTACAACAGCACATCAAACAAAAACACATGGATTATGATTTAGAAAACATATTTATTAATTTATTTTAACGTATAAACATTGAATTAATCAGAGAGATTAAAGAACCTATGAGCAATAAACAAGATGATTAGATTTTTTTTTCCATTGAAAAATAAAAAAAAAAAAAAAAAAGCAAAATTATCAAAATGTGTATTTGAGAGCGCTCAGGTTTTAATGGTGAAAGAGTTGTCATCAATAAAGATTATGCGTGGTGCATGATCAAACTCATCAGTGCTTTCAACCAAATACACATTTTCATAATTGCCACATCTACTGACTGATGACTTACCATAAATACGTTTGATTGTAAAGAAAAAAAAAAGAGTTCAAGTATCGGAAAAATTTCTTTCCTTTTAAAACAAACATCTTTTTACATTTCGAAAAAATTTATTGCGGTTCGAAAGGTCACAAAGCAAGTCTCTGTCCCTGCTTTATTAGTAGGCATTTGATGATGATTGTGGCACTGATTCTTACTTGAAATCCAGATACGATTAGAGTACTCATTGTGAACAGCATACTAGCTCGCTACATGGTGTATAGTACTGATATATATCAGCGAAATGCCGTATTGAATCAAGAATCAAAGCAAGATTTGATAGATGACGGCATTTGACTACTTCAGCCTCAATGCTAGAGCATTGTCGATGTCATTAGTTTATAAGAAATGATTTTCGCAAGCAGATATATCGAAAACCACTATGATGCAAAGACTGCTCAAGTGTTTCTGGCACGGTTCAATTGATTTGTTTCCCTGAGATGATATTAACAAAAGGGTGATCATGGCAAATTTGTGTTCCGCAAATGAAATCATTTAAAACAGGAACTCAAACAGATGCGCGGCATTCTTTCCAGCATAGATATTATCAAACCATGCCACTTCAATCATCTCCACTGCTGAATATCTCACTGCCTGAGCCTATTGTGTTGCCAACAGCACAACTGGCAGGTCTATATGTTTGTATGCTCGGTATCGACTACGTCCTGCTTCGCTACCAGAATAAATTGTTTGTATCCAGAAAGACACTTCGAGCTGGAATGACAATTGTACATGCCATTGTGCCTCTCGCCATAGTATCGCCTTTGCAGCCAAATAATGTTACATTTGCTGCTGTGCCGTGGTTTCTGGCTTCGTATAGTGCATACCTACCTACAGAAAAGTTCACTCTGACTGAATGGATAAAGGCTTTATACAATACCATCGTGGATCGCTCAACGATCGCTCCAGATAGTAGAATGAGCGTCAATGCACTAGGCCTCTTGAAATGTTTGAGAGGTGTTGTCAAGTTGGCTACCCTTTATTTTGGTGTGGAACCCTTTCTGCCAACAATGCCTGATGACATGTTGAGATATCCTTGGCTGAGCAAGGAGAATTTGCTGGATACATTCCTGTTTGGACTAAAAGCCTACTTGATTTTGGGCGTCGTTGATGTAACAACTGGATTAGCTCAAACTGTAACTGGATGGCGTATGATTGACATGTTTGATTCGCCTTTGCTGGCAACCAGGTAACATGCTACTATAGATGATAGTTTTGCCAGTCGTTAACAAGATTTAATCGTATCAACGCAGCCCAAGAGACTTCTGGAGGTAAACCTCTTATGTTCATTTGCTTCTGAATCGAGTTACTAAATCACAATTTGTAGTAATCGCTGGAATAAAACAGTTCGCAATCTTCTGCATAGTCAAGTTTTTTCTACTCAAACAGACACAGATTTAAAGAAAGACGACGAAATGAAGGCAGTGCAGGTACCAGATGGGTTCCTTTCGACAAAGCAAGGCCGAGGATTGATGGCATTCGTAGTGAGTGGCGCATTCCACGAACTGATCATCTGTAGTGTCTGCCGAAAAGTGACATTAGAGAATTTCTGCTTTTTCACTTTGCACGGTTTAGCATGTATGCTGGAAGTACAATATTTCAACACGAAACAGCAGCCAACGGGTTGGAAACGAGCAGCCAGGATTGCACTCAATTTGGGCTTTTTGGCATTGACAGGCCGTTTATTTCTGGCGCCTTTTCTCAGAACCAGATTCACTGAGATTTTGCCCATCACACATAGCTTAAACCTCATGCATTGAAAATCTCATTTATAAACATATTTGTCATATATCTGTTACATTGGCTGCTTCAGATAGTAGCAGACAAATGGTGCATGTATTGACGACATTTGTGTCCCAATTTTATTGGAGAATGCATTCTTCTGACCTTCTTTTTGGTAGTATTCTTGAAAAATAGGTAGAGTGAATGGTCATTAAAACAAGTCTTAAAACGTAGAAAATAACACAATAAAGGTGCATAAGCCGTAGGACAGCCCTGAATGCTGTATCGTATCAAGACTACAGACTGGTGCTCACAACTGGCCGCAGAAAGCGGAGATCGAATTACATTTTTCCGCTGGTGAAACTTTTGCATCCAGGATGAACTGGATTCCATTCTTGAAACGTTTTTTCTATATAAATCGTGATTGTTGTACCCTACTCTCTAATACATATATGAAAAACACATTGAGCTGCATTGAATGGTGCTAGTTTGATATGTTTATTGCTAGAAAAATATTGAGTAGTACCTGAAAAACCAAAAAGACGTTTTCTGCTAAAAAGTCTATTTTTTGCTTACATAACATCCAAGTAAATGATTCAGAGTGCTGCGTTGTACCTTTAGGAACATTTTTGATATATTATACACTAAAGAAAAAATGCCGTTTTTGGGGTGAAAAATCCGATCAATTGGATTTCGACAATTTTGCCTTTACTACACGTCCAAAATCGACGGATTTGACCTATGTGAAACAACACTGTCGTTGTTTTAACCAGTAAATTTGTAAATTTTTTTATATAAATTTACCGTCAAAACATCGAGCCTCCCTTTGGAGTAGGAAAAAAAATAAAATAAAATAAAAAAAATAAAATAAAAAAATAAAAAATAAAAATCTCTCATATTCTGTAGCCCACTATTTGCGATTTCTGGCCAAAATGCTCCCTCTACATGCGCTTCCTTGATTCGATCATTGCGGTAAAAACCGCCAAAAAGCCCATTAAAAGAACGTCTGTCTACGTGGTATCAACACTTGATAACGTAGCAAGCCTGATAATCAAAATGAAAGCCTTTACTTGCTGTACATATTACGTTTGTTGGCTCCTCATACTAAAAATACGTTATAACGTCTTTTGGTGGGAACACGCTGCTGCGCGTAGGATGATTCATATCCAGCTTGAGCATTTGGCTGTGGAGAGGTTTATTATTAGATTGCAAAATGTATGGATAGATTACACAGGCTCTAAATTAACGACAGGAATAGATCACTGTTCTCTCTACAATGCTATGATTAGGTCTAGAATAACGTCTCAGTTCCTGGGGCTTAGTATACCTTTTACTCCCATTCTTTATAATTCATAAATATGGCACGAAAAAGGCGCGTATGAAGAACCAACGATTTACTCAATTTTCAAACAACATTTTGATAAGTATTGTATGATTCTTTTAGCGTTGTATGCTGTAAGACTAATGCTCTGCCATCTGGATTATATATTGGCCTTGTTTGATAATCATAGCGAGGTAATATTGATTTTCAAAGGTTTAGTTTGGGGATGTAAATTTTATAATATGATCGACTGTATCAAATGGAAGAAGATTAGATTCGAGAGTTTTCGCATTATTCAGGCAGAATACTCAGGACAGTGCAATATATAGTTAGCTATGATTAAGTCATGTCATTATCGCGAATCTTCATCATTTGACCATTATGAATTGTCAAGTGAGGGGCGATGTCGTCCCACTGATATAAATCAGTGTCTAGGATATTTGAAATGCAAGCATTGATGAGATCTTCCAGTGGATGTGGTTTCATTAGTGATGGCCTGTACCAATTTTTTTCCATATATGATATGAATAAGCAGAATATATGTTTTGATGTTGCTTAATTGGATCCAACCTGTGGAATTAATCCAGTGTCATCAATCGTCAGTCTTTATTCTCAATCAGGGGAACCGTAAACCTTAGATTTAATGTGACGAACAATTGTAAACATTCGTATCAGAACGCAGTAAAGATCATTTAATAGAGCCAATGAAACGCAATTCAAACTTCCTTCTTCCTAATTTTATTAACTAAAATGTCATTGCCTGAATACTTGCCCACTGCTCAAGAGACCACTAGCTCATTAAAAGAGCTCTTCCGCAATGTCAACAAATTGGTTGACGATTTCGTGAACAGTGATGACAACAGCCACAGGCTTTCAGAAGACAAGGTTCGCCGATTCGTCTGTGGCAACTTGTTCATTGACAAGCTGGACGAATTCCACGGCAAGATAGAGATGTTGAAAGGCTCTCCAGCCACTGAATGGTCGGTATTTATGGCAGAGATGGCTGCCAAGAACAAGCTTAGGCCTAAGGAGGAGAGATTGTCCTTTGGCGAGCTGTCCGCACTGACTTCAGCCGAGTACCGCGTGCTTGGAGAGAATGAAAGAAGGCGGTTGGAGTCAGTTGCAGCCGCCACAAACAATGCTGAAATTCCTTCTTTGCTTGCTAGAAGCGAGCAATTTGAAGATGATATGAAGAAAATGAACAACAATCTGAAGTATTTGATGACCAACTACAACACCCATGCTTTTTTGATAACGTACACTGATACTTTGCATGAGGAATTGTATCCTCCAGGCTTGTATAGTAATTCAGGTAAGTACTCTTGTACGTCTTGCTGGTACAATGTAGAGTCTAAAAAAATTGATTGCACATTGATTCATAGCTATGACAACGAAATGCGTCAATACTGTCAATGCTAAACTCTCAACATTCTCAATCGTAAGCTGTTTGAGAAGAATGGTGTTGGGCAACTCTGTAGTGCGTTTTACTGAAGGTAAATGATTTGGAAAATGCATTTGGCACAGCAAAACTCATCATTTCTGATAACCGATTTTTAAAGCACAAAGGGCTGCTCCCGCTCCTCATAGACAGACAAGAAAACGCAAGCAATTGCATTATCCTGTCTTGCCTGCCGCAGTGCCTGCGGTTATCGATTTGCCGGCTTTTGGTGACCAGGATGACAGTTATGCTGAGGCCGATGAGGCTGAGGTGACTCCTCTTGTTGAATCTGATGTGGATGTTGATGCTGTCAATGTCGCTTTTGTTGACGTTGTTGGTAATGACATTGGTACTGATACTGACACGAACGATGAGAACGAGGATAATCAAAATGCTGAGGCTGATTCCGAAGGCGTTTTCAGCAGTTATGATGAGAGTGACAATGGAGACGACAATGATCGTAGCTATTGTAGTGGTGACGATGATGAAGATGAAGAGGACATCAACAGCGCCTCCAGAGTGCCAGATTGCGCTCCCAACTCTAAGCAATTGCCGATCCCAGCAAAGCTACGCGGCCCATCTGCTCACTCTGCTGCTATCACATCCCATGCCGCTGTTATCACCTCTCCTGCCACTGGTCATGAGCCAGTAAGAAAGCGAACCAAGACGGACATGAAGAAAAGTTTGCAGATTGCAGTCTCTGCAGCCTTCAGTAAGTGTGATAGTATATAATCTTTAAATAAATAGGATTGCTAATCTTATTGAGGATAGATGAAGTTAGCAGAAGACAATACAAATGTGTTCCTTGGCTGTCTTTGTTCAATGACGCGAAGATGCGTAGTTTGGGCGTGAAGATGGTTGGATGGCCCACTGGCATTGTTCCTCCTGTTCGTGACGGGAAGACGTCCTTCGATGTCTATGACGGCGACAATTCGATGGATACATTGCTTCAGGGCTTTAAGGACAGAACCATCTATTTTGAAAAGCTGTGAGCTGATGATGATGACAGTGATGAAGATAAGAGCAACGCTCAAGGGGACGAAAATGATAATTGAAATAATATTCTTCCAAAAGTTCAGTAAATATTTGTTTTTATTTTAATATCACATACACCAAGTAGCATTGTGTTGGATCTTTGACCTTTACCTTCCTTTTTTCAGTCAAGGATTGCACAGATGATAAAGAAACTCGAGCTACAAAAACAAATATCGCGGGCAACGTAGAGCAATGACAAGATATGATTCAAGCATTCATATTGGCACGATAGAGACACGAGCAAATTCGCAGTTCCCTACGAGACAACATGCCGTAAGTATGGCACTCGGTTCCATAGGTATAGAGTATAAAGTGCTATAAGTATGGAGCAGGGTACCATAGGTATGGAGTATAAAGTGCTATAAGTATAGAGCAGGGTACCATAGGTATGGAGTATAAAGTGCCGTAAGTATGGAGCAGGGTGCCATAGGTATGGAGTATATAGTGCCATAAGTATAGAGCAAGGTACCATAGGCATGGAGTATCTTTTGCCATGGGCCTATGAATTTGAATGCCATACTCTTGTTATATACTGCAATCTATAATGGTTACCATGGAGCATCATATTTTACTTCGATTGCAATTGTTCAAACCACTTATCAAAGACCTTAATGCTTAGTTATATCCATTTCATGTAGTGATTGTAGGTCATAGCATCTCCCACATCTAGAGGGACCCCAACTGTTGACGACTGTTAAACGTTTGAATCTCTCTTAACGAAACAACTTCAGTTAATACAGCTCACTTTTCACCACATAAATACTATGCCACCCACAACACGCAACAGATCAGCTGCTCTCCAACTAGATATTACATCAGATACTACCACTGCAGCATCCCCAAAACGCAAGAAAACCGGTTACCGGGCAGGCAGTAAGCCCAAAGCCGCTAATGCTGCAGCCCTGACAGTAGCTCCTGAAGCAATTGTTGTTCACCCTACTGCCGAGGAAATTGGGCAGAAGAAGCAACAAATAATTGAGGAAGAAATTCAAGAAGAAAAGAAAAGAAAGCAGCAAGACAAGAAAAACGACAACAAAAGAAGAAACAAATTGCGTGATGAGGCAACCAGATAGTCAACGATTTTAAAGGTGATCAGGAGAACATCTGGCAAGCTTTGTTGGCAGCAATCAATGATTTCAAATTGAAGCGCACCAAGAGTAAGCAGCCGCCCATTTCCGAGATGCAGATCTTCCGAATGTGCTTTGCATTTTACACGCTTCGCTTTCGCCACCAAACGGAGCTAA